GTTATAGCGTCCTACTATATATTATTATTAGAGGTAAAAATCTCCTCTTTACTTAGTATATAAAATCTAGTCTTCTACCTAACTAGGTTATTATAACGTCTAAAAATAGATAGATAATAAATAAAAAGGCCTAAATTAGCTCTAGCACTTTAATTAATATTTAAAGTTATATATAAAAAAGAAATATTACCTTCTTATTATTAATAAGTATAAAAGTTACTATTTTATAGACTTTAAGCTATATTATAAGGAAAATAATATTATTACCTTTTATATACTACCTTATTTATCTTATTTACTTTAGCCCTTAGATATTAGGTGTTTTAGGCCTTTAAAGCTAGCGTATAGTTAAGAAATTAAGGATAAGATATAATAAGGTAATACTTATATTATAAAAAATAACTTCTTTTTAGTATTTTATAACGCCTTTAAGTAAGCTTTTATAAAAGTAAATATTTAAAGAGGCTTTAGAGGGGTAGGGCTTATCCCTCTAAGTCTAGAGAGTGTGCTATTAAAGCTAGATGTTAAGTTATACACTTTAACACCTCTAAGATCCCTTCTAATAACACCACTAGCTTAGACTTCCTAGACACTATATAATATAATAGAGATATCTTCTTAAGGAACTCTTATTAAGGATTACTTTATTAATTATCTAAATAGCTCCCTAATATATAGATTAATAGCTACTAAGTATATTCTTAAAGGAGCGTTAGGAATTATATATAAGAATACTTTATTAAAGGCTAAGGTTAAAACTTTTTATAAAGAGAATAACCTACTTAACTAATATAAAAAGGTAAAAAAAACTTATCTAAAGTAAGGAGGGAGTCTTAGTGTAGCTAATATATAGGATATTTAGTTATAAAGAGAGGTAATAACCTAGATTAAGGAGGAAACGTATTAGAGTAGTAGTTATAGATTAAGGACAGAAACAGGTAAACAGTAGTATAGCACCTATAGGAACACTAGATATAATATATAAACATACTAGTTTAATAAAGAAATATCTAAAGAATAGGATTCTAAGTAGTTTAAATTAATTTTATTATTTTATAGTTACTTCTTAGTTATATTTATAAGGTAGCTATAATTAGGTAGCACGCTTACTTATCTAGTGCGCTTGCTTATTATATACGTTATAAGTAAGTAAAATTTATACTTTTTCTTACTTTACTACTATTACTACTAAGCGCCTTTTTTATAGCTTTTATAGATATTAATATAAGGGGTAGTAAAATAAGAACTAATAGTTTTAAATTAATTAATCTAATAGCTAATAGCTAAATAATTACTAATAGTAAAATAATTAATAGGTAAATACTTAAATTAATAGCTAATAGCCTATAAGCTAGTAACTTACTAAGAACTAATAGTTCTAAAATAATAAGGATAGTAATCCCTTATACCTTATTTTATCCCTATATAATTAATTTATAAGACGTTACTAAGCGTAAAAAGATATTTAATTCCTAAGTAACTATAGCTAGCTTATTAGGTAATCTCTAGCTAGTAGTAACCTTATTTAAAGGCGTTATAAAAAGGTATTACCTTACTACGTATATAGGTAGTTAGATTATACTAAGGACTTTATTTAAGGCTACTTTCCTTATAGGGCTTACTTTATAGTAAAAGATTATAGACTATATATAAGGCAGCTTATAAGTAATAATATAGTTTAGTATATTATAAAGTTAACTAATAAGTAAAGATTACTACTTTTAGCTAAAGTATACCTAAGGCTACTTAATTAACTATAAAACGCTTAATAGGTATAATAATTATAAAAATATTACTAGTAAATTACTAATATATAATAAAGAAGTTACTAGACTTTATAAGCTAATAGGTATATATTAAAAGTTACTACACCCTCTACTAATTTATAGATAGTTAAAAAGCTACTTATATAAAAAGTAATTTAAAGATACTAAAAAAGCATATCTATATAGGCATAAAATATTAAAATCTTAAGTAATAGTGCTATAAGTAGTAGCTAAAAGGTATTAAATCCTTAGCTACTACTAGGTATATACCTATAAGCTTAATAAATATAGTTAATTAACTAAATTTAAAGTAAGACTTATTATTTATAGTAACTAATAAGTAAAGGATCTATAAGATACTTATATAGCTATATTAGTAGGTATATTATTTAAAATACTTATAGTAATAGCTACTTACTTTAATTTAGAATTACTTTAATATAATATAGTAAATATATTTATTTATACTACTATTAATAAGGTAGTATTTATAAAGATACCTTTAGGCTACTAAATCTCTAGCTAGATTCTCTAGCTACTAAAAGCGCTATATAGGCTTTAGTAATTACTACTGCTATAGTAAAAGCACCTTAAAAAAGGACTTACTACATAAGGCTTTTACTAAGTGCTTAGTAAGAATTACTATTAGAAGAAGGATTATATTATATTCTTTTTTTATATTAATAACTATATATTAGCCTATTACTATATAAATAAAGCGTAAGTAAGTAATAAGATAGTAGCTTTTTAGTAATAATACTACCTTAAAAGTAGAGGCCTATTATAATAGTTCTTTAGCCTTAAGGTAATTTATAACTAAAGTAACTATTATTTCTAGCTTTTATAAGTAGTATACTATAATAAAATAATAAAACTACTACTAATAAATAATAAATATAAATATAATAAATTATTACTTATAGTAAAGGCTAAGCTACTACTTAGTAAATATATAGCCTTATTATAAGAGGTTAACTAATATTAAAAAAAAGTAAGAATAATCCTATATATAGTAATAATAACTTAGTTAGATATTACTTTTATAGCTAGCTAGCTTACTTACTTTAACTATAATCTAAATTTAAATTACTAAAAGGTAGTAAATTATATACTTAGATATTTTTACTAAATATAGCACTTTTACCTTAAATATAAAGTAACACTAAGTAGTAAAAATAATATATTAAAGGTTACTTTAGACGCCTTATTTACTAATAACTTACTAAACTATTATAGCTTATAAGCGTACGTACTAAAGCTATTTAGAGGGCTTATCTCCTAGTAAGCTAATAAATAAGATATAGTAATAACGTTAACTACTAAGGCTAAATTACTAGCCCTATTATCTACTATAAAGGAGGCGCTTTTTACTAGTAGATTAATTACTACGCTAGGTATTTAACTATTAATATAAATAAAAACTAAATTATTACTTAATAAGTAGGTAGCTACTAAATAGCTACTAACTATTTATATTAGCTATAATAATACTTAGACTATTAGGCTTATTACTAAGGAGCTTATCTAACTATAGATAAGGCTATAGTATATAAATATTTATAACTACTAGCTATAATAAGAAGTAGTAGTAAATTAGATTACTATTAAATATAAGAAGTCTACTAAATTAATAGCTAATAGATTAATAAAGGCACTTAGTACACTATAATTTACTATATTTATAGCTTAATTAAATATAAGTAACTAATATATACGCCTTAAAGTAAATTAATAGTAAAAATTAGCTAATAATAAAGTAAAGCTTTACTACTAGATAAAAGAAGAAAACATATAAGATATTAAAGGATAATTAATAAATAAATAGGCTATATATAGAGGATATTTAGCGCAGGCTCTGTAGTAATTAACTACGTTACTAGCGCTAAGGGGGTGTGTTAAATATAGTAGAATTACACGTAAATTAGCTAGTAAATACATAGTTACCTTATAGCGAATTGTCAGGGAATAGGCAGTAAATTAGCCCTACTTCTAGTAGTAAGTCTACTAATAATATCGCTAGGATTGGCTGGGGATTTCCTAACTAAGAAATAGGGGGTTTTCCCTATTTCTATAGTAATTTACTATAGATACATAACATATAACAGAATCAATCAAGCAACCATTACAATCCCTACTATTTGACAGAACCCGCTCAATAATTCCACTACGCAAGCGCCAGCGCCAGCGCCCGGCCGGAGGTCAATGGTGTGTGGGGCTACAGACTGTGGGGCTACGGACTTCTGAATCTCACGAACCCCCTAACTCTGGCCCGGGAGGCGACGGGCGAAGGCCGGCCTACCGGTGGTACTATAAATGTCTTACTTCCCTAGGTAACTAATTATCTAGGTAGGATAATGATTGGTAGACGCCCGAGCTTCATACCTATTCCATGGGAACTTGAGTAATGCACTTAGCGGTTACAACTGGCGGTTACAAGCTGGCCCAAGGTCTGCGTGCGGAGACGACGACCGTCGACCGCGTTCGACGCGTCTAGCTGTCGAGCTTCGGACATTACGTCGCGTGACAGCTGAACATATTGTCAGCATGATGTTACGTCACCAATTAAGCTTAAAGCCCGTTTTGATTTTAATTTTTGTGGTTGCATTATGATGTAAGTGTGTATGCTTTGTTACTGCCGCTCTATGGGTAGTAGATGACGACAAGGCTCAAGAGGGTGCGACGAGCGCCATTGCTTCATGCCAACGGCCAATGCTCTGATCGACTTTTGAAATTATTGAGTTAAAATACAAAGACATGAATGATTTTGATGTTAAAGACGATGTTGGATACGAAGTTAAGAACATTAGATTTTCTAAGAAAGATAGAAATTAGAAACAAGTTGTATTTTCTATTAAATTCTTTAATAATTGTTAAACAGTATTTTTTTCTCTTAAATTAATAAGAAGATAATAAATTAAATAAAAACCTTAACTTTTTACTAGATAGACATACTTATAAAGTTGGTAAATATATGATTTGAAATTCAGTATATGTATATATAAAAGACTCTTTCCTTATCTCATATGACAGTAAACCCTTGTAGAAGGTGCGTAATAGACCCACTTTTCTATATTCCTTTCTGCCTAGCACCTACCTATACTTTGTTACCGTTATAGTTTCCCCGAACTTGACCTACCTGCTTTATAACTTCAATTTGACAATTTACGCGCCGGCGACTCATCCACGCGCCCAGACTTTTGCCAAATCGGACGCGTCTGCGGGCTCCCCTCAAAGATGCTCGCCCTCAACGGCAGCCCTGAAAAGCCCGCGAACCCTCCGAAGACGGTGATTGACCTCACCAGCGACGAGCTTCCTGTCAGTATTGACTTGACGACGGTTGACGATTCTCCTCCACCGAGCCCACGACAAACTGCCGTTAACAGCGAGCCGCCCCGCAAGCGGCAGCGCGTTTCTAATGGCTCTTTCCTTTCAAGCAAATCGCGCGACCTCGCGGCCTGTCTGAAGGCACAGGTCAAGCCCTACATCGACGCTGCCCTGGCGGAGATCCCAGTGGACAAGGCCAACGCTTACGAGATTGGTACAAGAGTAAGTAGAATTGGTCTTGCAGGGCCTTCGAAGACTCCAGGCCTTGAGTTACGATTTCTTACGCCATGGCCACAGGTCATAAACGATATCGGCAGCACACCTCAGTTCTCACTCGAGTTCACCCACAAAGGTGGCTTCCTTTCGCTAGCCCTCGAGAGGGATCTGGCGGACAAGGCACGCGACCTAGTAGCTCACTACTATGGGCATCTCGTAAGGACGAATCGTAGAAAATCATACGCGGCAGGCGCGAGCTGACACTGAATTTCCCAGCAACCTGTCTTTGGAGGGCCGGCGGGCACTCAGGCATCGCCCTCTCTAAGAGCACCCTCGGTCTCTGCCACAGCCCACGCAATCCCGAACACTTCGCCTTCAAAACGCACGCCAGTAACTTCTTCGCGTACACTTTCGATTCCACGGAAATCCTCGACACACCCTGCGAGTGCATCCCAGACCAAGCCGCGGCCCTGCGCTCAGGACTTACCGGGCCCTCCTGTCTCGCCCACGAACTACCGAACAAAAGCGCGAGCGAAGTCGTTCAAGTCATGGAAGACTCGCACATCCCAATCGGCGCGGGCCACGGCGAGGCGCAGGGCCAAAATCGCATGGATGAATATGCCAAGGCGGCCATATATCACTACCGAAGAGCGAAATAGGATCTTTCGCGGCACACGCAAGCTTATCCGCACGAGTGCGACGGCGGTAGCGCATGGCCCACTCCCTTTCCATGTTGACTTCACGCCTGATGAGATGGAGGCGTTGTGGAGAAGGATCCGAGAAGGTTCCGGCAAAAAGGCCAGGACCAAGAGGCGCAGCGACACAGTCAGAGAACTGGGTAGACTGCTTCGCAAGAAGCCAGAGCTGCTCACCGTCATACCGCCGGAGCTTGAGCTGCGGGGAGCCTTAGCACAACGAGACCGAGTGGCGATTAGGAATCTGCTGGACGAGTTACTTGACAGGCAAAAGAGACCAGCCAGGCAGCCAAAAGTGTTGACACTTGAGCTGGATGAGTCTGATAAGCAGGGCGAAGCGCAGCGCACGAGCCAGATACCCTCGCTTCTGTTCGCTCGTGAAATTGATGGCCACCGAGGTTTTGGAAGAATGCGACGGCAGGTCAACTTCTCGAACGAGTTAAGGAAGGCTCATGAGGATCATCTGGAGTTGCGGGCTGAATGGGTGGGCTGCGCCGGTGACATTATGACCATCGTCTGGACCTCGGATACTAACTTCATCTGCGGCGCCACAGCCCATTCCGATTCGCACAACCAACAGTACAACAAGGCAGGCAACCTGCTGTTATGCTCTACTACAAGGGGTCAGCTGAAGGCCTATCCTGATCACAGGATTCCGCGCCCGGTTGTTGAGAAGGGAGAGAACTCGACAGAGGCGATGAGGGAGAGCCAGAGTCCTTGGCTGTACTCTTCGGTCGTATCTTCTGACTATGACCAAATCAACGATCGTGCCTACACATCCAGTTTCGATAAGACAGTCAAGGTCTGGAGAGTCGACAAAACGGGAGGGAACATGACTGTGCTGGGCACCTGGGCTCACCTGGGCAACGTCAACTTTGTAGCCGTTTCCAAGCACGAGTGCGGTATGGTGGCCACCGCTGCGGATGTTGCCTCCCATGCCGTGCGTGTTTACAATGTTGACAGCAACAGCATCTCTACAAGCCCATACCAGACCTATTCCGGCTCCAGAGCCTGGAATGAAGGCGATGAACAGACGACGGGAACACAAAAATGGGCTTATTTTCCGGCAACAATGCAATGGGGCTTGGCGCCGGAAGTGCAACATTTGCTTCTTGTCGGCTATTCCCCACGAAGCTTGACCGGAGATGATAACGACATACCCGATGGCAAGAGGAACACTGGAGAAATCTGTCTCTGGAATTGCCTGACGGGCGATAAAATAAAGGTTTTGACGGCATCCACACAGAACGTTTTCGAGGTTGTTTGGCACCCTACATTGCCCAGCTTCCTTGTGGCAACCTCGCCAGCTGGATTGATGGTGGATGACCACACGATGACGCAGGTTCGAGTGTTCCGACCTAGCCAGACGCCTGAGGGAGATACAGCATTTGGCGAGATCCAATGCCTGGACTGTCCGGCCCGGGACATCAACGAGCTTACCATCAAGCCCAACAGCGTTATCTGCTCCTACGTGACGGCTGCTTGCACCGATGGCAAAGTCTACGTGTGGGATACCGCCCGCGGTGATAAACCGATCCATGTCCTTCGGCATAAGAAGCCCATCGACGAGTTTTCTGGTGACCGTGAAGAGGCAGACGTTGGTGTCAAGTTCACCGCATGGGGGACTACGCCGGACCGCTTCTACACTGGCGGATCAGATGGTGTGGTCAAGGTCTGGAATGTGCGGAACCTGCGGCAGCCTCTTGTTCGAGATCTCCTAGAGGCTCCTGGTGCTATATCATGCGGTGCCTTCTCGCCCTGCTTCTCGAGACTGGCTATTGGGGATGCTACTGGAAGGGTAATGCTCCTATCACTGGACGAGAAGGACGAGCCACCTGCGAAGTACATCATGCCACCAATTCCACCTGGTGTAAGACCACGAGGCGCCCACCCAGTCCGTCGCCCGATGCCTATCATTGAGCACGAAGAGCCTCCAGCCCCCAATTCAGGCGCAGAGCCTCATACGGGGGTTGAAAGAGGAAGAATGTTATTAGCAAGGGGCCAGCTGCTTCGGCACCGAGACCCTACTATTGGCGTAATCCAGGGGCCACAATATCTCGATCTCGGCCTCTACCGCTCCGAGCTTCACTTTGAGGGTAACCCGTCACAGCCCCTTTTAGCCAAGGTTGAGTGGGAGCAACAAGAGAACCAAAAGATGTTCCGCCGCAAATCGCTCAAGGTCACTCGCTATCGACCTTTACGGGACATGCCCTCTGTTGCCTGTCAGGTCCAGCACGCGGAGAATATGGCAAAAGATATAGATCTCCAGGAATTGGATGAGATGACGAAGCAATACCTGGTCGTTGACGACCCCATCCACGACCAGGGATGGGAATTCGATCTTGAAGAGGAGATTGATTATGAGAAAAGCGCCTGGGCAGCGCTTTAAAAATGATGAAAATATCTCCAGCGTGGCTAGTCGGGTACAAGCCTTCCTATGTAGCGGGAGCTGGCGGCAGCTATGGCCTATAGAGACTAAAGATGTAGAAATACTCTTGTTAAACGAATACAAAGAATTATGACCTCTTACGAAAGGCTCCTCTTGTAATATTTAGAAGATTATTTCTTCTATCAAAGAACCTAAGAAGTTACTTAAAATCCCCTTTAAATAAAGCCAATAAAACTTAACTACCGCTTCTTAATTTGTGTTGATTGTACATGGCATAACCTTAGAGCTACTACCTGCTTATATTATTACGTTACCTTACAGTGGGAAAAAGTAAAGAGAAGTAAGCGAGGCAGCGTAATAGCCCGATGGAACAAGGAGCAAAGTATAGCATAGAAAACGTAGGTACAAGTAATTGTAGTCCGGTCTGCTTTTCAAGAGTGAAGTGCTAAAGGAGATTGACTATATAAAGGGTACTCGAGATACTACTAGCCTACGGAACGTCTCAGGAGAAGATCGGGGAAGTCGTTAGAACGATAGGTCAGTCGCTTCAGCCAACCACGCGTGTAGACGTCTCTTTGCAATAGATAGGGGACGAACTATACAGAGTGCCTTGACCTAGGTCTAAAGTCTTGGCGATCGACTAGTAACGTTAAATCGAGTATAAGATGTGTAAGCCATGGCTGCGAGATGTGACCTTAATCAAGCCGACCACGCCGGCCGGAGTAAGAAACATGACTTGGAACATCGTAGAACGCACGAGCCTTGCACTTGGCCCATAATATCGATTCCTCTTGAAGTATTTTACCGGGTCGCAATGATGATTCTGCTGGAGCTCACCCATCGCCGCCGGCCGTTGCCTTTTCTCCAGCTCATGATAGAGTCCCTTCGTCCTCATGTTCTACCGGGAAGCTGTGACCTCAAGAGCGCCTCCGCCTCACCATTGACGCAACCTCGCCCGCATCGGCTTCGCTCTTGTCCACAAACCCAAACCTCTCATACAGTCCCTTGCCGGCCTTGCTCGCATCCACGTACGCCCCGACCCCGTCCTCGTCCGCGAGCTCACAACCCCACTTCAGTAGCATCGACCCGGCGCCTCGCCGCTGGTAATCAGGGTGCGTCACCAGTGTGTCCAAATCTGTTCACTCCGCCCTATCAGCAAACGACCCGAGCCGGAGCACACGCCTCCCTGAGATGGAGGGCAGCTCACAATAATGTTCTTCGTCCCCCATGACTCGCGCCCTCTCCCTCTCCTCCTTGTCGAAGAACGCGTCACACACCTCCGCCGGCATGTCCTCACACCAGGGCGGGTACCGGCGCCCCCGCCGCGCCGGCATGGACGTGTCCCATTTGGCCCAGGCCGCGACCCTTGGCCTCCCGCGGGCGTCGACGGCGCCTGGGTCGACGACCTTGACGAACCGCTGGAAGGGCTTGCCGAGCATGTCGCCGCGGTTGGCGTCGTCCCACCACGCGCGCACGCGGGGCGTGTCGGGCCACAGGCGGGTGATCTCCGGATCGTGCGCGAAGGCGGCGAACCAGACCTCCGTGAGGGCGGGGACTTCTTCGAGCGTCGCTGGTTCGATGATGAGGGCGCTCAAGATCGCCATGGCGAGGGGTTGAGGCGGTTGTTAAGAGGCGGGGTGGTGTTACTCTGAAACAGAATAAAGTAGCTTTATATAAGATATTACTATATAATACTACTTTTAGTATAACATTACTTTATAATCTATAAACAAACTTTCTAAGAGCCATTGATGGGGTCTAATGTGAGACTATAATCGATCTCATTGGTACTCTGTGCATTCTACCCAGACACAATTTTACGTCAACACATCATGTTTCATGAAGAGGTTTCATGAAGAGGATATAGAATCAAAGAACTTGTATATAGGAGTAATATCGGAATTGCTACACTTTTGGTATTCTAAGCTACAACCTAGGCATGACCATGAGTCTGCAACTGGAACAGTAGAGCAAAAGTCGTTCCTCCGTGACCAACCCGTAAAGGGGCAACGTGAAGACTGAAGAGAGAAGACAATGTCAGTCGGTGAAAGACACTTTGGGTTCATTCAGTTCTACCAACACGTTGATTCGATCTGACAGGAACCTTCTTCTCATGACTTAGTTCTACACAGTCTTTTATTTTATGTTTTGCGTGCCCGAACCTGAGCTTGAACGTGAATAATAGTCTGGGACGTTGGCTGTTGCTCGGAGCCCGTTGGATTGCTGTGTGAGTAGATCTTCCACTATTCTGATAAAAGCTGCGTGATACTATTGTGTGTGCAAAGGTAGTCTTCAGGCCACAGCATGGTTGTGATTACCTGCACTACTAACATTTTGGCCCATATCAACACTTTCTCTACTTCATTATGACCTCTGATGAACGTAAGTTCCGAACCAAGAGTGACTTTGCCTGTTCCCTCCAGCAATGCTACTTGAAGCACCTCGACGTCCCATCAAGCTTTGGGTCAACAACCTACCGTCGAATATAATAATACAAGCATTTTCGGCCATATCACTAATTTTCAAACTAATGGGGCTGACTCTGCCCTCACATGGGTAGATTATGGACCCGTGGAAGGTCCTCTGTCTTATTCAAGCTCCCGGGCTGATGAGATAGCGGATTGGACACTGACAGAGTGGATTGCCCATAAGTAGCTGAGGTTAAGGTAGCAGGGAGTATTCCATAACAAGACAATACCAGAGCCCTGCGTGGGGTGAATGGCCGGGATGGGAATATGTGTAGACGACTGAGATGGGCTGAAAATATTGCTTATGAGATAGTTCAAGTTCACGATAGCTGATACTTTCGCCCATTTCGTTACGACGCGAGTTATGATTTCAAATCCATGTTCATTTTTCATTTAAAGCTAGACCAGTCATGATTGTTTGTTTGTCCACACTTCTACCTCGAGTGCTCTGCTGCCCATATTCTCAAAAACCAAGGTCTGTTGCCATCCAGTCTCAATAAGCGTCTAATCTATCAACGTTCTTGCTTATGGCCAACCCCTCAAGGTACTATTTCCGCCATTCAATGACCAGGCCAAGGCTCGGCAATATTATGTGAATCCATCCTAATGTTCAGACCCCATCGTCGCCATCGGCCTCCTTGGGAGCATCGTTCTGTTCACCATCGCCGTGTAGCTCGTGAGCGGTGCTTCCTCCATCAGGCTCTGCATTGGCAGCGCTCTTGGACTTGGTATTGAGACGCTTCTTCTTCGAGGGAGTCTGGGATTCCTCGCCGTCAGACTCGTCGGCTGGAGCCTTCTTCTTCCGTCCGCTGGAGCCGATAGCCTTTTTACCGCGAGGGGTCACAGGGTTACTGACATTGCATGCGGTGGCTGTGGCAGAGTTGGTAAACCAACCGTGCTTCGAAGCGGCAGCGGAGATGCGCGTACGGGCGGCGTTGGCACTGGCAGCACCGACGGCCTCGGCGAGGGCGTCCAAGTCAATGGCGGGACGGTCGATCAGTCGCAAAATTGCGAGCATGAGACCGACCTCGGAGTTGTTACAGTTGTGACCCGGGGTTGTGGCAGCGGAGTCGGTAAGAGGCTTTTTAGGAGGCATCACGAACGGTCCGATGAGTGAGCTGCGGGCAAGGTCAGGAGGGTAGTTTGAGGAGGAAATTCCCAGGAAGAAGATACAAACTCTCCAGCCAACCAGCCTCTTACTTACCTCGTATTCAATGATTTGTGGTTTGAAGAGGATTCTCTGCCGAGTTGTAATGATGTGGAGTTTTGAAGGTGAGTTGTGACTTGATGATAAGAGTGATAATTACAAAGGTGACGAAGGTTTGAAGTGGGAGGCAGGAGGCAGGAACGACCCTAGCGAAAGAAAGTGGTTAATCCAGGAAGGAACGAGCACATGGCTGTTCATAGTTATTTGAATGCCTACACAAAGAACAAAATAAGAATAGAATCTTCTGTCCCCATTACTACCCATGATCGCCAATTGGCTCTCTCATGTTGCGAAATCGGCACACTCTCTTTTGTCCATATTTCGACCTCGTCAGATAGTTGGATATAGTTGAGACATCCAGGGCTCGAAATTAGAGCTGCCAGCTGGTTGCTTAAGTTTGCCCATCGAAATTGGACTCAGTAGGGATGACATATTACTCGGCCGAATAGCAGTGGCTATACTTGCACTATTGCAACATATGTAGTCTATGTGTTAATCAACACGGTTCCATTGGCGACTTCCGAGGTATGCAAATAGTTGATGCTGGATGTTATAGGACATACATGAACACAAAACTTAGTAAAACATTAATAAGTGCTTTGTTTTCCCTACGAATATGGAGCGACCAAACAATGAACAACGGTAAAAGTCCAAATAACAGCCCGCAATGCAGTTTAGTATCGCTCCCCTGAAAGCGATTCCGCGCACGATGCTATTGTTGAAGCAATAGTCAGACGAGCGAGGGCATTTGTCCCGGAACTTGCTAAGAGATTGACACTGCAATATGGAGAAAAAGTAAGGAGCCTGTTCCGAATATAACCGTCATAAAGAGCATGATTCGTAGAATCCCTATGTGCGTTGGCATGATGGCGATGCATGGAAGGAGAATGCCAACATACGCGTTCAGGAGACTGTTTGCTGTTATGTAGAGAATTCCGGCGGAAAAGAATACTAGCATGGTACAAGAAGTATCTAGTTATAGTCACGTTGGAGGTGGAAGTATTTGCTTGTGTCTTAATTGACAGACGTCTTATTGATTTCATGAGTCCTCGATCGCACTAACCTGGAGAGCTATTCTTCTATGCTCTGGAGATATTTCCGCTGCGCCACGAACTTGACCATCCACAACACCCATGATCACTATTGTAAGATATGGAGGACATGTTGGGTATAAGATGACGGGCGCCTCAAGGGGGTGAGGGAAAGAGCAAACCTCTGCTTCTCAACCCTCTTATCAACACCAAGCTTCACAGCAATACGATCGAAGAAACGCTAGGGACTAAACCCCGAAATCGTTTGTGTCTCGTAAAGACATACTGGTATTGCTTGGGAATCTAAATGTTTCGTGCTGTTGCTGCCCTTGTCGATAGGCTAAAGCGGATTTTGAGAGCCATCTCTCAGAGTTGACGTCTGCTAACCGTGGACCATCTACATGCATCGCGCATTGGGACATAGTCTACCATCATGACTGTAATTAGTTCATGCTTACTCTCCTTTAGCCTCTTTCTAAGCTTTGAGGATCCTGTTTGACATAGTATAAACTAGTGTTTGGGGCTGAAGCCTCGAGCGTTCTTGTTCTCCCTCGCAAATGGCCTAGCAAGATCCAGCAGCACAGCTGCCTGCGAGAATATGTACATGGGTCCTGCCTGGCGCCGCATCATTCGGTAGCAGCTGTGGCAAAGAAAGATTTAGATAATAATTACTGCTTGCTTATGAGTGGAAGGAGAACGGTGACTAGGTACTCAACTTAAAGTTTTAATGCTCTTGGTACCTACCTAGTTACAAGATTCCGAGCCAAACGTCCATTGCCTAGCATCGTTTCTTGTGGTCATCCGTCAGATTTCTTGAGTTAACAAACCCACCCGACGGCGTCCACATTATAAGCTATCCTTCCTGGCAGCGCCCACTGCTCATTTCCCCCAATGTCTTAGTCAAGAATACTCGGGCTTCCCCTCTGCCTCCACGATGGGAAAGGGTTCTTCCTGACCGGGTACGACTCGTGGCACACGCGGGGGGAGCATGGGGGAGGAGCCAAAGAGGTGGACCTGCTCGTTCTCTATCCGTACTCCGTAAACTATATACAATGTAAGTACTTGTACCTGTGTCTTGTATACCTAGAGGGCCCCGCTGTGCCAAATGCAGGTCTCAAGCGCGCATATGGGGGGACCACGAGAATTCGACGGTGGCCATCGTGGACGGCGCCCGTTGCCATCTTTCCACTCTATGTGGATCCAATGTGGTGGGGTTTTGGAATGCTGAGTAGCACAATCGAGACGCCGGGCCAGATGACAATAACCTGCAAGTTTGTTCGCCTTTTCGTGGTCCTGGGGCACGGCGCCAACCCCGTCGCCGTAGTGGATGCGGAGGCGCGCATCGCGTGTCCGTCGTTATAACTCGTCGACCAACCATACCGATCAGGTGTCAGGCGGTCACATGAAGACATTACACCCTGGCACCTTGACACTTTCCCTGCGCTGCAACTCGATCTTGGTTTTCGCAAGATCCGAGGTTTGCGATGGGAGGATGCAAAGGTGCTTTTGGCTTTGGGGCGGGTTGGATCGTCTGGGGTAAGGCACTGCTGGGAGGATGGACCCTCCTTGGTCCCGCCCACGGGGCGTTGTTTTGCGGACACTCGTGACTAGGGATGACCCCTAATGGAAACCAAGATATGACGTCGATTGACGAAGAAGACCTACGCGGTCGGGCGACGACGGCCAGAGCACACCCCTTGTGGATCCCGCCTCCGCTATTGTTCACACTCACTTTCAGGTGCCGGGCTCTTCATTCCTCCACCGGCATGGTCATCCAAGGAAAACGCGGCCGCGTCGCTCTGTTTCGCCACAGAACCGCCGGAAAGACGTCTGTCGAAACGACACGGTACGGACGGACATGGAGCTAGAGGGGGAGGATAGAGGGGGAGGAAGGGGGGCCGAAGACGACGCCGCCTCACCTCATCTCGAGAAAGCTGGATGGGGGTTTATGCAAGCCCTGACGCCGGGCATCCGCACTTGTCCTTCCGTGGCAATCGGGCCGGGGGGCTCATTACCAATTTGATTCAGAGAGAGGTCGTACCCCTCCGTGGAGAAAACCCCGACGACGGCCGAGCGTCACCCACTTGATCGAGTCAGCCACGGCCCACGGGTTTCACGTGCGTGCACACCTCGTGGTGATCCCAAGGGCCGTACGGTACGAAGTTGGGATTGAAAAGGCGGCATAGTCGAAGCATACGTAACCCGTCAAGATCCCAAACCGCAGGCGGCCGAGAGTGGGTTGGATTTCATTATTAGAAACTCGTGGGGACGCTGGTTGGGAGTTAAGTGGCCCCCCCCAATCCCTAAGCCTCTCTTCTGCCCCTTTGTATCCTCAATGTGCCCAGTAATAACCTAATAACCTGCTCTGAGGTGTTTGCAGAAAGGCTGATGTGCAACCGCGCAATCTTGCAATGGCATTGGATAGGCCGTCCTGTCGACGAGGTCCCTGATCCCTTTCTCTTGGCTCCGTTAAACCCCTGCGGCATGATCGGATAATCCTCATTTCAGGGGGGAAAGAGGAAGGGGGCAGCAGGAAACTAAAGCAGCAACGTGTTTTGTTGCTTTTCTTTTTCTTGTTCGTTCGAAGAAAAGGAGGTCGTCCCTGGAAGAGGTTCACAAGCCCAACCATTTTCAACCCATCAACCCTCTCTCTCTCTCTCTCCCTCTCCCCAAACCGCAACCTGGCCATCATCCAGACCATCTGATACTTTCTTTTCGTTCGGTGCGCACCTACACTACAACCACGACCTGCACTTTCGACCACATGACTACCTACTGATTAACCCATCGCGTTTTATGCCCTGTCTATCTACTATCATTGCCCTCCTACTCAACATCATCTGTTCTATTCTTGACCTTTCCTGTACCGGCTCGGCGGTACACACCCATTGTGCCGCCTTACGGACACTAGCAGGCGGCCCCCCATTCCTTCATCGTCATCGGTTTTCCACCCTACCGCTCGCTATCTATTCCTGCTACGAGTGTCGCTTGCTGTTGAATACGGTACCCCAGCCGACTTTGTCTCGTGTGTGCCAAGGCAGACCGCTTGGATGCGTGCTGCGTGGATCTGCACTACCTGATCTGGACTTCAAGGTACGTTGAGGGAAAGCGGCGTCTATCAAAAAGTCGTTTTTTCCCCCTTCTCTTTCGTTCGTGCGTATCTCCATTGGCCGTTTCCTGCACCGTTGCGTAAGGCCTCGTCCGGTAGACTGCATCTTGCATTGGGAGACGGAGACTCTGTTTGACATCCGATCATCTGCTCGGTGTCGGTATCGGCAATCACCTCTTTGTTGTACTCCAATACCTGCTTCTCGGGCCCCGCTTCTTCTTCCTTATCTTGTCTTGGGTTGAGCGCCAAGTAGCAGAACCAAGAGGCAGAGAACCAGCGGCATCTTGCATCAGGGGACGAAGACTCTGGAGCAGGTTGGATTCCGGATTCTGCTTGCTTCAACAGCTGAACAGAAGGCGGCTCCATCAGCAGCTTTCAACCCGGCACCAGCACCAGCACCAGCGCTATAGGTACTGCGTCCCCTACAGTATGTGTCTGACGCAGTCCTGCATCGAGCGGCGCATCGCGTCCCCACAGCGGTGCAGCAAGTGGAGTGGGTCTCGACCAGGCCGGTTCCTTGTTCGTTTGCAGGCTTCCCGGGAAGACAGTGTGTCACTGTGCAGCAGATTGCCACCCGCAAGCCGCCTGTGTGCCGCCGTCCCTTCCCAACTGCCAGCCCAACCCCCAGCCAGCCTGGCCCAATCCACTGCCCATTGTCGTCTCCCTCCTACCGGCACCAATCGTAGTTGTCCTTTCCCTCCGCCCAAGTGGCCCGCCTTCCACGCCCCGGCTAGCTCGTCCACCCGCCCGCAGCTTACCGTCTCTTTCGCCCACTACCTGGGTTGTGTTGTCTGTCCATAGTACGGATACTTACCTAGCTGCAGGAGTACCTACCTACCTACCCCATGCCCATTCGGCCTGTTCGCCGCCAGACCCTGACTGATCCGTCACCCATCGACTACTCTCTTCTCACTCGCTCGGCTCGATTCGACTCGACTCGCCGTCTCCGCCAGGCGTCGTCCAAAACATTCTTTTTAACCCTTCCCACTCCCAACCTTTTCAATTCTTCTTAGAGCGGAAGGGCGCTGCTGCTAATCAGCCCCCACTACCACCCAAGATTCCTTCCTTAAACGGCCGACGTCTTCCGTCCAACATCCCCCTGCGGACCCTGCAGTCCCGTCCACATCCAGACCACCAGGACCAAGCGACGTCATTGCTTGCTTCGGATCGGAACGACCACCACCACCGTGACCACCACCACTCCTCCTCCCACACCCGCAACCACAACAGCCACCATCACGACTACAATAACGACAAGGACCCTCATCACGGCCACCCGTCACCTGAGGACTCTCTCGCCTCCGATTCCGACTCGTGGACCGACACTGGCGACCTCGCTGAGCAGCTTGCCGACGAGGAAGACCCCCTCCGAATCCAGCTCGCTAGCGACATCGATGACGAGCTGCTAGCCGGCGTCCACAAAAGGCATCCCTCCCACTCAAAGCCTTCCAAGAAGAAGCGCGTTCGCATCCAACTCTCTCCCGGCCGTCACGATACCTCACCAAGCCGTCGTGGAGCCGTTAATAAGGAGGCCATTGAGGTCCCAGACATCCCCCAACCCCGTCCGACCCGCGCGCAGCGAGTCATTGGCCTCATCATGTCGGGCGGTTCCTCTGTTCACGGCCTCACAGGCCGCGCCCTGATGTGCGTCCCGCTCTCCCCGAGATTCACTTCCTCACCGACGAGCCCGCTGACTGACTTTGCAATGCCGCAGTTACTTTACGAGTATCTTCGTATCGTTGGGTGTCTTCCTCTTCGGGTATGACCAAGGTGTCATGTCGGGCATCATCACGTACGTTCACCACCTCGCGAGCTGCTGTCACCCATGCCTTGGGGGAATATTGCTACTTACCACGTGGATACCACAGAGGCCCTCACTTCAAGAACTACTTCCACCAGCCCTCCACGGCCGAAATCGGTACCATGGTTGCCATCCTCGAGGTCGGTGCCTTCATCTCTTCCTTGATTGTCGGTAAGGTGGGAGACATCATCGGTCGACGCAAGACTATCCTGTACGGTTCCATGATCTTCTTCGTTGGCGGCGCCCTCCAGACATTTGCCAACGGCATGCCCATGATGATGCTTGGCCGAATCATTGCTGGTCTGGGCGTCGGTGCCTTGTCCACCATCGTTCCGGTATACCAGTCCGAGATCTCCCCCCCGCACAACCGTGGAAAGCTTGCCTGCATCGAGTTCTCTGGCAACATTATCGGTTATACCACCTCGGTCTGGGTCGATTACTTCTGCGGCTTCATCGACAGCGACATGTCATGGCGTCTCCCTCTCCTGATGCAGTGCGTGATGGGAGCTCTTCTCGGCTTCGGCAGTCTGGTGATTGTCGAATCCCCAAGGTTCGTTTTCAAGTCTGTTCGTGAGACTCTGCGCGCATTCCTAACCTGTGACCAGATGGCTTTTGGACAACGATCATGATGAGGAGGGTATCGTCGTCATTGCCAATTTGTACGGGAAGGGTGACATCCATAATCCCAAGGCCAGGGATGAGTACCGCGAAATCAAGATGAATGTACTTCTCCAGCGACAAGAAGGGGAGCGCACGTACGCCGAGATGTTCCGCAAGTACAAGACCCGCGTCTTCATTGCCATGTCGGCCCAGGGTCTCGCCCAGCTTAACGGCATCAACGTCATTAGCTACTACGCCCCCTACGTTTTCGAGTCGGCAGGCTGGGTCGGCCACGATGCTGTACTCATGACTGGTATCAACGGAATTACGTACCTGTTGTCGACCATCCCTCCCTGGTACCTGGTTGACAGGTGGGGTCGGCGTCCAATCCTTCTGAGTGGTGCCATTATCATGTCCATTTCGCTGTCCTTGATCTCGTACTGGATCTACCTCGACATCACGTACACACCAACTCTGGTCGTCATATTTGTCATGATTTACAACGCGGCGTTCGGGTACTCATGGGGACCGATCCCTTGGCTCTACCCCCCGGAGATCCTGCCCCTGAACATTCGCTCCAAGGGTGCCAGTCTGTCCACGGCGACCAACTGGGCCTTCAACTGGCTGGTTGGAGAGATGACGCCCATTCTGCAAGAGTGGATCAAGTGGCGGTTGTATCTCGTGCACGCCTTTTTCTGCGCAGTCAGTTTTGTTGTCGGTAAGCTGCACTCTTCCTTCCCATTATGAACGTCACCTGGCTGACATGAAACACCTAGTGTACTTCATCTACCCCGAAACTTGTGGAGTCCGTCTGGAAGAGATGGACTCGCTTTTCGGAGACGCCAGTACTGCCATCGGAACGCCGTCGATACACGCCGCCGAAAACGACTCGCTTATGCGCGTCGGATCTCCTATCGGGTCCATTGACTATCGAGGCCGACCCGGCAACTTCACCGCCAACAGTGCCATCCCCGGCCTGTCACTGGACCCGCCTGACATTCCCGATGGCAAGGGTCAGGACGGCGAGGCGAGCAGCACCATTAGTGGATGGGTCTCCAGAGTTGTCGGTCGCACACGAGACCAGAGCAGTGGCGGCAGTGGTAGATATGCTCCGGTCAATAACCAGGATGATTGAGACGTGCCCCACGCACACGAGAACGAACACGCTTAGATGGTATTTTTTGCATATAGAAGGCGGCCGCATCTCTTCTCGGTGTCGCAGGCTCCCCCGGACTGGACGATAAAGGGAAAGAAGGGTGAAGGTAAAGGTTGAGCGGGGAACAGAGTGTGCTTTCTTTTCAGTGGGTTTTTTTTCGACATGGGTGAGGGAAAACTAGGATCTCGAGTTGGATCAAGAGAAGCGTTGTAGAATAAAGGCGGGACGAGCCACCGTGCTCAAAGCGTCTGGAAGTACTTTTGTGTCTTGTTCGTATGGGGTGTGTTCTTCCCCCGTTGGACCGTGTGTGTACATAAACTCTGTCTACTACCAGCAATCTCTAGAATCATAGAGATCAGCCATTGACAAGAAGTACCTTTTGTTACCAACCCCTGACTTATTCTATTTTGTGATTATTAGCTGTATGGAATGGTTGATAAAGTGCTCTGGGCCCTGGTCTCTAATGGTTGCAGAAATTTCTCTGTTAGATTTCCTGACTTGCTCCCTGGATAGGCTTGGGTTGTCGGCGTGGCCAGAGTGTGGACGGACAACTTGACCGTTCGAGGTGGACTCGGTGCCCCAATTGGACTCACAGAAGCCATGTGCCTGCGTGGGTATATGAACGGATAAGGTTGTTTTTCCGAGCTGCAAGATGGCAATGTTCCCTCCTTGGTCATGCTCGATGGCAGCATCCCCCCCCCCCCCCCCGCGAAGCCTATCAAGTCATGAACACGAGCGAATGTTTCCACGAGAACCCAGGTGATGAGGTGTGCGTGGCTGAAAAGTCTCATTGCTAACTTTGGAGGCCATTTCTCCCGCCATACCAGGTTCCTTGAGTCACAACTGAGCAGAGCTGGGAGACCCGAACCGGCGGTTGATTCGTTGCTTGAGCATGGAAGAAGCAACCCGGGGGCAAAAAGGCTTGGTTTAAGACCTCGGTTTCTGTTCTTGGCGGCGACCAGCCCGGCGATGATCGGAGGAAGGGACGGCGCAGCCAGCCGGTAGAGGGCAGAGACTCCAATGGCCTCACGACTGCGAGATCTGGTCGGGCGTGGTCACCGCCCACGGTCAACCCGCAGTACGCCCATTTCTGGACTGGATGTGATTTGATATTGAGGAAGAAGCCCATGTGAAAAGACAGTATGGCACCATCTACCGTCCTCTTCCAATCAAGAAAGAGTTACGGCCACTCATTGTCCGTTTGTAGGTTTGACGTTCATAGCGGCCACAGGTATCGTCTTGGAGGCCTCTATGTCAAGGAACCGAAGGACGGTGATGGAGGGGGGAAAAAACACGTCCATGTTGCTACGACTTGTTGCCCCTGTGGGCCATGGCCGGTCATGCTGGGCCCCCGGGGTGTTCTGAACCTTGCGTGGGCGAAAGCCAAGAAAAAAGAGATAGCGGATAAGAGAGGCAAAAGACGACGCTTGAAGGCCAGTCCCTGTCGAATCAAGGGCTACTACATAAAATGTCGAGCATCGTCAGCACGGACTAGCTAGAGCTCGAGATGAAGAGTGGCAGTGGGCATGAAGGTTGGTCCTGCTCGATCTACACGCGTACCATCGATGTGAAACTGTACCGAAGCGACAACAGCACGGCGCGGAAACGGGAGCAAAAGAGGGCACCAGAGCGGACAGAATCACCCGTGATAGTGTTTGTTGAGTCGCTATATCAAACAACGAGCGAGATGTGTTGTTCAACGCATCCATGGCTTACCCGGTTCGAGGGCCCTTGGCGTCTGCATGGAACCCACGATCTCGCCTCCGAAATAGTATAGACTCCCAGCAGGCCAAGACAGCAGCGCCGTCACCGAGACACGAAGCCTCGCAGAGGAGCTTTCTGGGTATTCAGCGGGGAGCGTGGAGCAAGGATATATATCACCTCGCCGAGTGGAAGTTTTTGCACCCGGTTGGAATATGGCCAATTGGGAATGTATCGCGTCACTCTTATCTACAGCACCGGGGCAGGTTTCAGGATCCGACTTGTGTATATTCGGAATCCAGCAAGGGTTTGTAGAGCAGCGGTATATTCACTGTTCGGTAGCGATAGCCAGACGGGAGCTGGGACATGATCCGCACCGACGCCCATTTGGTTTTTGGAAATGGCTCCATGGTCTTGTAAATGTATATTAAAACCAGAGGTGATTTGTCTCATCCGAATGAATCCTACGTTGTTGTACATTATCTGGGGCCTTAAACCACCTTTTCCTTTTCTTTTGGGTGACCAGCGAAACACCTTGCTTCTCATCTTTGTCTAATACCCTTTCGTCGAGTTCTTGCAGTACCCAACCGTCTAGCAGGTTTAGCTCCAAAGACTCCATATCTACCAACCCAACGCCGTGGCCTCTATAATTGAGTCTCTTTTTTCGTATTTATTTAAGCATACCATCGAAGGCGGGAATGAGCGTCTGTGCCAGCCAGAAGGAGAAGACCAGCTTCGGGCCAGTCATCAACAACTAAGGGAGGTTAGCATTAAATAGCGTCAATATGAAAGGGCAAGGGTGGAAAAGTACCTTGGGAACAAGACCCTTGAAGAAAGCGCCGGCACCCTCGTTCTTCATCATGTTGGAGATGATCTTGAAGCCGCTCTCGGGATTCTCGAAATTGCGGTTCTGGATACGGGTCTTGATGACGTCCAGGGGGGCGGATACGACTAGGGAGGCAGATGCACCGGCGATAGAGGCGATGAAGTTCTGGAACCACGAGGCCTTGTTGTAGTCCTCAAGCTTAAAGAGGTATTCTTTCGTGAAAGCGGAACCACCGAACAGCTGTGTACCTAGAATTAGCCATGTCGAAACCAAGATCAGAGCAGGCAAAAGTGCTTACAGCGAAGGAACCAGGTGCGTTACGGGCGGCAGTCCAGCCCCATCCTCTGTACAGACCGAAGCCCTCGTCGGCGACGATTCTGAACACGCCACGACCGCGGAAGGCCTCGGGGTTTGTCTGTCTCTTGATCTTGAGGACATCAAGGGGGAGGAGAACGATTTCTCCGATACCAATCAAACTGTTGTTCTGCAAGTCAGCAATGATTCCGGCCCAGCTGCTTCCTTCACCCAAGGTAGACTCACCTGCCGGCAGTGGAGTGCATGATGGCCTTGCCAGTCTTCTTGCCGAAAGCGCGCTCAAAATCCTCGCCGAAGTTCTTGCTCAGGTAGTCCCTGGCAACGGGCTGACCGCCGTACTTGTATATTCTTTGCAGGACCTTATAGCCGGCGGCGTAGCCCAGACCGGGGAAGAGGGAGAAGAACTTGCGGCCGGCGGGCGCGGTGGCCTTGTCCTTGAAGATAACCTGGTTGAGCTGGTCGATGCCGGAGATCTAGAATCGTTGGAATACGTGTCAGCCGTCTCTTGAGCACGTCGTGTTGCCGAAGCTTCTGAAACGTCTTCAGTGATCGCACGTACCTTGGTCTGGTTGCTCATCAATCGCTTCGCAATGGTGTCGACCTAAAGCTTCACATCAGCTCCTTCATTCAAACCAATGCAGCCTGTCGCAAAACTTACGGGGTGGAAGACGGCCAATTCGGCGATACCAGCGGAACCTGCGAAGAGTCAGCATGCTAAGCTTTGCGCATCATGGGAGACCAGGCGCAAAATGCATACCGGAGCCCAGAAGTCGTGCAGTGTTCGACTCCCTCTCCCGTCCAGAAGCAACAGGCGGAGACATCTTGAATGTGTGTATTTGCGTTTGGAAAGATGAAAGAAATGATAAACGAGCTTCCAATTGATCAAGAGAAAGAGCAGTCTCCGGAGGTCGTCGGGGTTGGGGGGCACGGATATCACACGACACGAAGTGGTTCGAAGAGTACGTAGAGTGTGTGGTTCAAAAGTTTTTGGAGACAGACAGTTGGAAATTTTTACTCTGCCACTTCTGCCCGGCCTCGCAGCTCGACTGCTGGCCCTGCTGCAAGGACAGGGGCCCCTAGCGCCGCCGAGCATCGGGAAGTGGGGACTAGCACCCGCCGAAGCATAGCTACCGACCGCTGCGCCCCGACCGTTGCGACCGCCGGCCGATCGGGGTTGAATCCGGCTCTTGATTGAGATTGATAAATGAATACGCCAGATGAATGGAGGCTGATTAACCATTACTTGATCTCTCATGATCGGAGTATCCATGGAAGTTGACCGAACAATTGGAGTTGCACAGATGTTGAGCGCGAGGCTGAGACGCCAACAATAAACGTGGGCGTCTTCATGTTGATTTATTGGGTATCTACCATCTGCCTTCCCTTGCCAGTTTTTGACCCATCAGTGCTCTTGTTTCCTCTGCTAGCCAAGATTGGACAATCCACGGCATGCTCGCGGCATCCGCAATAGGGATCGGAGACCAAGGCGCCATCCGTGAATCATGCTTCCATCTAATAGTCCCTGAAGACGGCTACCAGATCGTCAAGTCTCATGACGTGACCGAGAAGTTTACTCTGCAAATCCAAGTATCTGCTGTATTTGTTGTAGTGCTCCGCAGTCATGACTTCTTCCTCCTTACCCTTCACATCATTTCTCTCCACGAAAGACAGGATGTTACGTTCCCGATACCGGTGGACCTCCAAATTTTGCAGGCATCGAAGCATGGTTTTGTAGAAATCGTCGACAAGTTGAGCTTCAATCCTCTCAATGTCAAAGAACCAGAAGAACATGGTTCGTGTTGCTGTGCGGCTAGCATCTCTCGGGACCTCCTGGACGTCAACGAAACCGGCCATCTGCATCGCAAGCATCTTGCCTTGCACCTCTCCCTTCTTCATAAGAGCAAGAGAAGGCAACATCTTCTCGTCCAACTTGCCTTTTTCTCGTAAAATTCTAGTCAGACGAAGTCCGTGCCGACCGAATGATTGCTCGATTACGGCATCCACCTCCGTCTGTTTGAAGCCTTCGATCAATGGCTTGAAGTCGACGGTCCATTGGCCTCGACCCTGGCCACCGCAATGCCGCAGAAACCCCTGCCTGCTTTCTGATAGTAGGAGAAGATGTTGTCGTACTTGGTCCATACGACTAGTACCTGGTGCAGGCCCGTCCTCAAATTTGACCTTTGCTTCCCGAGACCCAGAAACCGCTCGTGGCTCGTCATCTTCGCTATCGCCAGACTCTCCGCCTCTTGAACCATTTGTCAGGGAGCGAGCAGTTGCCCTTGGCACTGACGGGCTTTCGTCGAAAGAATCATCAGAATCGTACATGGGTTGGCTGGGTGTAGCTCTGATCTTCTCGGCGCTTTTATGGTCAATCTGATCTGCTGAAGCCTTGCCAACTCCATGAGAGACATCAACAGACTCATCAAGGGCTTCAAGGATTTCCATGCTAGTGACAGTTGGCTGGCGTACATTCGGGCCCGGGCCGTCACCGTCATTTGCATCGGAGTCGATTCTTGGATCGAGCTGACAGCGAGGTACTTGTTGCGTTAGCAACCGCAAGGCTGTGTGGTATACCTGGCCGGTGACCTCCCCGAAAGCATCAGCCGCGTACTGGGCGAGCCGTTGATTACGGAGTTCGACGAGACATTTTTCGACATTCACTCTGAGAACGATATGCGACTGTGCTACTGTTAGTTGGGTTGACTCTTCTGTAAGAGCAATAACTCACATCGAGCTCTGGCACATCACCATCCCAGTCTGAGTACTGTCGTTTTCCGCTGCCGTTTACAAGCTTCCTCCGTTTGGTCGGAAGCATGCTGCCCCGTCCAACTTGACGCTTCAACTTCTTGCTCTCGTCGCGAGCCTCTCGCAGTCTTTTTGCCACCTCTTGTTGCATGAGTTCTTTGTTGCGCGCTGTTGTTCGCTCGCCAGGAGCCGTTTTGGTAACCTCCTCCTCGATTTCACGGTAGACATCCTCAGGGTTCCTGAATGTTTTGGGGCCAACCTGGTCGACAATTTCAGCCGCAATCAATCGGCTAAGAATGGCGTGCAACTGATGAGACGAGTGCGCCATGGTATTTCCGTTGGTCTTCGGCTTGAAGCCATTGCCATTGACATGGCCATTGGTCGCATGGTCGCCATTGATGCCTAGCCCATCTCTGCTCTCAAATGCCTGCAGCAGGTCCGACACCCTGGCATGGCCGAGTTGCATTATGGTCTGCACAACCTCCTGCTCAGGGCTGCCGTATTCGGTACCAACCATTTCAACAATCTTTCCAGCTCGAATGAGATTGTAACATCCATCTGGGTTGGCCTCGTATGTGGCGATCGTGTTTTTGGAATCGGCCTGGTGATATACAAGGTTCTGCTGTACAAGAACGGCGAGGCCATGACGCAACTGTCGCGGAGTAAGGGCCGTAGTTTGGACGAGCTGTGCGATGGTAGACCTGCCCCTGCTAAAAAGGACACCTAAGATTCGCTGGAAGAGCACCTGTCAGCAAGAGACAATAACGAGGCATGTTGCCAAAGATGTGCAGAGATGATGCGCCAGCTGGGAAAAGAACAGGGTGCTGAGCAGACTTACAGCAGGAAGCTCGCCGCAAATGTCGTTAACGAGGTGAGCACAAAGCTCGGCGCCATGTTTGGTCTGGCTGAATGTTAGAGAAAAGTTGTCGGTTCAGCTTTATTGACGGCATGCAGGACTCACCACCAACATTGCGAAACGTGGATTCAGTAATCAATCGACTCTAGAGATTCTCTCAATATCCCTAGAGCTGCCACAAAAGCTACCGCGAAGTCATTGAAATAATGCAATACCGGTGCGTGGTGCGGGAAAGAAGCAATCGGCTGGAAAACAATGTGGTCACAGTGAAGTGTCGCTTGCGTTGACTGGCAAAGGAACGGAGGTCGAGTGAGTGTATCCGTATGGAACTTTTTTTCCCTTGGGCAGCGGGCCACCTGGGGCGGGGTGGGGGACAAAATCGATGAAAAGCGCCGAGTCACCGACACAGTCACACAGTCAAGGTGGTTGGAGTCAAGGCTACAGGTACTTGGCGGAGCCGCAGAGGTGCCACATCCTAGGATTTGCGGCCGGTGGGGTAGGGCCTTTCAGGTGGTGAGAGCTCGTCGTGGCTTGACGGAAAGACCCGGAGGTCACCAGCCTCAGTTCCCAACGATGCGAGGAAATGTCCGACTCATCACTGTGATTACCTAAGGCTAATAACCCAAACTCGGGAAGGAAAAATCGGTGGAGCCCCCTGTTGCACGTAATCAGTCGAGCGTTCATTGGAGGTTCGGAGACAAGGCACTTTTCCATCACGTGATAGTACGAGTGACCCGTAGCTAACCTCGTTCGACGGATCGAAAATTGGTCGGGATTGTGACGAGGCACTTTCTTGTTGAAGCTCCGACGAATTGAGCGTCACGAAACTGGATCTGCCAATTGTCGGCAACCGCATCATCGCAATGATCTCTAGACCGTCTCTCGCGAGACCTGCGCAGCAGGCTCTCCGCCACTCGAGCTGTGCTCGCACAATCTCGGGTCGCCGGTTCGCCAGCGCTGCTGCTGGCTCCGGCGCCTTCGAGACCTCCGACGTTGGCGGTGTCAAGGTTGCTGCGAGAGACTCGCAGGGCCCTACGACCAAGCTGGCCATCGTGGCCAAGGCCGGTACCAGATATCAGCCTCTTCCCGGACTGACCTCTGGTCTTGAGTCCTTTGCTTTCAAGGTACGATGCGAAGCCAAGATCCAACCCTTGAAACCCGTCCGTTAAGAAACATTGCGCTGACAAGTTTTCCAACGGGTAGACCACTGCAAAGCGCTCTGGACTGCGCATCGTCCGCGAATCCGAGCTTCTCGGCAGCCAATTGACTGCATACCACACCCGTGAAGCCCTTGTCCTTGAGGCCAGCTTCTTCCGCGATGACCTTCCCTACTTTACGGAACTTCTCGCCGAGGTTGTCTCGCAGACCAAGTACACCAGTGAGACTCTCTCCGGAATACGGCATGTGTGATACAACTGGCTGATTGTTGCTTAGCGCACGAGTTCCACGAGGAGGTCCAGCCCGTCCTTCGCTTGAAGCAATCCGCTGTCAGCGCTGCTGCTCTCGCTCTCGACTCTGCCCACTCCGTTGCTTTCCACTCCGGCCTCGGCTCCCCAGCCAACCTGACACCCTCGATTCCCATTCAGCCCTACCTGAGCGAGTTTGCCGTTTCCGAGTTCGCCCAGTCCGCTTTCGCTAAGTCCAACATTGCCCTGATTGCCGACGGTGCGTCCGCCGCGAACGTGAGCAAGTGGGCTGAGCAGTTCTTCAAGACTGTTCCCTCTGCCTCCTCCGGAAAGCTCGCTCTGAACACTGCCGCCACCAAGTACTACGGTGGTGAGCAGCGCACCTACAGCCCCTCTGGCAATGCCTTGGTCATTGCCTTCCCCGGCGCCACCAATGGTCAGACTTCTCCTGAGCTTGCCGTGCTTGCGGCCCTTTTGGGTGGCAAGTCCAGCATCAAGTGGTCTCCCGGCTTCAGCCTGATCAACAAGGCTGTTGGCTCCGCCCCTGGCCTGTCTACCTCCACCGTCAACCTCAACTACTCTGACGCCGGACTCTTGGCTGTCCAGCTTTCGGGATCGGCCTCCGCTGTCCGCACCGCTGCTCAGGAGACCGTCAAGGCCCTGAAGAGCATCTCCGAGGGTACCATCAGCAAGGAGGACCTGACCAAGGCTATTGCTAAGGCCAAGTTTGACGCTCTTGAGGCTACTGAGAAGCGCAGCGGAAGCATTCTTCTTGCCGGATCCGGACTTGTCCACAACGGCAAGCCCATCGACGCCGCTGAGATCGTTAACTCTATCGGATCCGTCACGGCTGACAAGCTCAAGGCGGTAAGTGGATCGAGCCTTGCATGATTTGTGAGCTGGAATACTAATAGTTGTGTTGCAGGCGACGAAGACGCTCCTGGAGGGTAAGGCCAGTGTTGCGGCCGTTGGGGACCTGTACGCGCTGCCGTACGCCGAGGAGCTTGGCCTTCGGGTGTAGACGGGAAACAGCCTGGCTCCTAGCAGCCGAACGATCCGTGTACCAACAGTCAAGCATTTGCGGTAGATTGGGGAAATGTATCCGTTGTGAACATATGTAGTAGAATTTTCTTGTGTCTGCCTAGGTTGCCTAATTTCCCTCGTATGAAAATTCCGTTTTGTTTAGATGTTCGTCCGGTGTTTCTCGCGATCCTTTTGTCAGCCCAGGAAACCCGGTTGACGGACAGTCAAGGGACGAATGGGCAGCGTCACCAATTGTTGGCAGACACCATATAAACAACCGAGTCCAAGCAGACCGATTACGATCTGAGGCAAGGGGGGGGGGGCACCCTGATTTCCAGCGAGAGTTTTTCTGACGTTGCGATACTGTAAAAAACAAGAAACCCGTTGTCGCAGATGTCCACGGTCTCAACTCGTCTCTCGTGTTGTTCGTTCATTGCGGCAGACGCTGGCGATGCCCAAAGCACAGCCATAGGTACTCAGTTCAGAAACCCACAAATTCTCCATCCCAAGCTAAGATACTCGGTTTTAACACACTTACGGGGGGGTCTGGTAATAACACCGAACATGCGACGGGCTGACACCACTGATTGGTCTGGTGGGTTGATGTTTGTATTGATTATCATTGGCTACCTATAGATGCTCTCGTCTTTCTATACACAGTGCACTAGATAAGTAAGAAGGGCCGACCGGGAGAATGACATATACAGGCTCGGTTGGATGAGGCATAAATCAAACTCCCAACATCTAGCTGTCTTTGTTCCGGTCACTGCCAGCTGAGAATAGGAAAATGGACAACAATACTAAGGGGGACGAGTCTTCTGTGAGCGATTGCTCGAAACACTGCATGGACACACCTAATGGGATTGAGGGGGGGAACAACACAAAGCACGGCCCCCCCAGTTCTGAACGGGGGATGTTTGGTACCTAACTGTTAAAGTTCCTAGAGCAGAGAGCCTAAAAAAAGAACTCCCAGAAGGAGAAGTCAAGGAGACAAGATGGTTGGATCAATAGGTACCTAACCGTTCAATTCCATGTCTTACTTACCCAGTCCAGCTTCCTCTTGCCAACCAACTCTGTTCAGCGTGACAACATACCTGGTAAAGGTGAGGCAACCTAAGGCGGTGTCTCGTGCCTTTAATAAACCGCCTGGAGTGTAGTGGATTGACCCGATGGCTCGAGGGGGCTTAAACGATGGAGGAGCCACTCATCTCTGACCATCCCCCGGGAGCACTATCCGTACCCGCACCCACACCACGCACTCTTCCTAGGTAGGCCGCTAGCCCCCATACAAAAGTGACATGGCGCAAGGTACATAATACCGCAGTGTAGGCCCACTATAGGCAAAGGTACCCCAAGTCAGCACCTTCGACCTTCCACAAGAGCACCAGGGTCTGGCATATTCGTAGGGGACTGCTGGTGCCAGTTGCTGCTGGCCTGTGGTGGTGGGAACACAAAGCCTCACCTCACCTCACCTCAACCACACCCAATCCCAAACTCCCTCCACGTTCTCGCCCTTTTTCGCCCACGATCGACGCCGGTCTCTGAGCCTGCTCCCCCCCCTCAAACCCTCCGAATCGAGTCGCCCAATTGCGACGCAGTTCGTGCAGTTCCGTTTTTTCGGCTGGACGATATCCGGGGACGCCCTTCTTCTTTCCATCCGGCCTCTTCGAGCCCTTTTCGCTATACCACAACCACAACTACCTAGGTGAGACACATAGCCATTTGCCCTTTCCACATCCCCGTCTCTGCTTCTTGGGCCCAAGTCTTCGGACATCACGACATCGTTTCCTTCATAAACTCTCCTTGTTCCATTGCCGCGTCCCTATATTTTCTCCCTCCCTACTGCCGTACCTATCCTTTAAACCCTTCGCCAAGCTGCGACTCAGCTGTCTGTTCTTTATGCTTCTGCCCCCCCACTGCTGGACCCTGGAAACTAACTGTTGCCAACATTGCCATTACCACAGTCGAATCTGACCAGAACTGCAGGGCCGGTTGCGGCTTCGCCGTCTGATTGTATTGCCGATTAACAGTCAACGGCGACTGTTCGATTTCGAGCCCGACGAGCCAACATATCCTCCTTTTCCCGTCGCAAGGTGCGTAATTCCCTATAGTTACACTTGCTCCACCACTCTCGGCCACGGTGCGGTGTCCCTTTGGGAGCGAAATTCATCACATCGGCAATACAGTCACTTTCTTGTGGACTGGTTTGAGTCAAGACTCCTTGATGGGTTGCAGCTAATAACCGCGAAACTGGCTGACTCTTCGTCACAGGGGATTGGAGAGTATTGGCGGTCACGGTGGCACTGCCGTTGAAGGTTTTCTTTCTGTACTACCACGACATCCGCAGACCGCAAGATGGTTGCGCCCAAGAAACAAAGTGAGATCGGGAACAACAGTAACAAGTTGAACAACATGCCGTATAACAAGAGGGACTCGACCATGGGTGGTAAGGCCGATGGAAAGGGCCCAAACGGTGTGCTTTCCCACACCTTGGTTGACCTCTATGGCGATGCTAACGATGTTGGAGGCGCCCGATCTGGGTTCAGGACCGACACTGCCATTTCCAACAACCGACCGGGCAGCGAGCGAACCCTCCAACCATGGATCCCCGACTCCAGCGACGGAATTGACGGTAGCCTGGAGAAGTCTTCCGCCAGCGGAGGAGCCTGGGATCAGTTCGCCGAGAATGAGCGACTCTTCGGGCTCAAGACAGACTATGACGAGAACATCTACACCACCACCATTGACAAGAGTCATCCTCAGTACCGGGAGCGCATGGCCGCCGCGGATCGCAAGGCCCGCGAGATTGAGCGAAGCTTGGCCACCACGGCACACGTAGCGGAGGAGCGCGTGATGGATTTTGTCAGTAGCGGTGGCGATGATCACGGTGGTGACGAAGAGGACAAGTACGGGTTTTACTTGCCATGACAGCCTCCAAAGCTAACAGCCATGTTAAGGTACAGTGGAGTTCGCCGCCAGGACTTCCCACCTCTGTCTAGCCGCGAGAACAAGTACACCCCTCCCGCGAAACGAGCGCCCTCTTCGAACACAAATGTGGCTGGGGCCCCTGTCGACCCTGCAATCATCTCATCGCAGTTGAGAGCACCTGCAAAAAAACAGACCACCGTGAAGCCAGAAGATGCCAAGCTCCTGAGCCAGCTGGTGAATAAGGGTAGCGCCGCCCAGTCTGCTGAAACGCTCAAGGCTGTCGACCCGAAGCCCGCGGCTAAAGCTGCTTCTAAGCAAGACCCGGCCAAACAGGCCGAGGTCAAGCCGGCAGAGACTAAACCAGTCACTGAGAAGACCAGCGAAGCCAAGGCTGTGGACAACCCTGCTCCTGCGACTCGCCCTTCTGCAGCTACGAGCCGAACGATCTCTCCTCAGGTCAAAGAGGGCGCGCCGAGCGCAGCTTCGACCGTGGAACGCGACGTTCTCAACTCCTTCAAGTCTTTTGCCAGCCAACAGCGGCAAAATGCTGAGAAAGCCCGAAGCAGCAAGGCAAAGGCTGACAAGGAAGTCAAACTCACAGAGCTGAAGAAATTTGCCGATACTTTCAAGCTGTCGACCCCTGTCCCTACTGACTTGATTTCCATTATTGCCAAGGATCCTGATAAACAAAAGGAGATCCAGGCCAAGGCACTTCAGAACGCGGAAGAAGTTGCTCGCACAAAGGCGACCCCCGCCCTCAAGGGCAAGGAGAGTCCTTCAAAAGATGGCGCAGCAAAGCCGTCTACAGACATCCCGGCAGCTCAAGCTCCCGCTGAGATCAAGAGCACGGCACGCCCAGGTCCCGCGCAACAAACGATATCTCCATCCAACGTCCCGAGTCGCCATCCCAATGCTCGTCAGTCTTACGCCAGTCCTCAGTACCACACCCAAGCATACAGGAACGATAGATCTAGTCAACACATGACTCCGCAGAACCGCCAGCCGTTGGCCCAACGCTTGCGCAATGTGGAGCAACAGAAGATGTCGCAGGCACCCAACCAGCATGTCGGTGGCCAGGATATGCGTATGCCCCCAACGGGTCCCGCGAACAATACAGAAGCATTCCGGCGCGCTGGTGGTGTCCCAGGCCACATGGGCGGAAAGCTGAACCCAAACAGTCACGAATTCAGACCCAACCCATTTGCGACCTCGTTCAACCCGAACGGGCATCCAAGTGCCGGATCCAGTCCTCGCTCTGCTGCCGCCAACAACGCCGGCGCTGCCGCTGCTAGTACTGGCGGTGCTGCTGGCGCTACTGGTACTGAGACGACGCCAACCCCAGCGTCCGCCGGACAGCTCATTCGCCGGAAGACCAAAGCTGTTGATGTCAAGAAGTGCTACATCCTCGCACATGTCAAGACCTTTACGCCCCCTCAAGGTCGGAACTGGGATGACAACGATGGCTTGAGGCCTTCCTACGACACTCTCCCAACCTGGAGAGCGCCTTCGGACAATGAGAAGCCTGACTCCACTATGCTTATCACTTCCAAGGAGTTCTTGGAGCGCCAGTCGTTCGCTGCGTCCTCAATCGCCACGCCGAACCACACGCACGTCGTGCCCAGTGCCCACCAGCATCAGCTCCCATTCCATTTGCAGCAGCCTGCTCATGGCCTAGGCCCACGCCAGTCGCCACATATGCCGCCTATGCCTATACAGAACCAGCATGGCCACGTTCCTCATACACCTTACCAGAACATGGATGACCACCGGATGATGCACTCAAACTCGGCGCAGTCGTTTGCCTCTCCTCGGATGACCCAGGTCCCGATCACTTACACACCGGCAATGAGCTCAGCTGGTCAGGTTCCTTACAACCAGCCGATGATGCAGCCTTTTGTCGGACCTGGCACACCCCAGATGGGCGGTTATCGGAACTTCTCCAACAACCACCAGTATATGCCGCAACAGCCCGGTGGCCCTATGGGAGCACCGATGATGCCCCAGTTCATGAACCCGCAGGGCATGGTTCCGGCCCCTGGGCAGATGCCCATGTATGCTGGAAACCACACCCAGTTTATGCCTCCGAACGGCGCACCGCCTCAGCCCATTCCTGGGGCCAACGGCTATCCCAGTCCGGGGCGCCCATCAGCGCCCATGATGGTTCACCAAGGTTCTCAGCAGGGTCAGCCGGTATATGGCATGAGCCCCAACGTGCAGTACCAGCAGCCTGCGTTCACCCCGCAGCAACCCGGCGGTCAGGGTAAGATAATACCCGGCGGCCGATACCACTAAAGTGCTAACACCCGGCTTAGTTGGCAACGTCCGTGGGTACAATAGCCCTGGTCCTCAGCACTTCGGAACAAGCCCCTCGCAGATGCACCAGTATGGGGCTCAGCATCGCAGTGGCGGCAACACTTACGGAGCCAAGCCGTTCGCCAACCACGGGCAGCATCAAGCTTCTCAACAGCCTCCTTCGGTTCCCGCCGGCGGTCCCGGCCGCGTTGTCGAAGGCTCCGAGGAAGCCAAATGAGCATGTTAACATGACCAAGGCATGCCAACAGCGCCGTGGAAACCCGCCTCACCTACCTCAGCATCTGTGCCCCTTCGGCGTTCATGACATCCACTCGATTTGCGGAGCCTGAGACATACGTCACGGACATAGCTGTACTGGCAGTTTACAACGATGAAAACAACACCGCTGTGCGATGGCGTCCTCGGGTCGTATGTCAGTTGGAGCGGTCCAATCACTGGGACAAAAGACAAGATCAGGCTTTCTGCATGCAATGCGTTTTGTTTACCAGAAAGCCTTGTGCTGGTGAAACGATAGCTCGGGATCAGTTCCCAAGGAGTTTTGTAGTTTGGGGGGTGGTAAACAGGGGCCTTTCGCGAAGATGCCGCGAAGAGGGCGACTGTTCATGCCTCACGGGAGCGGGCCATGCCACGGGATCAAGGGGATGTGAGGACGTCGGTCGTGATTCAGACGCGTATGTGAAGGATGGATGTCGCAGGTAACTGGACAGAGTTGATGAGAAGAAGCGTAGGAATCAAGCAGCTTAGGCTAAAGCCATCTATCATTAGGTGGCTTGAATATGATAAAAACATTACTTCAACAAGAGACGATCCTGAGCCAATGAGTGAACGAAGGGGACGAAGTCCATCACGGCTAGCAATTTGCCGCTTTGAGCGAGAAATACAGAAAAGAAATGATGCCGAGTGGGAATTTTCACATCGGAATGGCACGAGTGGCCATGACGGAAGGGAGATAGATCAAGAGGAAACACTAGCGTCGCGGGAATATCTCAGACGACACGTTCGGCATTGTCACGCACTAGCAAGAGAGGGTCTTGGATTCGACATGTTCAAGCGTGGTCTGGGTCGAAAGGATGGCTTCGTGTAGGGCTGTTCAAGGTGTGCAGATAGATCCCATTCTTAGGCATGGCAGAGTAGGCAGAAATACGGATGACGTGAAGTCGACTACATATGGCATGTGGTCTACTTTTCGATGGCTAGCATTTGAGTAGACGAGGCGGGCTCTATCTAGTTCAATCTAGTTATTTTAGAAACTCAGGGTAGGATCGTCGGAAGGGAAAATAGCAGCGGCTGGAGTTCAACTAAGGTAGGGGAAGTGATGTGAATGCAGACATGGGGGGGGGGGGGGCGACGGGCGGCTGGCTGTATAGGACGGCAGGAAACATTTTCGTTTGTGGCGGTTGCACGGCGCATGCCAATTGGCGGCGCATGTAAGTCGCATGTTTCAGGCCATCTCCTCCAGGTTTCGCTTCTTCCTTTTACTCTTTCCCACTGTTAAAGCCCAGGCCCTTGTCGCCAAGTCACGTCACAGTCTATTCCAGGGGATGGCTCGACGGAGGGGGGCCCCGCCAGAGGGGGTTGATGGAGGTGAGTCGCTGGGCTGGTAGCATGGCTGGAACACACTGAATGGAATGCAATTGGGCGTGCACGAGGGGAGGCCAAGCGGGACCCTCAATGACAGTTGGTTCGCTTGTCATAGCTGGTACAGATACAGAGACATTTTTGCAGTTGGACAAACAGATACGGAGAAAACGCTCCATCGATTTTTCGATTGCTTCCTCTTCGGGTACTGTTGAGCTACCTACGCAGTACAGCAAGCACAGGTGAGCTGGTGTGAGTAAACGGGCTAGGCCAATCAGTGAACTGGACGTCTCAGGCACGCGGGCTAGCTGGTTGGACGTGAGTCTGAAAAGAAAGGAACCAGCCGCAGCCGCAGCCGCAGCAGCAGCAGCAACGTCGAACGGCGAAAAAAGGGCAAGGACGGCACCCTATCCCCCTTCCACTTCCAGGGTCGGTTTGTATCCCTTGCGCTTCAGATCTTTACCGCGCAGCTACCGCTGTGCCCTGCCATTCGTGCATTCGTCCCTTGGCCAATGAGCGTTCTGGATCAGCCCTGTCTCTTTTGGGATCCTTGGTTCATCCCACCTTTTCCACTTTCCTAGCCACCCAGCTCACATCAGAGACAAGAGCGCGCTACCACATTGACTACCTAGATGTGCGCTCTAATCGACATTGCAGCCAAGTTCAGGCTATTTTACATGTTGGCCCACTGATCATCACATCTGAGAGTGGTGCATACATGCAAGCTGGAGAGGGCCAGACCCGCAAGGCGACAGTAGGCGGCGGGTGTGGCGCAAAATGGTAAGGGCAAGGGTTGCGCAAGGGAGACAACTACGTGTGCTGCCTACTGCGGACTGGAATTCGGCGCGGGTCCTGGGCGCAATTCGGGGTTTCTCGACATCGAGGCGCCGTTGGACATGAAGGAAGGGGCCGAAGCAGCCGAGATATCCGCCCTGACTTGGGCCCGTGGAAAAAGAATCCCGAGGGAGAAGGAAAGGGAGGCATCGAACCAGACGGCGTCCGCATCACACCTACTCTACGTCGAAGGGATGGCCAAGGGTCCTTTTAGTTACCAGCATCTGAGAGCCTGGACGGAAAGCTAGCAGGTAGCTATACCAAGCCGCCAGAGGCAACCAACACGGGAAGGGAAAGTATTTGAAAGTAGATGATGGTGAAGAAATATAGAGAAGACGAAGAAAGAGGTGCAGACGACAGGGGTGGGTGGTAGTCTTTTTTGCGGCGCAAGAGAGAAAAGCACATCCCGCGACCGCTACCTTGGCCGCATGGCCATGGATCAAGATGCAGGCTGTACCTATGCGACTGGAGGAGACGACGGGACACGATGCAGACTTGCCGATTCACCCTTGCTCGCTTCCCGTTCGTACCTTCCTACCTGAGATGGACAAGTTGGTTGGTCGTGGTATAGGTCTGTTCAACGATAAAGACCCCATGACGGCCTCCTGCTTTCCACCACTTCCTCTTGCCTCATCCGCACTTGGTTTCATCACCGATTCGACCTCTTTTTCTCTTCCTTCCTTCGCCTCACGCATTTTTTCCTTTACTGCTCACTCGTCTACGACGTTGCGTCATACACGCTCTTGACTGCTAAGAATCCAGCCCAACTTGGTTTTACTTTATGCTTTCCACGTTTGGAAAATAAGTAGCCTCATCACCGTTCCTTCCTCCCCCTGCCTCTTCAATACTCGCAGCGGTTACGTACTGTCCTTCGCGACCAGCCTCGCTGTTACACATCGACCACATTCCTTGGACCTTCCAATACTGTCCGTCATTCGACTTCTATTCTTTCTCGACGTTGAAGACTTTTTTCTCTCTCTCTTTCTCGGGGAATAAAAAAACTCGAAGGTATCCCCCGTCTCAGTCACCTTGACTTGAACGACTCACTATCACTCACCAACAACACATTGAAGTCCCCCTTCCCCCCAATACCAGGATCACCCGAACCGAACCGCGCATATCTCAAGCAAGACGAGGAGCAAACACACTCTTTGACACATTTCACAAGGCCCCCAAAAAGCATACACAAACACCTTCCAAGCCTCCCATCAAGTCCTAGTTGTTTTTCTCTTTTCTGGAAGAAAACAACAACTCCATCCCACCTCATCTCGCACCGGCCTTTCGTCCAACCAGTAACAACGACAACATGAAGGGTACTTTCGTATCCGCGCTTGCGCTGCTAGCCAGCCAGGCCGCCGCTCACATGGCCATCACCTACCCGCCGCCTCTGCGATCCAAGGAGAACCCCTACTCTGGTTATGATATCGACTACAGCATCACCAGCCCCTTGAGTGCTTCCGGCAGCGACTTCCCCTGCAAGGGCGACTTGAAGCTTCTCGGCACCCCCGAGGCTACCCCCGTCGCCACTTGGCAGGCTGGCCAGACTTACAACATGACCATCGCCGGCGGTGCCAACCACAATGGTGGTAGTTGCCAGGCAGCCCTCTCCTTCGACAGCGGCAAGACCTTCACCGTCATCCACAGCTACATCGGCGCTTGTCCCGCCGCTGGCACCTCTTCTCTCAAGTTCACCTTGCCCGCCGATACCCCTTCTGCAAAGGATGCCATCTTCGCCTGGACCTGGTTCAACAACATCGGTAACCGAGAGTTGTACGTTTCCCTCTCCTCCCGCCTACCTCTTTCTGAAATAAAGATATGCCTTGCTGACACATGCGAACAGCTACATGAACTGTGCTGTCATCACTATCACCGGCGGTGGCGCCGGAGGCAGCACTGCCACCTCGTTCAACAGCCGTCCCCAGATCTTCAAGGCCAATATCGCCAACGGCTGCAGCACCGTCGAGGGATCCGACGTCATGTTCCCCGACCCCGGTCCGGATGTTACCATGGCTGGTACTAAAACCGCTGCTCCTGTCGGCAACTGTGGTGCGGTCGTTGCTCCTAACCCTGGCACCGGTGGCGGTGGCAGCGGCAGCGCTCCCAGCAGCTCTAAGTCCGTCGAAGCTGCCCCGTCTGCCACCCAGGCTCCTCAGTCGAGCACTCTGGCCCCTACCACCACTCGTCCTGCTGGAGGCGCATCGTCTCTGTAAGTGGCCCACCTAAAACTCCATCTTGTCTTTTAGCTTTTATTGACTTCGTAAAGCCCTGGCGGCGTCTTCATGACAGTCCCGGCCCCCAGCAACGCCTCTGCTGCCTCGTCTGTTCAGCCGACTACCTTCGCTACCGTCAGCCAGCCAGCTGCACCTAGTGACGACTGCACCTCGGAACTTGGGGTTACCGTGAGTGTGCCAGCTGCTTCGTCCGCCACGCCTACCCTCGCACCTTCTCCCAGTGCCGGATCTGGTGGTGATGCTGCCGATGGCTCTATGACGCCTGGTAAGGCTTGTAACCCCGAGGGTCAGTGGAACTGTGTCTCTGGTACCCATTTTCAGCGTTGCGCCTCTGGCCAATGGTCGGTCCTCATGAGTATGGCTCCTGGCACCAAGTGCCAGTCTGGCACAACCGAAGTTTTGGTTTGGCAGAAGAAGAGAGCTCACGGTCGCCGATCGATCCGCTTCAGACACCACATCTAAGCCACAAGAATATGTGCAATAACCTCACCGCCCTTTGAATGTATTTTCGAGAGGGTCACGAAATTTTTATGAGGCTTGGACGAGATACGCGGGCGCACGCATCCATAGACACGACACAGGGTCTGGTTTTCTGAGAGTTCGGCGTTAGGAGGATGGCAATGTATCTTCCGGGACTGGTTCCTGGCTTCTGGCTTGCATTGTGGAACGGTGGGACAGGTATTCGTGTCTCATAAAAGAAATAGCACCACGCAACTCTGCAATCGTTGTAAATGTTTGACCGTTGTGAGCGGCATATGACTATGGTGACTCTTGCGGCGCTGCATTCACTTAATCGGGCCAGGTGATGTTGGTTTTGAGTGGACAGTAAATTGATGCACCTTAACTCTAAGTGGACACCCCACTGCCTTTGGTGCTGCCACTGTCATTGTCTGTTGTCCTGGCTTGCTGACACCTGGCGAGGTGGCACGAGCGCGCCACTTCAGGCAGCATGTGCTCTGGTGGCTGAAGCTTTGAACTTCGAGACTTCAAATCCGAGTGAAAGACATTGATCGATTCCCATTCCACGTCACCACGCGATTCCTACTTCTGAAAAAATAAGACCCTATCTGCTCCATAATCCTTGAGGCAGGTTCGACGGTTTTGCGTTGGCCAGTGCGGCCGCGCCTGACGTATTGGATCTCTCATCCCTGGGCCGGACGAGTAAACACTCAGAGCGTGAATAGTGGCGACGATAGGACTCTTCACCGTAATGCTTCACAGCGCTTCATAGCCTGAACCAACCAGAACAGAATGGCGTTGCCTTCCGGTCGCGCGGCGTTCAAGAAGAAGGATGGCTTCTTGACCTTGACACCGAATCGACAGTTCGTAATCTGGACTCCAGCGCCTGGCGATGGCCCACCTACGGTTTCACTGGCCCTCAGCAACATCACGAGTAAGTTGCCGCCGGGCCGAAGATTCGCGTAGCCGGAGGCTCCAGGACTGATATGAGATACAGACCTGCAGCAGACACCAGACAGCGCAGCCAAGGTTATGCTGAAGATTTTTGAAAAGCCGCCCGAAGCCACGGAGCAGATACCCTATCTCTTTCACTTCACCTCGTCGGACGCTAGATCCGAGGCCAACGCCATCAAGGACTTGCTCTCGAGGCTGCTGGCCGACGTTCGCTCCGCCGATCCCAGTGTCCCCAGACCATCAGGTAGTGGAACCCCGAACCCAACGGCGAACGGTGCGAATGGTGCCAGCGGTGCTGGCGGGTCGGGCTCGGGTTCTATGATGTTTGCCAGCTCCGTGAACTCGAAGCCAAGCAATGCTCGTTGGTTTGACGATGCTCAGCTCAAGGGCGATATCGAGTTGCAGCAGTCCCTCATGAAGAAGGACCGCACGCTTCACCAGACGTACATGGACGCGCGCGCGACGAAGCCCGAGTCGATATCAGACGCCGCTTTCAACGCGCAGTTCTGGTCGACCCGCACAAACCTGCTGCGCGCCCACGCCATCGAAGTGAATCAGCAAAAGGGCGCCTACAACGTTCTGCCCTCGATAAAGCCACGGCTGGAGAATGACGTGCTCAAGCTTGACATCACCGTCGAGATGGTCCAGCTCATTATGGCGCAGCACCCGCTGGTCAAGAGACTGTACGATGAGAATGTGCCAAAGATCCCAGAGAGCGAGTTCTGGTCTCGCTTCTTCCTAAGCAAGCTGTTCCGCACCCTCAAGGGCGACAGGATCACCGACGAGAGGAAGGAAGGCATCAAGCGAGATGCGCTCTTCGACGCCCATGATGCCAGCGAGAACACAGCCATGTTCCAGAGGAAGAGCATGGCGCAGAGTGTGCCGCATATTATCGACGTCCACGCCAACGAAGAGAACCAGGGCGGCTTCAGGAGCGGAAACCAAAAGGATATTGAGATGCGACCTCGCAAGAACGTGCCCATCGTTAGCACCCTCAACAGTCTCAGCGAGAGGATGCTTTCCAACGTGGCGCCTTCGGACCGAGAGGCCGGTCCCGATGGTGAGGACTTAACGTGGCAGGAGCTCGCCCTCCGCGATCTTCGAGGCGACGCCAAGGAGAACAAGATCATTCTGAACATCAAGGAGCAGAACCGATTCTTCGCCAAGAAGGATCAGGCCAAGTCCGCTAACTCGCTTGCCTTTGCGAAGCAGAATCCCTCGGACGTCCTCTTCGACATCCAAACCGATCTCGAGACAATCGAGACGGACGGCGCGGGCGGCCTGAACCTCCGTGCTGGCATAGGCATCATCGACGACAGCGACAGCGAGGAGGAGGGTCAGCGGCCACTTCATGTCGGCTCTCGCGCCGCGCGCAAGGCCGCAGGCGACGACATCATGGCGGGCATCCGCCAGCGGCGCGCCGAGAAGTATGGCGACATGACTACAGACGAGTCCCGCCCGATGGGCCTCCCCACCGAGATCGCCGAGCGTTGCTCGCTGACGCACGCGACAACGGTTGAGTTCCTGCACCAGTTCTGGAACGCGTTCCTCTCGGGCGACCCGGACCGCGCAAACGAGCTGCAATATCTCGTCGAGTCGCTGGGCCGGTCGGCGGAGCGTATCAATGCCGTTGCCGAGGAGGCCGAGCGGGCCCGCGACGACATCATCCGTGCCAAGAAGAAGGAGATTATGGATCACTACAAGGCAACGGGCAAGAAGATTAGGGGCTGGCGACCGGAGCACGAGAAGGGTGGGCGCAAGGCCGTGCTGGCCATTATGCAGCCTACGCTGGAGGCGCTTAAGAGGGCTCAGGCAGACTACAAGCGGGCTCTTGCCGCCGAGGGGGTGCAGCTTTCCACCGAGGCCTAAGGCCTGGAAAGCCTTCCCGGCTAGATTTGAGTACGTCAATGGAGCTAAGAACTGTACATTATAGTAGCTGGAATCGGAATCAACATTAGGTGTTTCCTACTACACTGGAAGCAACATCTTATCATAATGACATATACATCTGTAATTATGGCACCTCGGCGAGCGAAGAAGCCGCGCCTTCAAGTCGGGACGTTCGATAGTTGAGACAAAGAAAAACGCTTTCTTATGTTTATGAAGACTAATCTCGAAGAGTAGCCATTCATAGCCTTCAGGGTTAAAATCTCCTGAGAAGCTACCTCGCAAGTAATGATACAGTCCGACACTAGATCCCATTCATTCTATAATACGCGATGGATCCTCGACCCATCACGCAGCAGAAATCGTACAATGAACCCAAATCACTCCCGAGAAACGAGCCTAGGCTAGACTTTTCTCTCCAGGATATCAGTCATTAAGAAAAAACACTCCTCCAAGTCTAAGAGGAAATGGGAAAAGAAGGAGGCCGAGACTAGATGGGTGGTAGACGGCCTTACGCGACAGCTTGCCGGACCCGGGCCTCCTCGGCGTCAGCCGACGTCGGCAAGACGCCGAAGCCCATACCCCTCTTCTTCTGGCTGTTCCTCACCCGCACGTCGCCGTATTTCTCGTCGAACCGCCGGATGCTCTTCAGGCTGTCCATATCCTCGCTGACGCTGGCGGCGATCATCTTGAGCGCCTTGTCAAAGTGGTCCTGGCGCAGCGTGCGCTTCGGCGGGAACACGTAGGGCGCCGGGCCCGTGTGCCGGGCGGCCTCCTCGCTCTCCTCCTGGACGGCCGTCATGGCGGCCGCGACGCAGAGGTTCTTGAGGTCGGAGCCCGAGTAGAGCACCGTCTTGCGCGCGATGTCGTCGACGGACACGGACGGATCCAGATCCTCGCCCTTGAGGAGGATGCGAAGGATCGAGGCGCGGTCCGGCTGCAGCGGCAGGTCAACGAGGATTTTGCGCGGCAGGCGGCGGAGGACGGCGTCGTCGAGGTCGAAAGGCCGGTTGGTGGCGACCATGATGAAGGCTTTGGTGTCGGACATGCCGTCCCACTCGCGGAGGAACTGGTTGATGGTCTCACGGTGTGCGGCGCGGTTGCGCTGCCCGCGCGCCGCGAGGAGCGCGTCGGCTTCGTCAATGAAGATGACGAGCGGCGAGAGCTTCTTGGCGAGAGAGAATAGGGCGCGGACGTTCTTCTCGCTCTGGCCGACATACATGTCGTTGATGCTCGCGCCGCTGACCTCGAGCATGTTGGCGCTGCTCTCCTTGGCGACAGCCTTGGCGAGGAGCGTCTTGCCCGTGCCGGGGGGGCCGTAGAGGAGACAGCCCGGGATCCGGTCCGTGGCGAGGACGCCATAGGTAAAGGCCTCAGGGCGGACTAGGGACAATGACGTGAGGAGTTTGAGGTTGTTCTTGGTCTCCGGGTCGGCGTGGACGTCAGCGAACGTCGTCTTGATCTCGCTGCTGTTGACGAGGCCGCTGAGGAGCTTCTTCTCATAATCGTTGTAGTTGCCCGATACGCGGAGGCGTTCGGGCTCGGTCTTCTGCATGTCAGCAGAGGCGGAGTTTCCGCCGCCGGCGGACGGCTTGGAGCTCGTCGGCCGGTCTTGCAGGCGGTGCATCTGGGCTGTGCTATAGCTGCTGGACTCGACGACGTCGAAGAGCGTCCGCCACTCCTGATTGGGACTAGCGGAGCCCTCGCAGACGAAGAAGAGGCGTGCGATATGGTAGACATCGGAGACGGGGAGGATGGAGGTGGTCAGAACACGCGGGATCTGCGAGGCCTCCTTAAAGGTGCCCTCGGCGTCACCGAGGAGGTACTGTGGCGGCGACGACGTGGACACGCCGACGATGCGTAGCTTGCTCATGTCCGGCGAGACGCCAGCGATGGCCCTCAGCATGTGCTGGATGTTACGCAGGTTCTCTTGCAGGTAGTCACTGGCCTCGTACATCTTTTTGGTGTTGCTGGCGTTAACGATGCGCTGAAAGTTCAGGGGCAGGGGGATCAGGCACTCCTCGGCGGCGATCTCTTTGAGTGTTGATGTGTACTGGTCTGAAGGATTCTCATTGGATGACGTGCCGACGAGTATGACCTTCTTGCCGGCGCGCCACATGGTGTCAACGATGGCGCGTAGTCTTCCGATAAGCAGCGCGCCCTCAAGCGTCATGTTGAGCTCGACGAAGTCGTCCACATGGATAATGAGGTTTCGGTCGGATTGCGACGTCATTTTTGTGGGAGAGTTAACAATTTCCTCGAGGACGGCGTTGATCTTGAGGTTCTCCCATCGGTCGACAGAAGGGAGGATGTAGTCCTTGGGACCCTCTCTGATCTTCTGAAGCTCGTTATCCATGGGGCTGTTGTAGCCACCATCTACACCGTGATCCCGGAGGTTGACCCATGCGGCCTCGATCTCCCCAGACAAGTCCTCATCATTAGGCTTGGGCGACTCCTCGGTCTTGGCCAGACGCCCGTTCATCTCTGCAGCACGGTAGCCCAGTACGGACATAGAGCCCCGTGAGTAGGCGCAATCTTGACCGATGTAGTCGCCTACGAGCATCGCCAACTCCTGCGCATCGAGGTGAACGAGATCCGCCTCGGCACACGACGCAACATGCTCTATGAGCTTCTTTGTATGGCTTCGGCCGCTGTAGTTAGGGATATTGACGACGGTGAGGGGCCTTTTGAGTTCCCTCCCCACCGAGCCGGCGTCCGGCCTCAGGGAGAGCTCTGCGAGCACCGCTGTGACGATCTCGCCGCGGATTCTGGGGTCGAATAGCCTGAGTCCATCGCGCCTCGGCTTCGGCCGTCCCTCCTGAATATATTGATCAACCAGAGACTGCAGTACGCTGTCCTGATTTTGGTCCTCTACGGGACCGGCGTCTGTTGTGCCGCGTGTGTGTTGCGACAAGAGGTTGGACAGGACGAACTTGTTGGAGTAGCGGAGCATGTCCGCGAATTCGGTCGTCGGGAGTGGTTCGCGGGACCCCTGCGGGTGGTTCGAGGACCGCATCTCGTCAATAGAGAGGCTTAGCCACTGCGACGTCTCGGCTAAGATGCGGTTGCGCCTCTCGATGGCCTCGAGGTTGCCCTGGCGAAGCGCATCCTGCAGCTTCGCCTCGGTCCAAGAGGCATGATTAAAAACCAGCTCCAAGTCCTTCCACAGCAGGTCGTGCCAACGAGTGCCCATATACCGGCGATGCCAGAGATCGTTCGTGAGGGTGTCGATTCGGTTCTTGGGGTCGTACAGCGACACACCGTTCTCGAGGAAGCTTGTCGGCAGCTTCACCGGCGGAAGCTCATCGGCGGGTCGCGGCCTCGCAAGGCGTGCTCTCGCAGACGCGAACGCGCCGCCTCTGGAGCGTCGGAACGCCGACTCTGACGAGTTAACCTCGGTCTTGTTTATGCCATCGTCCCGACTCCTACTGCCGCCGTCATCCTGCTGCTCGCCAGCGGGTTTTTCGGAAGGTTTGCCGTCTTCTGCGCCGGCGCCGCCTTCGGACGGACTTTTCCGTAACCTATACGAAGGGTGGAATTGTCGACACTGGCTCTGGCGGGCGATCGTAAGTGCCAATCTTGACGACGCAGAGACTCGGGAGGCTGAGGCAAGGGCCCGAAGCCCTGTTGCATGCATTCGGAAGGACAGGGTGCAGAATGCCAGCAATTGGCGGTTTCGGTGCATGGCAAAAGAAACCTTTTTCGCCGTCAAGTTCTTTGAACCGGCGTTAAGGTTAGTGACAGCGGCGGAATCTCGGCGGAGCATTCACCGAAGCTCACCGACGACCGGACCACACCGAATCAGTCAGATTGTAATGGAATCGCAGATTGGACCACAGGCCCAGTAATAAATATATTGCCCAGCGTTTCGCAAGTTGATATGTTGATAAAAAAGGGGGAAAAAGAAGAAAAACAACAACAACAACAGAATGATGGGGTCTGCATCAGCCTAACGCAGTTTTTAAAGTACACTTTTATTGTGTATTGATGTCTTCAGGTTATTGCAACTAAGTGAAATGTCATGGCTTCGAAAGCACCCCTTGGAATCCACTACAGCAGCGGCGAGCAACTCCGGCTGAGCTGGTCTTAGAATATCAGATCCTCTCCATAGCCTAACGCCTCATGCTCTTTGGCCGATCCCTTGACACTTATCCACCACTCATGCCAAATTCGCAGTTGGTCATACAAGCTCGCTGTCAGCCCCTGCATGGTCCACTGTGGTCTGAGTGAGCCTTGCCCAGATTGTGTAGATGATGTTCCGCGGTTGATCCCTGACACCGTTAAGAACGGTCCTGTAGTCACCCAATTCCTACTGATGTCGTTTCCAATGTGTTCAGACCAGGTCAGGACTGTAGTGTCTTGGATCCTAAAGCCCTCGTTATGGGCCCTTAGGAGACGGAACAGACTCGAGGGTGCCACAACAGGCACATCACCTTTGTCAAGCTCCGCGCCGAGGTATTCATGAGCGCCTTCAGCAAGTAGGCTAAACCATTGCAATTTGTCCATGACGCTATCCCAGCCCTTGACGGCGGCCGGCATGAGCGAGAAGGACTCGATCGATGGTTGAAAGGCATTGAGGAGCCAGGTGATTCTTCTGAGGACATGAATGTGCTCAAGGCAAAGTGTCGTTCCCTTCACCACCGTGGCCCAGGCAAGCATTGCCGTGATCAAGGCCGGAATACAGGCGAAACTGTCCTCGCTCATTTGACGAGCTACAGTTGGCCCCATCAGTGCCAGGCCGAGAGCATCGCACAGCACGTCAAGCATTGCATAAGCTTCGTGGCTGGACAACGTGGCATGCAAAACTGCTGGAAGCATCTTTCCCAAGATGAACGACATGATAGCGTCATGTTTCAAAGCCCCTTTTAAAAGGAGAACCTCATGCGATAGTCGGTCTCGTTGAAGAGCACCCTTGAAGTTATTGAGGAAAAAGTGGAAGAGAGTGCTCGGGACTCTTGGATCACCTTCCGCAAGCTTAAATCCGTACGACTGGATCAAGGCCGCTTGGAGCTGAGGATCTTGCATGGGCGGGGAGTATTCCTTGCTCACTTCCAGGAAGAACTTTTGCACAGGGCAGATGTCCGTGCCGTAGGCCTTGATTAGAGAAATGATGTCGCGAACGAACTTGACATAGCTTGGATGCTCAGACGAGTCAGCCGCCATGATTTGGACATCAACCCGCATCTGGTTCATGACGGTGTTAAGCACTTTCTCGAACTCGATACGCATGTTCTTCTTTGAGGCGGCATCGGCTGTCTGTTGTGACTGTCGCATCCAGGATACCGCATCTGAAAGCGTTAGTCGTATATTCATGAGATGAGATAACGGCATACTCACATTCGAAGAAGTCGCGGTTGGACGAGTAACCTGGATTGACGACCAGTCCTGCAGTTCTGTCGGGGATAAAAGGATACCCTTGGCGCTGTAACTCCTGTCCGAAACGGTTCTCGAATCTCAAGCAGTGGCTTGGCTGGACGATGGTCGAGAGCCACAGTTGCAAAAGACTCGTTCCAATATCCTAATACGATGTTAAGATATTTCAGCCATATGTTTGCCTGCGTCTCTTACCTGCAGATTGATTGTTGCTCCCTTCTGGGCAACCACAGAGAGAAACAGGGGGAGATACTGGCGTTGTTCCCAGCTAAGCTTGCTCGGCGCCTTGCCGAAAAGCCCATACTTGGTAGGTTTGAAAGCTTGTGAGAGTGCCTGGAAACAGTTAGCACATCGAAATTCCATAGAAAGAGACAAACCCACCATCATTGTGCAACGAACGAACAGGCCGATCATCATGCCTGAAATAACGACGGACTGCTCAACGCAAGATTTCGGCACGGACGAGGTACCAGGACTGACACGTGACTGATTTGATAGGAGGCAGCGCGCTGTGGAGAGAAATCCGGTGGCTAGTTCGCGATCCAGCATCTACAATGGGTTAAAAAATGGTATCGAGCGAGAGTGGAAGTAGACATACAAGAATAGCATCTTCCGATTCCAACGTCCTAGACGCCATGCTGTCTTGACTGTCATCTGCCTCGTTAAAGACCGACTCGACCCTGACAAGAAGGCGCTCAAGAGTAGTCAGGGACGCCTGTAAAAGTGTAGACGGGAAATCTGCTGGCAGGGTAGAGAAGTGCTGAAAAACTTGCTGTAGTTGATCTGCGAGAAGATTAGCCCCAAAACGTCAAAAGTCGGTCAAGTTTGTGCCTTACATGGACTCGAAGCAAGTCTGGCCAGCTCTAAACTACCTGCATGTTGCACGGCATCCATCGAGGACTTGACAGAAAACAACATGATTTCCATTGTGGCAGCCTTGTTTGTAGCCACGATGGAGTTCATCAGATCTTCACTGACGTTGTTGCTAGCATCCTTGGATAAGGCCAAGAACTGCTGTTGAATATCTGCTGCGGCAGAATTGTACTGATCCAGGAGCTGCCTGAACACATTGGTCTGCCAGTTCGCCAGCGGCGTGAACGCTGCCGCAGACTCCTCATGCACGACAAACCGTGCGAGTTGACTCCACGCTCGCAAATTGATCAGACAAGCCTCCTTGTGCGAACTGGCAGGGATAACCAGTTTCTCCAGGTTGTGGATGCCGGGACGAAGGTCAGGTGGTGCTGCCCAGAACAGTGTACATAGAAGATCGTGATGGTTCCTGAGTGCGGCCAAGTCATGCTGGTAAACATTCTGCTCCCTGGAGTATTGCCGGTCATGGTTCGGGAGCGTACGAGCGACCAGGTTCCGGATGTCGTTGACTAGCCCCTTCTGCTTCAACCTTTTTATGGCCAGTGCCACAAGCTTGAGGAAGATGTGGAAACATCGATCGTCAGGCTCAACCGTGAGTGGTGGGTTTAGGTGAAGGCTGTCCAGAAAACGTGCCGAGCGGAATGCTTCTTCATTGCGCAGGTGGGAGAGATTCTGGGAACCGAAAAAGTCAAAGATGGTGCCGATAATGCCGCTGCACTTCTGCCATCCCCACTGGTCAACCAGGTAATGACATCTGGATACAAGCGCCCGACTGTATTCATTGAAACTGGGAGACTGACGAGGATTGTCTCTGTATAGCTGGAAGACGCGTTTCAGGATTTGCTGGGGCAGGTTCCAGCCTTCCATGGGAACCTGATGTCTCCTATCGCTTATGAGCACACCCGTATCATTGAACTCGCACAATGGCAAGAGCGTAAACATGTCCTTCCAAAGCCGTTCGAACTCCTCTGCATCCACTCCGCGGGTGACGCTGGACTGAAGCATGCGCGAATACGTAACGTCCCAGAAAGCCATTCTTGGTATCCGGATGTTTTCTAGAGTTTTCATCAAGAGTACCCAGGCATGTGGTACAACTCTATCCGAACGAATACCACGTTCACGGTATCTCAATATCTGAAGGTCATCGTATAGACGATTCACGTCGTCCAGTCCAATGTTGAGCAAAAGTTGAACTAGTGCCTCAGCAGCTTTTCTGAGGACAGCCTCCGTGGTGAAGCACTCTGTTACCAAATATTGTGTCTTTTGGCATAGCCGCACTGCCGAGGAGAGAATCAGGACCAAGTTTGACAAGATTTCAACAAGCTCTATACGTCTATGCGGGTCGAGGCCATGCTCCGAATCCAGGCGTGATAGGAAAGCCCGAGTTACATCAGAGAGACGAGTGACAAAGGACCTCGCATCAGAATCGTTTGCGAAGCTCATAGCTTTCTGTACGTAGTCGAGGACGAAGCGCGCAGCCTCTTTGGCGTTGAAGCCGGCTCCCGTTGATATTGCCGGCTTGATGACTTGATCGAGTATCCCGTCCATCAGAATACCAAGTTCGGAAGATACATGCTCATTCCATGTATCCCAACGAAGAACCAGCTCACCCAGGTTAAATGATATCCGGGGACGAGGGTGCCATACTTTATCTGGGAATTGGTCGTCCACCGTTGACTTAAGCCGACCGCTGCCGATAAGCGTTGTCTCATGAAAAAATACCCCACGGTCCAGAGGAAATATTTCAAAGTGCTGTGTGTAGTGTGTGCCAAACGGACCAAGTCCAAGGAGTTTGTTGTCGTTGGACATGGACTTGGGCCTCTCTGCTGGAGTCAACAGCTCCGTGGTCGGTAGCGGGTCATTGGCATGGTGGAAGTGAGCAGCGGCAACATCGATCTGTATCGGCTGGGCTGCCTTTCTGAGACGCTTAGGACGGGGCTTCTGGGTGATTGGTGGTTCGGGGGAGGCTCTGGTAGCGAAGCTATGCCCCGAAACAACTGAAGATACGTCATCCAGGAATGAATCCAGATGCGCACTCCGTGAGGACAAAGCCTGCGTTTGGCTGCGCCGGAAGAGAGTGTCGAGGGCCCGTTTCTTTGCATGGAATCCGATTCGCCCTGTCTGCTCAGTCAAATCCGTTTCGAGGTGAGCCGGCCTGTTTATGGCCTCTCGAGCATGTTGACTTGTGATGGAATGACTCCTGGATATGTTTCGTGCGCGAGCTCGCACTTCGGGTAAGGGGGTCGAAGGTGTTGAGCCCTCACGTCGACTTCGGCCAGGCTGCGGGACAGTGTCGACCTTGGGCGATGACGCCACGCCGCGAGCAGAAATATTGGAAGGTAACTGGGTAAGTGGGCGCCTCCCGGTTGATGTGGTCTGCTTTTTGCCCTGCAGCCCCTGACGGGGCCGAATCTTCCCTCCTTTCCACTTTTGCAGCACTGTACCGGCATCGACATTGTCCTTTCGGGTGGCAAGACGTATTGTCTTGTTTGAGGGGCTGGATCTTCCCAGGTGACACCTGTTTTGAGCCGTCCGGGCTGCTATCTTCAGGAACTTGGGCGCGTCTGGTTCAATAACGTCCAAAATGCTTAGTCTCGGAGGTGTCTTCGCTCTGGCAGCAGACCAAAATTTGCCCAATGTCGATTTATGGCTTTTCGCCCAAAGATCGAGGCGCGAGGCTTTGGAAGACCGGTTCATAGCTTTTGGAGACCTTCCCAGTTTCTCGCGCTGCTTGCCCGGGTTTGGATCATTTTTTTTCTGGCGCTTGGCGGGTTGCTGGAAATCTTTCATAGTCAACTGACGTTTATTGCTTGGAAGCATGGGGTCGACTTGATCGTCCTCGATAACAGAGCCACTGTCATTGTCATCTATAACCTCCGTTACTAGATTTTCGAAAGGTGAAATGGGTTGGACATCATGTGCTGCGCGCGTGGGCGTTAGTGCCGGTGTAATCTCATCATCCGAGTCCTCGAAGATGAAAGCAGCCGCTGCGCTTGATGCTGAACGACCAATTCGCCGAACCGCTACACCACGTCTCATTGCCTTCTCGGGTGACGCTTCGTGTCGTTGATGTTGAGTGGGCTTGGGCCGATTTGCTTGTTGATCAAGTCTGAGCCAGGATGCTGGAAGAACCCCTCGCATTCTTCTTCCAACATTCCTGACAACCTCTGCGCCAGTCTCCGAACCACTGTCGTTGCCGGCCTCCGATTCACCTCCTGATATGTCCATATCTCGGTGCCCAGAATCATGCTCTCCAGTATCGGAGATATCCTCCATGGTCAGATCGAGTACGGGGGGGTCCACGCCCATTAAACTGTGTCTCTTAGACACCGCCGGGAACACCATGTTGCTATCAATAGGCTGACTATCTTCCTCAGCAAATGGGTCTGGAATATCGGATACAGCAGGCGACGCTACCAGCTCCATCGACGGATTGACAGAGGCGTTAGGAACCTGTGTTGATGAAGACGGAGAAGAAAATGTGCCATATATCTCATCATACTGCTGAAACGTTGGCCTGGAGGGTATGCGAGTATTTGGAGTCGTCTGCTTGACCACTTTCGTCTTAGATGTGGCCCGTCTTACAAGCTTTCGTTTCTTCGCAGACCGGTTTAACAGTAAATTGCGGTGGATCTCATCGAGTGAGGGGAGTTCGTCATTATCGGAGAGGCTTGTGTTGTCGGTGTCACCCTGACTAGGTTGGCTGCTGGGCCCGCTGCGGTGCTTTGGGGATGAGGTTCGTAACGGCGACGGTGACGGGGACCGCGATGATAGGCGCAAGAGCCCAGAGCTCGGCGGGTCGTCAATCCCGTTGACTTGACTTTCATCTGTGGTCTCGTTTGACACATCAGGCGTCGTCTCTTGGCTATCGTCTTCGAAGTCCTTCTCGCCAGACTCTTCATCTGCTCTCTGTCGTCTAGGGGCCGGCTCCGTCGGCATTCTGACTGGACGAATGCCGTGTGACTTTAGGACTTTGCTGTATTGAGCGTTCTCGATAAGGTATGGGTGTTCCTGAATGGGTTTTCTCGGTCTGAATGAGCGTTCATATCGCACTGCGACGTGCCTGGCAACCTCTTCATCTCGACTTGTGGGTATATCCCGCTGAGTGGGCGACCGCTGCTGACTCCTCGCCTGGTTCTGCATTGGGATATCTATAGAGAATACGGCCCGAGCCTTAGCCGGGCGTCTTGCTGGGGAGGTGGTACCTGACGCGTGCTGCGAGACTGGTTCTGCGGCCTCTTCGTCCTGGCCAGGGCTTGCGCGACGCTCTGTGGCTGGTCCTTTTTGCTGGCTTGACTGCCCTTTTGGTTGACTCGTCAACGGAGAGACGACTGGGGACCTGGGCGGGGGAGAAAGGCTTGTGATGCCGTTCTCGGCCGGGAATTCGGGCTGGGGAGCTGTGATCTTCACATAGCTCGTCGATATACTGTCGTCGCCAGCCAAAGGATCGGGAGAGTCGTCACGGCCATGAGGAAAGTGTAACTGCCTCGTCCTAGCAGGAGGAGTTACTTGAACTTCCGGTTCGTCCAAGTTGAAAGGGTCGTCCATCTCGTCCATATCAGGTACCGAAGACAGTGGCGAAGAGGGCGGTTCCTGCTCGGATGGCCTTTGCACCTCATGATCCAGGGTTGTCGTTCCATGCTTTACAGACGCGACGGCGGACGATCCTTGCGATGACTCAGGAACATCCCATATGCTTTGTCGAGTGTTCTTCGTTTGCGGGGGTTCGACGGGGGTTTTCGAGGGAAGTTCGGGATCCAGCAGCGACTCCAAATCCTGGCTATCGAAGTCGAGCTCGTCGTCCGAATCTGGGACCTCGCCCAGTTCTTTCCAGTTCGCCATGACACGTACCGTTCATCATAAACAATTAAACATCGTAAAACATAACCGAGCGTAAGGCATTTGGGAGGTTGGTGGCCAGAAGATTTGGCTCGTTGTTTGACCCGGAAAAGCGCAGTGCATTACCTAACCCTGACTGGGACAGCGTTCGATGCAGACGCGTTCGGGCGGTTGAGCGCGTTTGGTGGGGCACGCGCCCGTCGCGCGGTCGGCAAACCACTTTACGTCGGCCAGATACCCAGCCGGGCCCGGATTTTTTTTGGAGACAGGCCGAGAGCTCTACCTTGCTCGGTCGCAATGCGCCGCTCAACTAATGCAACTTCGATTGCTCTACACCATCAACCGCTTGTTGTAGTCTGCAAACTAGCGAGGCTGTCCTGTCGGTATTACCAAACAGCAATTTGCCCCACTTCATCAACCCCTCCAAGATGAGCTTGCGAAACTTCCTGCCAATTGTTGTAGCTGTTGTGGCTGGTGTCGGCATCTGTATGTAACATCCCAGTCTTGTAACCCAAGAACGAGCTACCCTTCATGATGCCGGTATAACTGACATACCTAGCCACTTACACCTTGAAGCCTGCTCTTGAAGAGCAAAAGAGACTTCGCGAATCGAAAGAGCAGCTACCGAAAACCCTTCCTCCCGGTGAACCGAACAGCCCGGACTTACAAATCCCGAGCCTAACGACACCCAGATCTGGCGCTGACGCGGATAGCTCATCGCGGAAAACCTGAGGTGCAAAGAATGCACAGTAGACATGCTTGTGCTAAGCATCTCCAATTGGGGCAAGGCAATAGGACTGCGATAACTGCCCAAAAGCAAATACAAATGCATCACGAGACGGAGCTTCCTGAACTGATCATAGTAAGGCGTTAACCCCCGGGCGACTCAGGGTTGTGTTGATAATGCGGCAGTCAAACTGGAGGTCCCGCCAGACTGTAGGCATACATCAGATTGATTGCCAGATAGATGGCATGTCAGAATTCATGTAAAGATTGATGTAAATATGTAATATAAGGCAAGTCCCGCGAGTCGGGCGATTAAGAACACCGAAAGAGTCAGGCAAGATCTGGATATGCACTTGGCTGATGACGTCCGATTAGCCGAAATGCACCGTGATGTCAAGGTTGCCGTGGGTTCTCCGGAAGCACAAGTGCTGTGTTTTCCAGGCTTCACAGTAACACCACCTATGATTCTGAATCACTACGAAACTGGTGGAAAACAGTTAAAGAAATCACCAACAGCATTGGCGTATCAACGACCAGTAGCAAGCAGCCTTACTCAATGGCAGCCAAAACCCCGGGCAAGCGGCAGTATTCGGGATGGGCGTTGCAACAGCCGAGCGAGCGCGCCGTGCTAACCACATGAGAGAGCTCGTAGGTACCTCTCGGTGTCGGAAGGCCCAAGGAATATCAAGGTGAAGTACGGATACGGATACCTTACCCCCCTAGGCGATTCCAATTGGGTGGATAAGCAACGCACAGGCCATAATTCTATCACGTGATTTCCAAACACCCAGTCGCAGCTGGCGTATTGCAATCGAAATTCCAATCATACGATTGCCCGGAACTTCTAGGTAGCCAAAAAAACCCTCTCTTCCCTTCCGACGGCCCATCTCGAACGAACCACCCCCGACGTCACCGCAATTAAGACCCTCTCCGCTCTCTCGAACCGTTCCCATAGCGATTTTCGATTCTGTTAGACAAAAACCACAACCGAAAACACAATGTTGCGAACCCCGACCGTTTCTCTGGCCCGCACCGGCCTGCGCGCCGCCCAGCAGACCTCCGTCATCCGCCGCGCCGCCACCACCCACGCCATCTCCAACCCGACGCTCGCCAACATCGAGAAGAGATGGGAGGGCATGCCCCTCCAGGAGCAGGCCGAGCTCTGGATGGCGCTGAGGGACCGCATGAAGGGCCCCTGGTCGGAGCTGACTCTTCAGGAGAAGAAGGCTGGTGCGTAACTGATTTTCCGTTCATTCGAAAGACAGGTGTTCCGATTCTCCGCAAGGGAATTGGCAGATGGGGATGGACTGGAAGGGATGAGAGGCATTGAAAAAGCTAGATGACATGCACCAATGCCTCTTTCTTTCTTCTCTCCCGTCAATTGAGCCATCGCTGCAGCTGGGAGGGCAAGGTTCAGGTCTATAAATCCACGCTTCCCAATGCTCCAGCCAGATTGCAACGCTAGTTGGCAACCACCCAAACCCACCCCTGGTGCATATGCATTGCGTCACATCACAAAAAGCTATACAAAAAGATACGCGGATGAAACTAACGCAAATTGACTCAATAGCCTACTGGATCGCCTTCGGTCCCCACGGTCCCCGCGCCGGCACCCCCGCCGGTGAGGGCACCCGCGTCTTCTGGGGTGTCGCCGCTTCCGTCGCTGCCAGCTTGGCCATCTTCGCCTCCATCCGCGCCTTCGCCGGCGCTCCCCCCGACACCATGACCAAGGAGTACCAGGAGGCTTCTAACGAGTACCTTAAGGTATGTCACCGGCGTTCCGGACGCTTTGGACATGTATGTCCGGGCCAATGGCTAATTATTCTCCCTTCAGAACCAAAATTCCGACCCCATCACCGGTATCTCCTCCGAGGGCTACTCCGGCAAGGGCATGGTCCAGTCTCCTCCCAAGACCAATTAATCGATATCCTCATTCCCTATCGTCTCTTAGAATCACAATCACAATTCGACCATGGCAGTTTGCCCATGTATAAAACTAGTAGTAGAGCTGGCATGGGCTGGGGGGCTTGCGACGTGACTCGAGGACAACCATCTGCTTGGTGTAAATATTGTACCAAAAGATCTGAATTCCAAGCACCTTTCCATTTGTTTCTTCATATCTGTTCTTGGTATCCTCGGCCCATCTGTGTATACACGGTATGTGAAACGTATGGCCTCCATGGTTCGTATGCCTCTTGTCTCCATTCCTGCTCTGACAGGTCACAACAGTGTTGATTCTGTACTCCCAAGGTATGTAGCCGCACCACAAGGGACTAATTTAGTGGTATTTGAGCTACGCAGCTACGTTTGCCTGGACAAGTAATAGATCTATTGGATTTGGTTCTAATAAGACATGCTTCCGCACAATTCATGGCACCATTTTGGATTAGCTTGCTAAGTAAATTTCTCGTCTTCCCCTTCACCCGTGAGTCTCCATCATCTAGCATCTGTACAAACTCTCCGATCTATCACAGCTAAGAGTGCTGAGACACGGGAGACTCCAAGCCGAGGACCTGTACGCCGTTAGCTTCAAAGTGTATATTGACCGAGGAGAGAGGGGTATTACCAGAGCAGATCGGCTTGGAATATAAACATGAGCCCAGTTCTTTCGGTTGTTCCACTCCATGGGAGTAGTGGAAAAACGGGTACCTTCATCGACACGGGCGTGGCCTCCAAAGTCCTTGGAGTCGGTGTTGAGGAGTACCTTGTACGTTCCAGGCACCTCAATGCCAATTCTGTAGTCGGCAAAGCTTTCGGTAGGGTGGAAATTGAAGATGAAGACAACGCCTGCCCTCTCAAAGACAATGACCTTGTCACTCTCATTCTTGAGCGAGATGTATGCTTGCGGCGCCGCCAACCAGCCAAACTTATTCTCCGTGGTATTCATGGCCCGATCAAAGTTGTTGAGGAATTTGTAGCGAAGCAGGTCATCATCAGTGAGGTTAAGCTGACGACGCGCGTACCAGAACGAGTTCTGGTTGCCCTCGCGGGGAAAGTCGAGCCATTCCGGATGACCAAACTCATTACCCTCGAAATTGAGGTATCCTTCACCACCGAGACCGTGTGTCAGGAGGCGAATCATCTTGTGAAGGGCCATGCCTCGGTCAATGACCGGCGTCAATGGAGTCAAGGTCGACATGTTGGTGTACATCTCAGCATCACAGAGATGAAACATGAGGGTCTTGTCACCCACAAGTCTTTATTTTTGTTAGCTGGAGCTGGAGTTGGTCACCTTGGAAGAGAAAACCTACGCCTGGTCGTGACTTTCCGCATATGCGATAGTCTTTTCACCATGTCTTCGGTTTGTCAGTGTGAAGCAGATATTGCCGATATCCCATTCTTCGTCTTTCTTCTCCTTGAGGATCTTAATCCACATATCTGGAACGGCCATGGCAAGACGGTAATCGAAGCCAAGACCACCTAGGGAGAGCGGCAGACAAAGAGCCGGCATGCCAGACACATCCTCAGCGATAGTGATAACCTCTGGGTACAGCGAGTGGAGCAACTCGTTGGCGATCATGAGGTACGCAATGGCTTCTTCGTCAGCGTCAGAGCCGAAGTACTCGTGGTAGCCTCCAGAAAAGCCGCTGTTTTGGTTAGCACGCAATACCTCCACTCATCTATTTAAGGGGCGGGTGGCTTGGCTTACGTTCCAATACCATGATGCAGGTACAACATGCTTGTGACACCATCAAAACGGAAGCCGTCGAAGTGGTACTCGTCCATCCAGAACCGCAGGTTACTGAGCAAGAATCTCATTACTTCATGATGACCGTAGTTGAAAAGTCTGCTGTCCCACAGCTCATGACGACCGCGAGCCCCCTCGTGGAAGTACTGGTGGTCCGTACCATCGAACTCGTTCAGACCATCCAGGACGTTCTTGGAGGCATGGCTGTGAACAACATCCAGAAGCACGGTGATACCCATGCTGTGGGCGGTGTCAACCAGCTCCTTGAGGTCCTCGGGAGGACCATAGCGACTGCTGGCAGCAAAGAAGTTGTTGATTTGGTAGCCGAAGCTGGCGTAGTAGGCATGTTCCATAACAGCCATGAGCTGTATGACGTTGTAGCCGAGATCCTTGATTCTCGGTAACATGTTCTTCGTAAACTCTTTGTAAGTCGCAACCCGTAGCTCGGGCGATGAGATTCCCACATGAGCCTCGTACACGCGAACGCTTCGGGGCTTCTGTGGTCTCGGATGCTTGAACTGGTATTTCTCGGACGCCGGCGGGTTCCAGAATCGGGCTTCGTACGCGGGGGAGATGGACAAGTCTTGTGTCACATACTTGATCCACGCGGGCAGGCGGTCGATGCGTTCGCCGTTGGGGAGTTGCAAAGAGATCTGATTGGAGTTAACTTCAAACGCGGCAGGTGTATCTTGGGCTCGGATTTACCTTGACCTTGGAGTTGTGCGGGATCGCAGCCTGGCCATTGGCGGCAGGGAGGGTAATCTCGAAGACTCCAAAGCTGTTCTTCTTCATCTCATGGGAGTGCCTGTCCCAGTTGTCTGTTATGTTCCGGTTAGTAAAAATCATGCCGCCGTATCAGAGAGAGATAAACTCACTGAAGTCGCCGATCAAGAAGGCCTGTGTAGCGTTGGGGGCCCATTCCCTATACACGATGTTGTTGTTCTCGTCGACGTTGAAACCGAAAAGCGAGGTGCCCTGTCAAAGGCAGGTTAGCTTGAGGTTTCAGGAAAACATCACTATGCTTCTTCTTCTTCTTCTTCTTTTTCTTACCTTGGAGAACTTATCGAGGCCACCCTCAGTCTCGTTGATCTTCTGGATCCAATCCTGAGCACGGGCATAGCGCCTCTTGAGGGAATCCTGAAATGGTGACAGCCACGGGTCAAGCTTTACCACGCCTAGCGGAAATCAGCCAATGATCCTGCAAGGAAGGGAGGGAAGGTGTTACCAGTGCCATCAGTAGGAAAGCCGTCAGCGGCACCACTAGAGCCATTTAAGGCGATTGAGTTGGAAGACTTCTCGACAGCAGTCATGTTGGAGGATGAAGACTGGTGTTTAGAATTGCAGTTGAAGTTGAGAGTGCGGGGCAGAACCGCAGTAGTTCAGATCGAATTCAGCCTGAAGTAGGGCAAGACACAGCACGTCAGGTGTCGTCCAAGATTGCAAGGTACCTAAGGTAAGGGGAGGCAGGGTGAACGTAGGGAATGAGGCGGGTTGCAAGCAATTGAAGCTGCCTGTGCAAAATGTTGAGGCAAGGTAAAGAGGTAGGCAAGGTAAGGTGGAAGAGCTATGTGACGGCAGAGCTAAGTACCTGAACTAAATGGGATTCCACGCCTTTCCTAACGTAGGTCGGTAGGGGTATGGAGCTAGGCAAGGAATGCACAGATTGGTAGCAATCTCTTCAAGAGTTAAAAGAACCCGGGAAACCTCGATCAGACGTTGGATGGTCGTGAAGACAGCAGTAAAGATAATGATATTGATGTGTGAAGGAGGAATAAGTTTGGAAACAATAATGCTACAGGAAGCGACGCCTTGGATGTAGATACTTTATGTACATTGGCCTGATAAATTTCCCCCGCACTGTCTGGGATGAGCTTGGGGATGGCTTAAACTTGCATCCAATTCATGGGGACACGAGAGGTGGGCGGGAGAAGGTGCAATCTTCGGCGCATTGCATGGTATGACGTCGTGGGGCAACGCAGCTCACGGGTCGCGTCTCCCCTCACAGCAAGCCCGCAGCAGTATTTCAGCAGTCTAGGTCTAGTCTAGCCCCAGCACCCTCTGTTGTTGGTCTGCTGTGGTCAATTCAACGAGAATTGCTGCAGCATCGGAAGCGCCAGGGCGCTAAGGCAGACAGGCAACAGGGTAGGAACGACGGGGAGAGAAAAAAAACCGCTGTCGCCACTCCAACCCCTCCTCCGTCCCTCTGGCGTCTCAACAACAAATGCATCGGCCGAATCAGAACACATCTCAGGTGGGATGACTGTCCATCCCAGATGGTCCAAGGCGAATGGTACGCTGAAGGTTGAGGCTTTTTCAGCTGCTAACTCCGCGTTGGCCCCTTGGTTTTACTTGATAATAGACTGCCGCTTACAGGTTTGCCTGCTTTGAACCATACTCCTTTGAGTCGAGGTAAGAGGACACCGAATGCGATGTTGTACCATCGGTGAACCAGTTAAGGGGGGTTGGCGAGCAGGGTAGACGATGGCTCTGATCAATCAGTATCAGCGTAGTGGGACCGACATGTCGTTATCGTGGCCAAATGCCATCACAGATACGTCGTGGGCCCTCCGAGAATTGCATGCCTGGCCTAACGCACAGTGGTGGAGCTTGCCCCTATCATGAACTCTGGGGGTGGATTAGGTACGAGTTCCTACCTCGATACCATTGGCCGTCAACCATATGATGGACCAATTCACAGACTGTGGATTCTGCAGGCCGAACCGCAGTTCAACCACGAAGCCGTTGCATTTATTTGACAGAAACCAGTGGTTGACAAGACCATTTGTTCCATTGTGTCAGTTGCACCAGCGCCTCGAGCCGGGGATGTCCATGGTTACTATCTGACCTAGTACTGGTGGTCTCAATGCCTGGATAGGGTAATCCCAAGTGCAAAGTTGGTGAAAGTGCACAACATATGAACTGATGGACGTAGCACTCATCATACATCAACTGTCAGGCTGCCTATTTGACCATACGATTCAAAAATAGGATCGTGCAGGTATAGTTAAAGGTATTGCATGATCGTACAAGCTTCCGTGCATTCGGATTGACTTTGGGAGCATGTTTGGGGGATGAGCGCACGTAACTTTCCCCAATCTTAGCCGCTCCTAAGCGCTGCTGTGCTGGAGCTCCAGCTCCTCAACCCCGCACCCGTCCACGAGCTCTGGCCATGGTTCCTTATCCGGCCTACCTTTATCTACTAAGGTACCTGTAGCCACGCACTCACGATATCCCCTCCGGTTACCGGACTACCTACATCGTCATCCTCATCACCATCACCGTTACTTCCTCAATCCTTACACAGACGGCTGACGTTCTCTATTGACAAGTTCCAGCCGATACCGTCTCATGGTATGGTCCCTTCGCCGGGCGCGCTTCACCATGGCTTTATTCTCTAGGCCCCAAGCCTACACATGTGCCCGCTGCTTGGTGCTTGCAAGCACCAGGCGCACCTTCTCCGCTTCCTCTGTCGCCCGAACCGCAACGACACAAACACGAGGTTTCAACTCTGGCTTCACAAGCAGCTACGATCCGAATTCCGAACACGGCCGAGGCCCCATGTTCAAAAAGAATAGTTTTGGGGTTCCTCAGTTCTACCCCCGAGACCTGAAGAAGCGGGTTGACGATTACGTCGTTGGGCAAGACCGAGCAAAGAAGACGATATGCTCCACAATATTTAACCACTATCAGGGCTTGCGGAGGAGGAGACATCAGGAACATGAGGAGAGGGTGCAGAGGGAAAAGGCAGAGCGACAGCGGTATGCCCGGGACAGGGACATCCTTGAGAAGCGTGATACCCATCCTGTTCAAGGTCAGCGCGATCGTTACTCTGCCTTCCAGCGCTTCCCAGCTGATGATGAATGGCCTCCAGACGAGTTCCCTGGTCACGCTGAAGCTACACAACACTTGGGAGAGGGTTACGGCTCTTCCAACGGGTTCGATGGGTCTTACCTGTCCGAAGAACCCCCGGCTCCCCCGCAGGTCAAGATTGATAAGAGCAACTTGCTCCTCATCGGTCCTACTGGTGTCGGAAAGACGTATATTCTTGAGTGAGTGGCGTCTGTAGAGGCAGTCCAGGCCAACAAGTCTAACACTTCCTAGGACTTTGAGCAAGAAGCTCAACGTGCCGTTCACGATATCCGACTGCAACTCCTTTACACAAGCCGGCTACATCGGTCAGGATGTGGAGACATGTGTAGAGAGATTGCTGATTGAATCAAACTACGACATCAAAGCGACCGAACATGGCATCATCGTTTTGGATGAATTCGATAAGCTGGCCAAGAGGGAGAGCATGAATGGCCGGGATGTTGGCGGAGAAGGTGTCCAGCAAGCTTTACTCAAGCTCGTTGAGGGCTCCAAAGTGACCATCAATGTCAAGGACAATCGATCTTCGCGGTCAACACCACCCATCACCACCAACTACACGTCCTCGAGCTCAACGTCGGCCCCCCAGTCCACTCCGCCGCAGGCGAAGGTCGACCAATACACCATAAATACTACAAACATTTTATTTGTCTTCTGCGGCGCCTTTGTTGGTCTTGACAAAGTTGTCGTGCGGAGAGTGTCGAAACCCTCAATGGGCTTTGGGTCCGAGTTACGAGGCAAGCAGAGCCTTTCCGGTAATCAACACGATTTGCCGCGCCACCTGTTTTCGCATTTGCCTCACGTTAGCACAGATGCGTCTGCATCTTCATATACCCCCCTCGACCTGACAACACCGGTCGACCTCCAGACGTTCGGTTTCATTCCCGAGCTGATTGGCCGAGTTCATAACATCTGCGCTTTGAGTCCTTTGTCTTTGAGTGATCTCTACAGGATCCTTACAGAGCCACGAAACTCTCTAGTCGCACAGTACACTGCACTTTTCGAAACCTACCCTTCCCGCCTGCACTTTACCAAGAAGGCACTATACGCCATTGCCGAAAGAGCTGTCAAGGCTGAGACCGGAGCCCGTGGTCTGAAGATGGAAATGGAGCGTGTTCTCGCGGAACCGATATTTGACGCCCCGATGCCTTATGTCTTAATCACTGAGGGCTGTGTGAAAGGCACCGAGAAGGCCGGTTACTGGGGCAAGGATGGCCGCATGGAGTTGGAGCGAAGGATGGCAGATGAGGACGTCGAACCCAGCTCGCGCATTCCCGACATAACCTTTGAGCAGTTCCGGGAGGCCGGCCAGAGCGGCGCTTGAGGGCCGTCTTCCGGGCATATTGTTGTCATGGCCCATTCGGTGTGTATCTGCTGCTATGTTTTTAGGGAGTAGTGGTGTTGATGATGATGATCCACGTTGGAATATAAACACTTCGACGAGGTGAAGTTTCAGTGATTTGCCAAATATTCCCGATTATCATTGCCACGCGTCGTTAGTGTTTGGTAATGCGTTTTGAGGGCGACACGACAAATATACCAAGGATCTCGACGGGAAGTCGGCTATTGATGCCATGAGCAGGGTTCTGATACATTTATATCATGGTACGAAAGTCAAGAAAGATGACTGGCTGTTCAATAATGCGGACATCTTTGATGACCGCGACCTGGCAGCTGCCGTCCTTCATACTTCACTCGCTAAGCGCCTCAGAGAGGAAACTAATGCCCTTTCAACATCGAAGAAGCGCGTTAAGTTCGCCAACGACATCAAATCGGAACCAGATGCCTCGGATGGCAACAACTTCCTCGAAAAGCTAGGCGGTCAGTCCTGCCAGTCTCGCCAGTCTGCCATTTGCGACAAATTCAAGGTCTTGAGACAGGTCGTCCGTGGCGTCGCTCGAGACATCGATAGCATTGAGGAGGAAATGAAAGTATTTCCTAGTTTCATAAGACATGAATATCTAAAGGAATTTCTCATAGTGACCGTCGCTGAGGTCAATGCAGGCATGGGTGTCGACACATACATCGGGATGTGGAAGATGGCAGGTGATAGATATCCTGATTGTCACAACGGGACATGAGCGGCTTTGCGTTTTCCTTGCGTTTTCCTCTACACTTTGGAAGCACACGCCTATAGTGTCGCAAAGACACCCCGTGAGAAGTAGCCACTCAGCCCAACAAACGCACACAACCAAGCAAGGCATGATTTACACCAAAGGAAGATGTCAAGCATGGAGGAACGAAGTATCTGACATCAGGCGGCATTGATCGATATGGAGCTCGCATGGAAGTGACACTAGTTTGGTACGGGCTTGGAGTGATTGAACGAGAGCATCCGTTTTTCCTTCTTCATATTTTCTTTTCCAGGGGAGGGAAGCACCCTGGGTGGCCTAAATGCCGATATCCCCGGGTCAAGACAATCCGTGATAGCTTCTTTTCTTCCTCACGCATGATTGAGACCAATCACATTACACCTTCTTTTCATCGCCCCTTTGATCTGGGTTAATACCTCTGTGATACTAGAAGTACTATTGTGTACCTGTCCGACTTTGGGAGGGACCGCCTTGGATATTTACCTCAGTCGCTCGCTCCGGCCAAGTACATCTACGCCGCTCTGCTTAGTCGGTAGGTGCCTGGGTACGTCTATCCGTGGATGTCACTCACACCCCGGGTTATGAGATACCGTCTCCTGAATTGAGACCACCTCTACTCAACTTGCATCCCTCAGTTAGTCTCTTGTGGCAGTCTGTAGAGCATATTCTGTTAAACCTATTTTGTTCTAAGTGCCCACATCCTCATGTGTTCAGTCTTCCCGTTTTTTCCCAAGTGAAGTTGAAATTTTATTAGTTAAAAAGTGCAACAGCGGTGCACGCTGGCAATAGTGCTAGCAGGTGTATAGAGGATTAGGTAGTTATCTAGTGTTTTTATCACTCTAGACCCTATAAGAGGTCTAGCTCAGTTCTGGTTTAATGGTATTATGACATGCGTAACCTAATAGGTAGCACTTCTAGTCTATGCTATATCTTAATATCTTAATACTGTATACAGGACTTGATAATCTAGAGCAGATGTTGAATCAGACTTTAGGCGTATTACCCAGGTATAAAATAGAGGGGACTGTACACGTAAGATTCCCGGATACTTTCTGTATGTAGAGGTAACAGCTCGGCCGGTCCGTTAATCTCATACTGGGTAGCATAATATAGCAGGACACGTAGGCAGTGCAAGCACTAAGGGGGGCTTCTTCCAGCTCTTGAGTGCTTGTGAGCCTGGAAAAGGCCACAAGGCCCCAAAATTGACGAGACTTACCCGCAGTCCCCACGTCGAGTGCCGGGAAAGGAATAGAAAAAAAGTTTCCAGTCATTTCCTAAGTGAAGCTCCCAGTCTCCAATTGAACCCGACGCGGACCCGGTGTATCCCGGAGGAAGGAGCTCGACCAAATCGAGACTAGCGTAGCGAGGTAATTTTTCCCAATCGATTTCCGGTCACGTGACACCCCGGAGCAAAGCTCTTACCGACGAAGCGTAGATTCCGAGCAAAACTGCTCACTGTTCCTCCCAAGTCCTCCTCCAACTTTCAACCATCACCTCTCCACTCCCATCCGAAGTCGCCCTTATTCATCTGTCAAGATGTTCAAGAGGTTGGTACCAATTGCCTGATCGACTTATTGAACCCTCTGGTGTTCAATTGGCCCCAATTGAGCTAACCAACCTTTCGCAGCGGCATTTCCTCCTTCGCCCGGGCGGCTCGCCCTTCCTTCGCGGCGACCGCTTCCCGTCGCGCCATCAGACCTTCTACTTTCAGACTCCCTGCCACCAGCAGATTCGCCAGCACCGCCGGTGTCGGTGATGGAAAGATCTACCAGGTGAGTGTTGGCATCGCCCATCCCTTCCGCTTGCCCGAGGGTGAAGCCGGTAACTGACAACAATCCTACAGGTCATTGGTGCCGTCGTCGACGGTTCGTAACCGAGAAAAACCCTTCAAGGGTTTCAACTTCATCGCCGAAGCATCAATACTGACTCATGGATGCAGTCAAGTTCGACACCGCCAAGCTCCCTGCTATTCTGAACGCCCTCGAGACGACAAACAACGACCAGAAGCTGGTCCTGGAGGTCGCGGTACGTACCTGGACGGACACGAAAATATCAATCGCAAAAGTCTTGTTTCATCTAACACGTTTCGACAGCAACACTTGGGTGAGAATGTCGTCCGCTGCATTGCCATGGACGGTTCGTGTTCCCGCCTGAAAAAGTTTTTACTACGCTCGTGCTTACGTCGCCCTAGGTACCGAGGGTCTCGTCCGTGGCCGCCCTGCCACCGACACTGGTGCCCCCATCACCATCCCCGTCGGCCCGGAGACTTTGGGCCGTATCATGAACGTCACTGGTGACCCCATTGACGAGCGTGGCCCCATCAAGTCCAGCAAGAGACTGCCCATTCACACCGAGCCCCCCGAGTTCATCGACCAGTCCACCACCGCCGAGGTTCTCGTCACCGGTATCAAGGTTGTCGACCTGCTCGCCCCCTACGCTCGTGGTGGAAAGATTGGTCTCTTCGGTGGTGCCGGTGTCGGCAAGACCGTCTTCATTCAGGAGTTGATCAACAACATCGCCAAGGCCCACGGTGGTTACTCTGTCTTCACTGGTGTCGGTGAGCGTACCCGTGAGGGTAACGATCTGTACCACGAGATGCAAGAGACTTCCGTCATTCAGCTTGATGGCGAGTCCAAGGTCGCCTTGGTCTTCGGTCAGATGAACGAGCCCCCTGGTGCCCGTGCCCGTGTTGCCCTGACTGGGTAAGTTGCTCTTACTCTCTGTCCTTCAATACCTCCTGTTGGACAAGTCCTGGCTCATCCCACTTGGTTTTTGTTTCACTTTCCGTTCTCTTTCACTTTCGTCCAATCCTTTCATTTCGTCGCGCTCTTCGTCCCGTTTCAATCCATGGCGTTTCCCATCTCAACAAACATAACAGTGTGCTAACAAACAATCAGTCTGACTATTGCCGAGTACTTCCGTGACGAAGAAGGACAGGATGGTGAGTTCTGAATAACGGTGTGACTTAGGATGAAATCTGGCTAACGACATACCAGTGTTGCTCTTCATTGACAACATTTTCCGTTTCACCCAGGCCGGTTCCGAGGTGTCTGCCCTTCTGGGTCGTATCCCCTCTGCCGTCGGTTACCAGCCCACCCTCGCCATCGACATGGGTGGTATGCAGGAGCGTATTACCACCACCAAGAAGGGTTCCATTACTTCCGTCCAGGCCGTCTACGTCCCTGCTGACGATTTGACTGACCCTGCCCCTGCCACCACCTTCGCTCACTTGGACGCCACCACTGTCTTGTCCCGTGGTATCTCTGAGTTGGGTATCTACCCCGCTGTCGACCCTCTTGACTCCAAGTCTCGTATGCTGGACCCCCGTATTGTCGGCCAGGACCACTACGACACCGCCACCCGTGTCCAGCAGATCCTCCAGGAGTACAAGTCCCTCCAGGACATCATTGCCATTCTGGGTATGGACGAACTTTCCGAGGCCGACAAGCTTACCGTCGAGCGTGCCCGTAAGATCCAGCGTTTCCTGTCGCAGCCCTTCACTGTCGCCCAGGTTTTCACTGGTATCGAGGGTAAGCTCGTTGACCTGAAGGAGACCATCAACTCGTTCAAGGCCATCCTCAGTGGTGAGGGTGACAACCTTCCCGAGGGTGCCTTCTACATGGTTGGTGACTTCGCCTCAGCCAAGGAGAAGGGTGAGAAGATCCTTGCGGATCTGGAGAAGAACTAAACGACTCGCGACGAAAATACCAAATCACGTCGAGAGTGGGGCACTAAGCCTGTGTATAGAAGAGGAACGATGGAACGGGGAGGTTTCTTAGCTCAATTCAAGTTTCTTTTGTGAGCTGTGTACCAAGAAATCTACTTAATTCCTCTTGTAGTTGAGAGAATCTCCTTATTTCTTCAGTCATTGTTCCTCTCGCAAGTGATTCATTCCACTGCCTCCCGAGTTTAACATCTACCAAACTCAACAGCTGCAGGCATAGGAAGCTACCCTTGCCATCTACTCTCGAGTCCTACGTATTGCCATGTCCAGACGTCGTGTAGACGCTCTGCCAGAAAGTGCAATCCGAGGTGGCGTAGCCAACGTCGTCATGCTCCGTTAGTATTGTACTACACCTTACCTAGCCCTTAATCACAGTGCCACAAAGCCATAGGATGGAACATGTTCTTGCCCCGCGACTAGATAGCAAAGCGGTTCGTATGCTCCCTAGAGTAGCGTTGAGGCTCCGCTTTTTTCTCGAGTTACAATCCGAGCTCCACAACACATCGGCCCAACCACCCAAGGAGACTCGACTGTGGCTTGTCTTATGACATCCGGGTCTACTTTGTACGCCTACCGACGTGTGGTCTCGCGAGGGGGGGGCAAGCCCTCGGGGAGGCTGCGGGGACAGCCGGCCCTTTCGGACGCGACATTTATAGACCGCATCAAGGTAGAACGTCACAACTCGTGATGTCATCAATGTTTTGTTTCAGACCAGCACTACGTCCCACATTACGACGTCTGGCTCCCCGCTGCGAAGGTCTTACAAACGTTGGTCGATGACTGGAAACATCGACAATTGTCAGAGAAAAAGCTGAGGCTGCAACAGTCGAGTCGCGTATGCAAAGTTGGATAAGCTTCTCAGAGGTTTTGCGAGCAGACCTGCCACAGACGCAATGGGCCGCATCGCTGTAGACATTCACAGGGACGAGACACCTGTAAATAACGACATCAATACCGCCGCCAACGCCCGCGTCTTGTACGACTTCAACATCCAAACGGCCCCTATAGAAAGGAGGCGGCTCAGCTGGGGCGTGATTATAGAGAGCAAAACGTATCAATTCAACCATTCTGATCCTGAATGTGTGCCTGTAGGCCAAACGCTGTCCCCTGATTCTGTCCTTCTATTTGGAGTTGCCTGATGGTCATGATTGCTTCCACCAAACCACGATAATATCAAGTCCATCCCCCCAAATGCAACGCCCCGGTTGCGAATAAAAGACTCAACCAATACAAACAAACGAAACAAGAAATAGAAGAGTACTGTGTTAACGAATCGAGCGTCTTTATCCTCCTAAGGTCTCGGGTCGCCCTTGTAATCGAAGAGTGTTATTCGCAGTTTAGAAGAATTCTGTTGAAGACGGAAGATTTCGTCGACATGTGCTGATCGGTTATCTTCTCGAAACACGGTCATCTCTTTTAGCCCTCCGCACAAGAGTTTGAAATGAGACTTTCTCATCCTTTAGTTGAGAGAGACAAGTATTACTTTAGGATCATGTTGTGCTCTGCCTGATGCAGTCTGGGAGGCTCCGGTCTAGGCTGCAGCTGAGGAAATGGCTGGTTCTGAGTGACTTGCTCTGTCCGTTGGTCCTGGAATATTCTGAATGTATGCGAGTTCTAGAAAGCTCCGCATAGCCTAGTCTATGATTGAGAATGCGATCTCGCTGCAAGCCCAGTCCAGGGCATCCCTCCTGATCCTGACCTGCGACTGAGCTGTTTGGGGATGCTGGGGAATTCGCCTGATCCAGTTTGTGACCGAGACACTAACTGCTGGTTCTGAGAGGCTCTTCAGAGGGGCAATAGTATTATTAGCCTGACTGACATCACTGTGTTGTACCTGGACGTTGGAACCAGATGCGACTTTCTTAGCATGGTTGGCCTGAACCCAAGAGGAAGGTCTCTTTAGGGTGTTCTTGGCTGTATTGGTAGACGTGGGTTTCTGCTGTTGCTGCTCTGATGACCTTGTGTTGTTGCTAGTCGTTCTCTGATCGCTGTGGGATTTGTCGTTAGAACCAAGGAGACTGCGATTATTGTATGCCTATTTGACGGCCAAGGGAGACAGGGATGAAATAGGCTTTTGTTGATTGAGCAGATTCTGCTTCTTGACTAGCGTAAGAAGTGTTGAGATCCTCTTGGGTTAATTTCTTCTGCTTCGCCAGTGCTATTGCGATTCTGCCCATGGCCTCAGTTGCTGATGTGTTCCTCAGAGTCAGAAGCTTTCCGTGGACGTCACCCGTAAGTAGGAAGACAACAGACCACAATTTCTCACGATCGACCTTCTCATTTTCCTTCAGGTCCTTAGCGATGGCTTTTTTATCCCTGTGGTTGGTGAATTGCAGAGTGGTAGGCTGGTCATCTTTCTTAAGCGTCTTCGTTATTCCTCCCGGGGTTGGAATCAGTCGATGAGACAGGGGATTTGCTCCAACGATGCTGGTGAATTCAATTCATTTTTTGCGTAAATTCCAGGGTCTATCCATCTGAGACTCTCGCTTGGAATTCTTGCGGCCACTTCTTAGCCGTTGCCTCCTGTTGCTCAGATGTCGCAGAGCTAGAATCAGATGATTACAGGCGATGAACCCTGTTGATGAGTGGTGTACCCATCTTGACTGATGATCGAGAAAGATCGGGCTCATGCGACTCGCTCTCGCTATTAAAGAGGTTTCTAATGCTTCCCTGTGGGCTGCTACCGATAAACGTTTTCGGTGCACCCATCATGACTGCTGCTGATCTCGGTGTCTGTCATCGATTTGGGAGTAAGAGGGAGGAATTGTTAGGGTACACACAATGATTCTGAGAGCTACGAGGATGAGAAGGTCAATAGGTTAAGTTGAAGCGATGAGTTGAAGCGATGAGAAAGTGAATCAGCAGAGAGGGCAGAAAAAGAGAAAAGAAATGTGTCATGATAATATCGGGAAGGAGGCAGTCAGGAAGGCACGGACGGGGGTTTATGTACACGGGCGACCCATCAAGACACTCTTTGAGATCAATACAAAACGTGTCTCATTACCATTGCAAAGCCACCATTACAACTATCATCTCTACTGGATAACATGGGGTATCAGCGTCACAAGAAGAACCTTCCCGTCCCGCGTAGTCTCTTGTTTCGTGCAACTTGATCAAAATGCCCGTTTTCATCCCTTTTCCAACAAGATACCCAAGGCGGGAGGGGGGGGGGGAGGCTCCCCCCTTCCCGCCTGCCAAGGTTCGCACACGTATTAATTTCCTTCTGTATCATACTCGTGTTCTTTCATCACATTAAGGCTCAGGGAATGGCCGCATCTTTCCCGTTCGCTGCGGGGCCATTGTTCCCAGCTGCAGGGGCAGCCGAGGCAGGATGGTGCCCGATGCCGAGGACTTTTTGCAGGCTTTTCCTAATACCCTTCCCAGCACTCTCATCGTGGTTGTCTGCCTTCTCACCCCTGCCCAGAAAACCAAAGCTCATCCTACGAGTATGATTCTGGCCCTGGCCTTCCGTCGCTGACTTCTTCTTACGCCGCACGGCCACGATGCCGGGCTCTGCAGCTGAGGGCCTTGGCGGCCACTCACCGTCCCGCTTCCAACCCACCACACAGGCCCGGATCATGTCTGATAGGTTGACAGGGCATGACGGTGTGAGGGCGTGGACTATTACCTTCTCATACAGCGACATATATACAGCTGGGGTAATGGAGGCGCGCATTGGGTTGCCTGGCGGGAGGAGTGGCGCAGAGAGGGGTACAATGGTCTCGATGGGGTACGTCGTCGACGCGGGGGATGCAGCTGACTTGTGGGATTCCTTGGACTTTTGGGCCGTGAGTTCCTTGGATGGGTCTTTAGAGAGGTCGGAGCCGTCCGACACGGCGGTGGTGGCCTCGTTACTGGGCCGTTGCTGCAAGGAATGCAAAGGCGGCGTTGGCGACGGTTGGCCCGAGGAAAAGGAAGTACGGAAGAATAGACGGCGAGGGGATAGAGGGGAGAAAGTCTGCGTTGGGGAGACGGGTTTGGTGCGCACTCGCACTGTCCTGGCACCTGTCCAGACATTGCGTCTTGCCTCGAAGCAGGCCAGACCTTCATTCCATGCCATCTCCTCGCGAATGGCTCGCCTCCTCCGCGCACGCTTGTCTGCCACAGATGCCTTCACAGCTGCGCCAATCGCGTCGGGGCTATCGAAGCGGAATGGGGAGAGCGACACGGGCGGTTCCTCATCGGACAAGTCAGACACCCATTCCAGACGGGGCTTGAAGCGGGCTAGGTCCTCTGAGACAGTGCTGTACACCGAGTCGGCGTCGCTGTCTTCCTCTTCCTCGTCGTCCTCGTCGCTTTCCATTGACTCTACAGCCTCGTCTTGTGATGTTGCCGCCGCCGCCTCAGCTCGGAGATCAGAGGTTTCTTGATGCACCTGATCTACACCTTCTCCTTCGGGCGGCGCATCGGCAGCGGGCGGCACATGATCGTTTTGCGGGCAGGAGGCGACTGGGGGCCAAACAAACTCCCAGTCGTTGCGAACCTTGGCGGCCAGGTACTTCTTGACGGCTTCCTTTTGCTTGTGCTTGTCTCTGCTAAGCAAATCGGGGTCGTAGTCGGGCAGGTCCAGGGTCAGAGGCTGCTGTGACATGGACAGGCGGAACTTGGATAGCGGCGAGCGAGGTGATTTGTATATCTCTGAGAACAACATTTTGGAAGTCGGTAAGGAGGAGGGGTTTGTCTTTGGCGGAAGTTTGGCAAAGGACACGGCAGACGAAGGAGAGGCAGCAAGAGGGGACATATGAGAGGGCTCCTGGGAGGGCCCGGGAGATGTCTTTATACGATGTGCAAGTGAAGCCAGGGCGGTATTAGCCAAAGTTGGAGTAGCAGCGGTGGCAGTCGCAGTCGCAGTTGCGTGCGGGGTGGGCTGGTTGTGCGAATGCGGGTGCGGGTGAGTGTGATGGAGCTGTAGCTGGGGCGCGCCGGTGTCAGGATCCGGGACAGGGTCTGGGGTTGTGACCGCAGCCGCGAGTGGCCTGATAGCGATTTCCAAGGGGGCTGGGCTGTCAGTATCCAAATACTGTTATGAAAATAGCTTACAGAGGTACAGAAATAGGTAGTGAGCGGTGGTGCTTCTTGTGCAACGCAACGCCCTTTGGTCATGCAATGTGCATTGGGTCCAGGGTGGGAACATGAATGCGGAGAAGAGGAGGGTGGAATGGAGTTTCGGGGGGGAGGGAGGCAGGCTAAGACGGTCCAGAACCTTTTCTCTATCTCGTGTTTTGTGTGTCCCCTTTCTATATTGAGAGCAGATTGGAAGATGCAGACGAGAGTGGGAGGGGGAAAGGTGGAGGAGGGAGAAGGGTACCGCCAGGCTGCGACAGGCACTTGACCAAAGTGCGGCGGACGGGTGGTCGAAAGAGATGCCCAGATGAAAGACGAGGAGGAGAAGGAGGCAAAAGCGACAAGGCAAGCTTGGCTTAGCGTCGTCAACTTACCTTGATTTGATGGATGGGCTGTGGCTTCGTCGCCGGGGGCGAGATGTGCAGTAGCAGCTAGAGGCGGAGGAGGGCAATCATGCTGGCCCGGCACGTCAACTGGCGGAGGCAACGCCATGGCTTATATTATATATCGGAGGCAAGCGAGTCGTGGTACCAGGTAGATATCGGCCAGTATGTAAGATAACCTAGTCGGGGAGATGAAGAGGATGGGAGGACAAGGGGAAGCAGGCCAAGGGTCCATCCATCCGGCAAGGCAAGAAAAGTTGGAGGGCGAAAAACCCAAAGGCAATTCTGACTCTATTTTCTGCGGCTTACGCTAAGTAATAGTAGTTGGAGCACAGAGCACAAGCCCGCCAGGGCCTAGCGTATTCCTTCCCACCATCAAAAAGGCAAAAGGTAGACAGGGGCTCACCTAGGAGCGAGTGACCTCAGTTCGCCAATGTCACTCGCAGTCAGTCACTTGCAGTCGGGATATGCCCTCTCGGCGGCTGCGATTCCACATTCGGTAAGTCAGTTGAGCAATGTCCTTCTATCGGCCAATGTCCGCAGGAGTGCGCCTGGATGGTGGTGGTGGGGGCATGTTGTTTCCAATCGCAGATGCTATTTGTCTGTCTTCGCTGGCCGAGGTACAAAGAAGGTACTGTCTGTGTACGTGCACCCATAGTTAGTGTACTGCGTAAGGGAGACTGGCAGAAGCCACCGGAAGAGCCCACTGTCTACCAGCCGAATGCACGAAGAGAGTTTGGCCTCAAGTACGGATACTGTACCATGCACGGACGCACTAGGTGGGGTTCCCATGCCCTGGCATATCGCGTTGTCGTTGTCGTTTTGAGTGCTTCAAGTTTGAGGAAAGATGCTTCGGTGCTTGAGGCAGTCCAGAGCTAGAAGCCCGTCAACCGCCAATAGCGCCTTTGGTTGTCTTGCACAGACAATGGCCCTGTCAGCACTTGTTCTTTGACACGAGTACGGAGCCCACAAGGCCCGGTTGTGGCCAACAGACACAGGCCTGTCTGTGTCTTGCTCCAGGTGGTTTCTGGCGAGCTGCAGCATGCCGATATTTTGCTTGCCTCCTCCATGGCCGAGTTTGCCAAGCTGCTTGCTTCCCCCTTAGCGTGCTGGTGCTGCCATCCCTAGGGTTCTTTGCCTGACTGCCCGGCTAAAGGCAGGAGCAGATCCGGGGGTTAGTACCTAGTGTAGGCGGGGAAGGGCTTTTTCTTCGTTTCTTCGGTGCACAGTCCAACCTAGGTACCTAGCCGGTCTGGTGATTCTCATATACCTACTGAGCATCTGCTTGTACACTACAATGTACGTGCAGGGCCCGCGTTTGTCGTTGGGCGTGTCAGATGCTGACAGGAGCAGAAAGCAGGACGGTCAATCATAACCAAGAGAGGCCTTAATCATGACGAGAAGCTTTTCCCCATCGGACAAGACAAGAGAGCTCATTCGCCGATGAGCTCAACGGCCAAGATCTGTGTTCTTCCAGAAGATCGTCTGCCGGCTGCGGCTTCTTTCCTCTCTGAATACAAAATAATATTCAAGACTGAGACGGAAAACCCCAATTTGAAGGCGACGCGTCGACATCGCACCACTCACACATATTGGCAGCAGTCAGCCCCGGGTGATGACACACGTTGAGGGGATCCTCGGGGTTGACTGCCAAAGCAGCCCAAAGCTTCAAAAGAAGACCACCGCGACTGTTCTTGGTCATAAATCTTGGCTGATGTTTCCTCTCGCGTCCGTCCCAAACCTTCCCTGTCCCCACTCTCTATCAACCAACAGACGAGCGTTCATCTAGGTAGGTACAACAGCCTTGGAGTTGTGCAAAAGAAATGCGGAGACAGGACTGATCGCATGGGAAAAGCTTCGACTCCATTGGGAAAAGTCCGGGGCGGGTGACCACATGACCCCCCATCCGCCTCTGCAGGGGTTCCAACCCACCACGGACAGGTCTGATTACCTAACATCACCCGCAGATGTGGTGAAGATCGTCACCCGCTGATCATCACATCACCCCACGTCCTCATTCACGTCCTTATGCTGAGCGCTGAAGTCGCATAAGGACGACCGGTCGGCCCTGAGGTCCAATGTCAGGCTGTTTTGTTCCCCTTGAGCGACGTGCCGCTCCTAGCCTCGAAAGCAACCCTTGAACGTCTGGCGACGAAGTAAAACGCGTCAAATAGTATATGGCGTTCATGCCATTAAACAAAATCTCTAGACCCAAACAAGTAACACCGGTTCAAGCTGACCTTGTGTTCTGCATGACAATACCGAGCGCCGCTCACTGCAAGGTGCTTCTCTTCCTCCACTGTGACTTTTCTGGTAGGGAGGGCATTATACCCTTTCTGACGGATCTCCAATGCCCATCAACCCGACTATGCAACCTCCTCCACCATCTTGCCGGATTTCAGACCCTCGGTCACAAATACCTCGCCTGTCGGTCCTCCGAGCATCTCCTCCGGCACTGCGACCACGCTTCCCTTCTTGGAGTTAACCCAGCGGACAAACGCGACGTCGGGCTTCTGCGACTCGCTGCTGGGCGTGTCATCGCCGACGCCTTTGCCCTTGGTCTTAGGTGCCTGTTTCTTCAGCAGTTTGTTGATGGTTTCCATCTACGTTCGTGTTAGTGTGCGTTCGACTAATGACTACACCGCCGAAAATTACTTGCCTTGACTTCTTCGTTGCGCTTGTCCGATAAGTTTCGTCGTCGACGGGCCATCTCAAGCCTTCTCATCGACAGCTCTTCCGCTGTGAACACCTTCTTCGCTTGAACCTCTGTGATCGCTATTATTAGCGCAGGGCCCACCCAAAGCATGCCTCGGATTCGTTGCAAGACTTACCATCCGAGAGCTTCATGTACTGCTGTGGCTCATCCTCGAAGCGGGCACGTTGCCTCCTCGTCATCTTTGTCAAGTCAGGAGTTCCTTCGCGACTGCCGAGTTCACTGTCAAGCTCTTCACCCTCAGCATCCGGCTGCACCGTCTCATCGGCGACCTCGATCTCTTCCTCCTCGCCTTCAGCGTCGTCTTCCTCGCCCTCGGCATCTTCCTCTTCGCCTTCGGCGTCCTCCTCGTCCTCGTCATCGTCCTCATCGTCCTCATCATCGCCCGCACCCCCCACATCGATGCTCATGTTCATCGTGTTCTCAGGGTCACTGACTTCAATTTCACTGAGCTCCTCCTCGTCATCGTCATCATCCTCGATGACCCTGGCGGCTGCTGGTCGCCGAGGAGCAACTTTACCGGCCTTGGGCAACGAAATCTTGATGGTGGAAGCAGCAGGGGTGTCCATGTCAATGTCACCATCAGCGTCTTCCTCTTCGCCCTCAGCATCGACATCCATGTCGTCCTCGTCGGCATCGGCATCAGGCTCCTCCATCTCGTCGTCATCATCCTCCTCATCGCTGTCAGACTCGACAACATAGCTCTTCTTGGGACCACGGTTGCGTCTGCCGGCGACAATCTCACTACCATACGAGGCCCTGCTGTTAACCGAGATGCTGTTCCCCGTCGAGTTCCTTCCTCTGCTGGTGGCTTCACGAAGCTTGTTGGCAGGCACCTTGACAGTGAGATTCAGGTGCTCGCTTCCGGGAGAAGACGGCGGGCCGCGAGAAACACCTGAGGTGCGGCCCTCTGAGCGGCGAGCACGGGTTGACATGCTGCTGTTTCGCTCGCTGTCGGCCCAGTCAGTAATCTGCTCTTGGGCCTTCTTGGCCGCCGAACGGCGAGGCCGGGAAGCCATTGTGGGGGGGGGGGGGGGGGTATCGAGGGAACGTGGTCTCTTGCGGGTTGGCTTGGCAGCGACGTCGCGAGAGTCAAATCCACGGGTGCAGTTTGTTGCTGGATGATGTCTTGGATGAAAAGGTTTGGGGGCTTGTTTTGGATAACGGTGGAGAGTTTTGTTTTTGTTTTTGGTTCAATGTTGAACGTGGGAGGTTGAATTAAGGTAAGTTCGGGGGGCCGGGCAGACAAGGTAGGGGAAAGGGGAGGTGGCACTGCTGCTAAGGAATCCGATCCCTAGACACAGAGAGATGAGGTAAGGCAATGTAGTCGGCCGGAGATGGATGGTAAGTTGCACGCCAAGGTAGGTAGGCTTTACGCCTCTTCCTTTTTTAATGAATCGCACACACGTGCGGGCGCTCTATTTTTTTTTTTTCGTTTGTTCCTGGCGTTCGGTTTCTCAACACGCGTCTACTTTCAACTTTCTCTGGCCGAGCCAAACTGGATCTAGATTTGCGACATGCACAGCGGCCGATCCAGCCTCTTTCTGCTCAGAGATGTTGATCCGCAAACAAGAAGTTACTGCTTGCCTCACTTGACTCGGCGCAGGTAACCGGATACGATGGCTGATATACGACGAAGAGACACCGCCGAGGCTAAGGGTGAGGGCAATGATGATAAGGTGCAGTAGGGGGGAGGTCGAGAACGGAAGCAAAAGCTAAAAGAGAATGTCGCACCTGAGCTTACCGATTGGTATACTCCTGGAGTGATAGATGACGGCTAGCCGCAGCAGCGAGAGAGACGCGCGCAAAGGCAACGGACGGCAGGTGGGTTTCCTTGTTGGCCTATCGCCTCACAACTGGATCCAAGCACACGGCAAGGTTCCTGGGAGGACAGAGTGGTGGCTGTAGCCAAGCCAAGCAGGTGGGCGTGGGCGTGGGCGATAAAAAAATAAAGAAAAAAGTAGAGACGACCCCCTGAAGTGAGACTTGGGAATGGTTGGATCTCGTCAGCTCTCGCGCGTGTCGCCTTCTATGTCTCTCTTCCGCGTCTTTGCTAAAAACCCTTGCTCTCTCCGTGTCCGGCGCGCGCTGCTTTGTTCTGCGTCCTGGTTTCCCCTGCTTAGCGATTCCACTGGAGACACATTTACCATCAACTCGAAGCGGGCAATTAAACTGAGAGATCTCACCTGGAGAGCCCCCTGATTTGCGGGCGACGTTCAGGTCGGCGAAGGCAACAAATAGTTAGAGATCGTCGTCGATGGGCGAGCGAGCGAATCAGATGGCTCCGATGAAGGCGCTGCGGTCGCTTGAAACAGAAGGGGGGGAGGGGGGGGGCTTGTCAAAGAGTGCTTCGAATCCGCGACGGGAAGATGGATGACTTGGGCGACTGCGGACAGCTGAGGTGATGCTCAATAAGATGCTGTTCGAACCATACAGTTGGACTACGGTTGATCTTCACTTTGGGTTGAGCATTTCTCTCTTCCAACAGCCACTGAAGTCCACTACTGAAGCGCCGGATGTCCAAAACGGAGCCCCGTCCCTGCTGGTCGCCATGGGCACCGTGCATTGTGTGGTTCCACTTCCCACCGCCGCAAAAGCAGACCGGCCAAAGAAAAAAAGAAAACGACAACGGTAGTAGGTAGCGCACCGTCGCCCCTGTACCAGTACCGTCATGAACGTCCAGCTCTTCCGTTACCGCACTAGCCGAGGCATGTGCTCATATGTGCCGAACCGCCAACCATCAACACACACCTCCGGACTCTACGTCCGGTTCAACCTCGTCGCGGTATTGCGCGCGCTTTGGCATCTTTTCCTCAAGAAAGCCCTTCCAGGTTCCCCAAAATCAGAGGCGCAATCATGAGCGACTCCGACGACAATAAGAGCACGCCCGGCATCCCAGAATGGCAGCGTGACCAAAAGACGGATGCCGAACTCGAGCCGCAGACCCAACAGCCATCACAGGATGCTGTACCGAACGAGCCCACCAGAGAGAATAGCATCGAAATTGCTCGCAAGTTTCTGCAAGATGACGAGATCAAAGACGCGCCGAGGGAGGTCAAGGAGGCATTTCTCAAGACCAAGGGAATCTCTTCTACAGATATAGAGGAGTTGTTGGGCAGCTCGGTACCCGAACCAGCACACGACGTTGGTCTCTCTGCCCCGCCCATGGCATGTGCTGCCCATGACTGACAGAATACTACTAGACTACCCAAACAGATCAAACATCGGCAAGCTCAACACAAGTAGCGGCAACAACGACACCCAAATCACAAGAAGTCCCGACACCACCGCCTAACAACGAGGTCTCTATCCCGCGCCAAACAGACCAGCCCCCCGTCGTAACCTACCCCGAGTTCCTCACGAAGTCGACCCGTCCTCCGCCCTTGGTCACCGCCAACGGAATCCTTAACACACTATATGCCTTCGCCGGCCTCTCCACCCTCCTCTACGGCACGAGTAAGTACGTCGTGGCGCCCATGGTCGAAACCCTTACCGAAGCGCGCTGTGACCTCCACGACACCACGTCCAAGAACCTCGCCAAGATCATCGAGAAGCTCGAGGGCGCCGTCTCGGAGGTCCCCGCCCCTAAGGCGACCGCCGGGAACGGAGAGGCGTACAGGGACGACGCGAGCAGCTCCAGCGCAGACGACCCGACCGAGATGTTCCACCGCGACATCGGCACGCAGACCTCTGTCCCCCCGACGCCCAGGTTCGGCGAGCCCGGCTTCGGGATGACGGGGACGGCGGCAGAGCATAGGAACAGGTCCGCGAGCGACTGGCAGGCCGACAAGCTCGCGCGACTCAAGAGCTCGGCGGACCTGCTCAAGACAACGGTCGTCTCGGACGCCGAGGACCTCGCAGACCTGAAGTCCAGGATGGACGTGCTCAAGGACGACCTCGTGCAGCTGGCGTATCCGAGCCCGCAAGACTATGGCAGCTACTCGCTCTACGGCGGCCCGCGCAAGAACGAGCCGGAGGACGAGATCAAGAAGGCGAGGGATAACATCCGGAGGGTCAAGGGCGTGCTGCTCAGCACAAGGAATTTCCCTGCCTCCTCGAGGTGATGCCTTGGTGAATGCAGGGCTCTCTTGGAGGCAGCGGGGTTCTGACAACGGTTGTATAATGACAAGGGGTTTTGTTTGTACCATACAATGAATGACTAACGGGAATAAATGACTTCACTTCCTTGGACCACACGCCCTTGCTGGGTTGCATACCTGCTCGAGGAGACATCAGCGCACTAGATGCTTCTTCTTCTTCTTCTTCTTCTTCTTCTTCTTCTTCTTCTTCTTCTTCTTCTTCTTCTTCTTCTTCTTCTTCTTCTTCTTCTTCTTCTTCTTCTTCTTTCTTTCCCTTCTTTTTTCTTTCTTTTTGGAGGGAGGTTACCAACAGAGAGTACTGGTGGGGGTAGTTTGTACCAGAAATTGCCCTCTTTATTACACCGGACGGGAGGAACGGCTAGATAGGCCTAGGGATACAGCTAGGACCCTTTGATCACGGAAAAGCGGCTAGTTAACTACCTCTCTGGTTCTCATCACTGCGCTTGTCCTTTTTGTACACCTGTTTACATTTGCAGGCAAAAAGTCCTCGTTTCCTGCGTGGGGGGGCTCTTGCAAACTTACCTCGAAAACAGTTACGGTATTTTTGACCTGGTGGCTGCTCGTCCTGTGTCGGAAAACAAGTGGTCTTCTACAAGTTCACTTCCAGTCAGATCAGAGGCTTTCAACAATATTCGAAGCTCTTCAATTCATCTGTGCCAAATGTCGTAGTGATGAATTCTTGCATGCCACGCTTGCAACAGTATGGTATTAGTTTAAATCAATACACTCGGGTCCACGAGCCTCCCAAGCCATCTAATGCGCATCCATCGCGAAGATGCGTCTTATCTCTCTATCATAAGTGTACATGTCCTGCCAGTGTGTACAAAGCAATCTCTACCTTCAGTCTTTGCCCTTCTCTACCGTACCCGCCCCCTTCTTGTTCCCGACATCGGCTGTAATTCGTACCAGCTCGAAGATGCGCTTCCAGGAAGAGACATTGACGTGCTCAAAGTGTCGGCCCTCAGCCACCTGCTGCTCCTGGTACCATTCCACGGTAGGCTTGAACGTGTAGGGGTACGCCTCACACTGATGTTGTTTGTCAAGGTTCACCACCCACTTATAGAACAAATTCTCGTATCGGCTCGGCCGGATAGGTCTATACGCGCGGGGCGGATGGAAGATGATCTTGGTGTCACCGCCATGGTTCTGGAGACGGCTGATCCGATCGATGCCCGCTGCATCTGAAGCAATGGGTCCTTTTGGAGCAGGTGCTGTGCCAGGATTGACTTTGCGGAAGCCCCTGGAGGCAAGGTGAGATTCGACCGCAGGAAGATATCCCTTAGCATCCCTCATCATGGCTTCCAGGTTGGCAAAAGTGACATCGATCGGTGAGGTGTACTCGGCGGGGGCCGATTCGAAGCCTCCAAGCCAGACCTGCTTCAGGTCAAGACCTCGCTGCTTGGTTATCCCTCTTTCCCGTATCAAGTTAATTAGGTGCTGCTGAGCCGGGACGAGCTGGGATTCGTAGAGCTGAGTTACCGCCGGAAAGCGTTCCTTGGCCGCAATGTCCCAGATGAGAAGCTCTGTACCCTCCCACGGCCTAATATGCGGTGCCTGAACTCGCCAAATGGCGAGCCACGGGTGGCGCGCGGGCGGTTCGCTCTGGGAGTCTTCGTCGGGAGTATAAAAGAAAGCGAAGTACGTGTTGAAGACGGTCGGCCCACGCACTTCATTTGGGACTCGGAAGTTTGGTTGGTAAAGGGAGAAGAATGGCCAGGAGAACTCTATCCACCTGTCGAACGTTGAAAACCCCCGACGGCTATCCTGGTAGGAGTCGGCCGTATTGACAATGTCTTTGTAATAAGAAACAGGAAGGCCGTACAATTTGCCAAACGCACAGATCCTGGGACCCTCACATTCCTTACCCAGATCCATCAACTTACTTTTAAATGTGTGAGCAGCTAACCCCCCGAAAATTTGGGTTGCATTGTCTTGAGGTTCATGTATAGTGTCAAGATCGCTTACAGCCGAATCCAGGCGATGAGCGCTGCCGTTTATCTCGGCTCCTGGGTCACGCGCTGCATCCGGGGGATAGAGGGGGATGTCGCGATCTTTGATGAAATGAATGTTGTTGGAGCTACCATCGGTGCCCAGAACATGGAACTTTCGGAACTGGTCGAATCGTGTCTGGGACCAACAACCAAACCAATTCACAAGACTTTGCTCATCGTTGGCGTCGATGGACTCATCAACAAAGATGATGGGCTCGAGCTGCTCGTCGGGCACAATTCTGGTTCGAACAGACGGCTGAAGTCCGTCAACAATAGCCCAAGTTTCAAAGCGAGCTGCACATTCTTCCTGGTCAAGGCCCGCCTTCGTCGCTACCTTTCTTGGTTCTGAGGATCTGTACAGCCGGGGTGCCCTCTCCGCCTCCACCAACAGCGCATTGCGATGACTGGATCTATCAAACGCAAGGTCTCGCAGGTATTGAACTATATTTGCAGCGGCCACGATCTTGTGGTTGTTGTAGGGCTTCCTATGGGTATTTTTGTACCACTCGAAAAGCTGGAGAGAACGGCGTGGCTCAGAGACCAAAAAGCTGGGTGTAACCAGAATTGCGTTTCCATGAGGGAAAAGCCTCGTCAACTCGATAGTGCCAGGTGCTGCCTTGCGGTGCGTAGAGCGGATAGATGGATACAAGGGATGCTGCTGAAGCGACTCTCCAATGCACCAGAACCAGTAAGTCACACTGTTACTGTGGAGGAGTAGCTTGAGCAGGCCAGGAAACCGCCGGAGAGTGTCGGTAGCTGTCTCGTGGACAATGATGACTCCTTGCGTAACTTTCTTTGGGTTGGTAAAAGCGGCCCAGTCGCCCATTGTCTTAGTGGAAAATACCCTGCACGTAGGATTTTCCGCACGAAGCCACTCGCTCACAGCATCAAGCAAGAGCTTCCTGGACGGGGGAAATGCCAAGTAGAAGTTGTGGTGTCCATCTACAACTTTGGGAGGGAGAAGTTGGCGATAATCAAAACGGAGAAGATCCCGAAATATTGCAGTCCGCGGTTCTGTAGAGCTTGAGGGGATAACCTTCATCATCGGTAAGGGCGTCGTGGCAACAGGCTGCGGCTTGTATATAACGTATCGCAGCGTGACGTTTGCGAGGCTCGTGACTTCGACTTCAGCCATGACTTCTTTCCATTCCTCGCAATCGGCGGGGTAGATGATAATGAGAAAGTCTTCGTAGAAACAGGCCGCCCCAAAAGACCCAAGTCGTAGCCGTTTGGCAGCTCTGTCGACTGGTTCTTGGTCATGCGGCATCTTGGGCCGGACACTGCCGTGTGATAGACATCGTTCTACAAGAGATATTTTTTGGCTTACGAAAGTACGGGCAGTGAAAACTCTGCTGAAACTTAGCGAATCCATGTTGACAAACTGTGAATGCCATGGATCAGTATCAGGTCTGACGTTCTCGAACGTCATCTGGATGTCCTTGGTTCCTGACGGTCCCAGTATAACAGCTTTGTCAAAACTCTGACCCGCGCTTCTCGACTGATACTGTGTTATTGATAGCTTGCGAAGAATGGGCTGGGGCTTTTGAGGTGAAAGAGATGGCGGAGACGGTTCTGGTGGCATAGGAGGCGATTTGAGACGTTTCGGGTGAATCTCATCAACAGACTCTGGCTCATTGACAAGAGGCAAGTCTGCAAACTGAACAGACTTCCTTTTCCCGACCATGGGCCGTGTAGGCTGTGACTCGGAGTTTTTAGGAAGCGTCGAGTCCGCTATATCTGAAAAAGCAACACTGGACTCGCTGGCGGACGCCATGGAGCCATCGGCCGAATGCTTCAGGGCAGAGCGAGAGACGACATTCAATGTCCCTGAACTCGAGCCAGCAGGGGGGCCGCTACTGATGCTGAATAGCTTGGTTGGGACAGTGCCAGGCACAGTGTCCGCCTTATCACGGCTTTGCAATTCGACCTTTCGTCTTATTCGATGGTTTGAAAACATCCGAGGGCCTTTGGTTGAATCCGTGGCGTTCTGCACCAGTGAACGACGTTGCTTGATTTGCTTGCCGGCGGCAAAGACGTTGATGCCCGCCCCGCTGTTTTGTGGCCCGAGCATCGTCCTCGAGCTAACGGTGGTCTTCCTAGCTTTGTGCTGCGTGGGTGCTGCGGTGGCAGCCTTGGTTGTAGACTTGCTGACCACGGGCCGTTTCACTGTTCCCTGATGCCCGTTTATTGCTGTGGCGAGAGAGGATGGCTGTGGGCGTGGCTGTGAGATAGACGGGGAAGCCTTTCTCTTCGACGACCTGGGCTTCTCCGTCATCTTCACTGTCGTCTTTTCTGACATCGTGGTCTGTTTCTGGGGGGCTGGCTTTTCTACGGCGGCCAGTTTCGGTGACTTCTCCGGCCGTCTCTCTTCTCTCTCATCGGAAAGGACCGCGTTTTCTTGTCGCTCAACATGTTTCGGAGGCGGGAGGATGTCGTTGAAGTCGTTTTGTCCAATGTCTTCGTCGCTGAGGTAGTAGTCCGCTTCGGTTTCGCCCTCCCACAGCTTGAGCTGAAGGCCACGTCGCTTCCGCTTAATGTTACGCTCGTGGTGCCGTTGATATTTGTCCTCTTGGCGCTTATTCACGGCCTCTTGCCAGGCGGCAACGTCAAAAGGCTCCTCCTCGCCTCGAGCTTGTCTTGCCTTTGTATCTCTCCACTCCAAAAGCAGCTCATCCGTCATGTTTTCTTTGGGCTCCCACGTGGCTTCCTCGATGGGATAGCCGGTCCACTCGACCAGGTATCTATCCGTTCCATCCTCGCGAGTTTGGGCGCGGATACCTTCGACCAACCATTCCTCATCTGAATCATGTTCGGATAGTAGGGTAGAATTGATGGAGATGGCATCATCGTCTGAAGGAGCATCGTCCGTTACGAACAAGCCAGATACATCCATGGCGGGCTCAGTTCCTGATGTCCATGCTTCAAGGTGTATATCTAGAGGCCGAGTTGAACAGCGGGGCCAATGCGAGTGACGAGTACGGATACTTGGAAGCTTATTTAGTAGAGCGCGTCCTCAAAAGGTCATACAAGCGAGAGAAGACCGAAGAGTCGAGGAAGTTGTATAACGCATTGATGGAACAAGACGCACCAAGTACAAATGCGGTCGCAAAAATAAGAGGTGTTGTTGCTGGTGGAATAAGTGAGAACCTCTGGTTACCTAGGTAGGTAAAGTGTATGAAGGAAGCTCTTCTTGACAGGTGAGTGGAGATAGCCAAACCTATGAAATGTTTAGCAATGTCGGGAGCTTGGGAAGACACTAGGGTAAGCACTGACCTGACAAAGGGACACCTTCAGTGCTTGTTTTATTTCGTTTTGTTTGGTCTTGCCAGGAGGGTAGAGAGTCGAACGACAGGTCAAGTGGAAAAGGGAGAGAGGGAGAGAGAAAAGAAAAAAAAGAGAAAAAAAGGGAGCGAGATTCTGTGCCGTATTGATGTGAATTTAGAGCAAAAAGAAATCATTAACCATCGAAGGCAGCACAAGGTGACATGCATACAGACATGGATATAGTTCCCTATTGCCTTTAGTGGCCCCCGGGACAGGAAAAAACAAGCGCAATCTAGTTCTCATACCACTAACTAAAATACTAGCAGTGTGTCAACAAACAATTCAACACTTATTAGATAGATACTACCATACAAGAAAAAAAAATAGAAAAATAAATAAACCAATGTAAGGCTGTTTTATCTACCATTGAGTACGTTTTCCCTACCAGTCCTACCAGTCAATTACTTATTGTAGCGGCCGGCATCGAATCGAGATTGAAGTGTGCCAGTTTTGTTTCTTCCCTGGGTGGTGGTTTACCTACTGATGTTGATTGTGCGTCCGTGCACTCGAGGAAGGTACCCTGATCAAACGGAGAGAAAGAAGGACTTGGCCGCCAAAGGAAGACCTGCGCAGGTAAGGGACTACCGTTATCTAACATCATTCTGCAAGCCGAGCCCCAATTTACTTACCTACATACAGGTACACTACCTACTTACAGTATGTAGGTAGAAACGGTTGTGCTGCCTCATCCCAGTATCATTTGGTAACCTCGTCCATCTTACGAGTACCTTGTATCTTCATAGCCGTTCTTCATCATATTCAGCTGGGTTTGAGGATCTTCATCAATACAGTACATGTGCTCTCTTTGCATCTTTCAAGGAATCCAGGCCTCATGACAGTCGTATTCGGGCCTGACGTCTACAGCTGCCCCGTTGCTGTAGGCGACTTACACAAGAGCAAACGCCTGCAACGGACATCAGCATGCAGACAACGCTGGAACGGGCCTGTGTTACGAGGAGCCGGGAGAAAAAAAAAGCCCTAGGTAAAAGCTTCCCTGGCAAGCGCGAACGTTCTCAACCTAGATAGGTCAAACGAAGTGAAGGACGGGGAGGTGTCTTCAGTCTGTTCCAGGATAGGGGGCACGTGATCGCCGAGACAAAACACGACAGTTCCGCGTGCCGACGGCGGCGATCCCGTCCGTGGCCTTCATTGCTCACCTCGTCTTCCTGTGTCATTGGTGTTACTCCCAATCAGATCCCTGAGGTATACGAGAGAGACACCGAAGTGACGAGTGTGGTTGGTGCGTGTTCCGTGGTGGTGTGGCTCAGCGGGTTCAGCACTTTCGGAACGTGCAGCAGCACCCCCTTCGACGTTGGAGTGGGCAGGGAGTCTCAGTCGATGGAGCTCGAAGGCATGATGAGATCCAAGTATTGTTTTTGCGCCAGCCATTGGCACAAAGTACCTTTTCCTGCGTCGGTGTGTTGTAGCCTGTATGCTGTACACCATCCATGCGCGCTGGAGTGAGAACCCCCACTGTTGATGAACGCTTTGTAACAACATCATTGACGGAGGAGGCCCTCTGAACTGATTCCCTTCCCCTCCTACGCCCACCTTCCAGGTAGGTACCCTCCCTACCCCTTTCCCTGTGTGGTTGCTCCTCCAGCGAATATTTGTGGCCTACCTAATTGGTAGGTAGTTCACAACTGCGCCGACACCACCTCGCCTCTCAGTCTGCTGCCTCACCCACACATACCACCCACACATACCACCCATACTGCGCCCGCGCTGACTTTACCTACACTCTCCACCTCTCTCAGTCTGGTTCAGTTCCAGACCCTTACACCTTGCCTCGCCTCAACTCAACTGCTTCATCTCTCGGGGCCGCGCACACCTCCATCGAGCCGCAGTATCCTCGTTTTGCAACACCAACGACCCAAAACCTGCCCCGACACTCGTACATCGCATTTCAATTTAAACCGACAACATGGCCAACGACGAATATGACGTGAGTCCATCACCTGCAATTGTCCCTTGGACCTCTGACCTGCCCCTCTCCCTCTCCAACTGTATCCCCCTCCTTGCGCTAACCTGACGACTTCCACAGTTCCTCTTTAAAGGTGCGCCGACGACAAGTGATCTTGCGATGAGGGATTACAGCGCTGCCTGGGCGCGAGCTGACTTTCCGTGTTATTTTAGTGGTGTTGATTGGAGACTCGGGCGTCGGAAAGTCCAACCTTCTCAGTCGATTCACCCGCAATGAGTTCAACCTCGACTCCAAGTCGACGATTGGTGTCGAGTTCGCCACTAGATCCATCCAAGTCGACTCTAAGACGATCAAGGCACAGATTTGGGATACCGCCGGCCAGGAGCGCTACCGCGCCATCACCTCGGCCTACTACAGAGGAGCTGTCGGTGCCCTCCTCGTCTACGACATCAGCAAGCACCAAACATACGAGAACGTCACCCGATGGCTGAAGGAACTGCGGGACCACGCCGATGCCAATATTGTCATCATGCTGGTCGGAAACAAGAGCGATTTGCGCCACCTGCGAGCGGTGCCTACAGAGGAGGCCAAGGCTTTCGCCAGTACGTTGCGGTGAAGAGGCAAGGGAAGCTCAGCGGACACTGAGTTGGCTAACCTGTGATTTAGGCGAGAACCACCTCTCATTCATCGAGACATCTGCCCTCGACGCCAGCAATGTCGAGCTCGCCTTCCAGAACATCCTAACCGGTGCGTTTCGCCTCCCACCTTCGCAAATCGCCGGCAAACCCTGCCACCCCTGACAATGTTATTGCGCTAACTTGACCTGTGCTCCAACAGAGATCTACCGAATCGTATCAAGCAAGGCCCTCGACTCGGGTGACGGACCTCAAGCCACAATCGGAGCCGGCCCCGGCATTTCGCTCACCAAGCCTGCGGACGACAGCGCAGAGAAGAGTGGCAAGTGCTGTTAAGCGATAAATCCCCTTCTGCGCACCTTTTTCACAGCCTTTTGGGACGGCTGCTGCGGTCGATATCATGGCGTCTCACATCTGCCTTTGGGATCTGTATGTCACCTGGTCATGGAGGGGCTGTTGAATCGAGGAACGACTAGGAATCCAATGAGTCTTTTTATGATTTCTGAGGGGACGGAGTACAGTCTCGGCCTTTCCTTTGTTCTCCTGTATACGGCTCAGCGCGGCATGTCTGGGCTTTGACGTTTCTGACGATCGCTCTGCCATGCTTACGTAGTTGAATGAATCCATCTTAATGCCTTGGGGGTCTCCTTGGCTGCTTTGCTGATGTGAGAAGTACTCAGCGAGGCGCGTAACAAGGGAGGGCTGAGCCTAGCATGTTGCTGCGATATCCTACGTCAGGACATACGCTGGCAATCACAATCGACACAGTCCTAAGTGGGACACGGACCGCATCATCGGTCGCCTTTGGCCTTGGATGCAACCTGTCCACCAGGGCCGGCTCTGACGTACCCTTTTTCTTGGTGCATCCAGACCTGTAGCCGTAACAGGCATTCCTCTGAGCAAAAGAATTATAAAACAAAATAAAATTTGACTTTCTTGCTCGGCTTCTTGTTCCAGCAGTGCCACCAGATGTACTGAGTATGATCTTCGCATTTGTAGCAACCTCGACATCCAATTTGAGGGGCCCTCCTTTGAAATTGTCTCCTGACCAGTTTGACACCGGGGCTGACTTATTGTACTCCAGTAATCCGAAATTGGGTGGGCTGCAAGCTTGCCTGTGGTCCACAAAGTTTCTTTCCCCCTTAGCCCGCGCTAGGAGCTCCTAGGTTTCTGTGGTGGGCACGGATTGTACCGGAAACAACCCCCTCAGAGCCGTTTCTGACATGGCCTGGGTCGTCCGGTAGGTACCTGCTCGGTTTAGAGGCCTTGATACGTACCTACAGCATGCCCCGCCAAACCAGGCCACACCGCCTCCCGATAAGCTCTTCTTATCGCATCGTTCTGCCGCCAGGCAAATAGGCAAGGAAAAAAAAAATCTCTGGCGCGCAGGTCGTCGGTAGGATGTCCAGTGGCTCCCCTGCGAACCTTCCTTCACATCTACAGCGTCAAACGGTTCCGACACTGATCAACAACCACGAACGACAACGCGATACCCTCGACCGAGTACGAATCGATCGTCGCGATGGCTTCCGTGTACAAATCGCTGTCGAAAAAGACCGACAAGGTCGAGGCGCCCGCCAATGGCGTACAGAAGAACCGTCAGAAGAGGCGAACTCTAATCCTCTCCAGTAGAGGTGTAACATACAGGTAAGGAATCAACAGCATCCTGTTTCTCGTTTTCTCCGTTGTTAGATTCCTATTGGGATCTCTGTTGACTTGACGAATGTAACCAGACACCGACACCTGATGAACGACCTCGCGACGCTGATGCCCCACGGAAAGCTTGACAGCAAGGTCAGTCTCACTCCGCGAGCTCTGATTTGACTGGAAGAGCTAGTAATGTTCTTATAGACATGCGATTCTAATCCGATTCATTAGTTCGACGAGAAGCACAACCTTTCCGCTCTGAACGAGCTTGCGGAAATGATGAACTGCAACGGGATCATGTACTTCGAGGCCAGAAAGGCCAAGGATCTTTACATGTGGATTTCAAATGTGAGTATTGCAAACGGCCGCCTTCTTGGGTTCAATAATTGACGGTTCCAAGTGCCCCAATGGACCCGCGATCAAATTCCACCTCCAGAACAGTAAGCATCGAAATCTCTTCGAGTTGACACAACATGGCTAACGGTCAAAAGTACATACGATGGGGGAGCTTAATTTCAATTTCCCTGGTAATTGTCTCAAGGGATCGCGCCCAATACTCTCTTTTGATGCTCCCTTTGACGACGAGAAGAACCCCCACCTTCAAGGTAAGACGCAATGCCTGGATCCATAGTTTCATTGAGTGAGCTAACTTGGCGGCAGTCATCAAGCAAGCATTCATTGCAAACCTGGGAGTGCCTCAAGGTGCGCGGAAAGCAAAGCCTTTTATCGACAGGGTGATTGGATTCTCCTATCTCGACGGAAAGGTATGTTCCAGATCTTCCATGTCTTCTGTGCACCTTTGCGCTTCTCCTGTATTTGTTGGAGGCAGTAAGCTGACCCTCTTGTTACAGGTTTGGATTCGCCAGTACCAGGTGCAGGAGGTGGAAGCCGATGAAAATTCCGATGAGACGACCACCAAAGTCCATGCCGGCAAGAAAACCGATGTTAAATTGCTGGAGATCGGCCCGAGGTTCACTGCCACCCCAATTCTGATCCAGGAAGGATCTTTCGGAGGACCTCTCCTTTGGAACAGTAAGGAGTTCGTCAGCCCGAACCAAATTCGTGCCGACATCAAACGCAAGAAGGCTACCCGCCATGTTTCGCGTGTGGAACAGCAGGTTGAGAGAATGGCAAAGAAGGGCGAATTGGGCATCAGGTCAAAGGGAGGACGGCCCGCAGCGAAGGACGAATTAGATACCAAGACTTTGTTTGCTTAAATAGGAAAACACCATCTCTGTTCAGTCAGAATGTTATCCGTAAGATGAGCCCAAATCACTTGGTGCCAAGCCTGAGAATGAAAATGCTCAGGAGCGTCAAGAAAGCAAAGCTCTTGAGATGAAGGCAGGTACCTTCTAGGGTACTGTGTACGTACCGGGTTTGCGATGGATAGTGGTTGGAGCTTCGTTGTGCAATGATTGGCCACTCAGGTTCAGGTATCCCTGGACACAACCACGAGTGATACTGTACCCCTGATGCCAGCCGTCCCGGGGAAGGAACCCGCTATCTAGGTAATTACCTGCATTTGTACTTCTCAGACCGACTCCAGCGCTTGAATTGTCTTAGGTCAGCAGTTGGGGGTGACGTGCATGTCTCTATGCGTCACTGTCGCGTCCATCCTTTCGTCCCGTCTCTTCGGGCCCTTGACATCAACACTCCTGCGACAACGCTCTAATTCTCAGCACCCGTCCGTCGAGCACGTGCGGGCCATTGGGACAATCGCCGGGTCATTCTGACGAACATTGCGTCTTTGGAGCAAACGATGCCGATCTGCAGTTTCGCCATTCTCGATAGCCCCAACGTCGGGGTTGTCAGAAAGTAAACCTCCCAACCGCATACCTCGCTGGTGACTTTGTTCATCTGTGAGGCTAGTAAGGGCTTTCTCGCCTTGGAAAGCATCAATCTCGCCCTCTTACCAAATCTTGATCTGGCATTATCGGCGGAAGCTTGGTCATCGGCGGTCCTCCACGACATCAACGCTAGACGATAAGCTCTCGTTTTTTGGTCTGTAGTTGCACAGTCTCGGTCTGTCCTCGCACCAGCAAGCAGAACAGCTCAAGCCAGAAAGACGAGGTATTCAAATCAAACGAGAGGATTCATCCCAAAACAATATGTTGCAAACCACCAGTGAGTTGTGCGATCCACCAACCGTCGAGATGGAGTTCTGAAACTGGGACAGAATCAATTGAATTCGTTATCGCTGCCAAGGGCTTTTGTCTGCATCTGTGACACGAGTTGTCCGAGTTCATTGCCGAGAAGCAAGCAAGACCAACTCGGAGGTTGACGCTTAATTGCTGCTCCAAACGTTCACCTCTATATCCCCTGATAGCCACACATCGATATTCGGCCTACAAATCGCAATACTAATATCACTCTACTAGTGCACCTTACTGCAACCTGCACATAGATATTTCAGACAGTCACTGCTGCTTTCACGATGTCTTCGAAATACTCGTCTCTCTTTGGGGCCTTGCACATGCAATCGGATTTGGCGAATGACGACTTGGGCAAGCTTGACGGCCTCGAAGGTTTGCCGCTCGAAATCATTTTTGACATTTACCACCAACTTGATGTTCAAAGCATTTTCTCTTTGGCCCAGGTCAACACCCTTTTTCATGGGCTTTTGAAGAGACACAAGGCAGCCATCCTTCTACCAGTCCTTCAACGAGAGTTCAGCCCCTTTCCCGAATTGCTTCAAGTCTTTACTGCATCAGATCACGACATTGTGAAGTACGGAGACACATTTCAGCCGCGAAGGGTCGTTTTCAGGCGTTTCCCAGGCGATATGGCAGGCGTTACATTGTCCCAAGGTGGTAGACAGCACAACCAGAGTGGGCCTCCTGAGCACAGAGCGCTTTCTAAACTCCTTGTTGGCGGAAAACCTGTAAGAATAAGCTCCTTACCTTCGCCGCGCTCAGTCACCCTCGTCGACAGAGACTTGGGCCGTCTGCTGAAGTACTGTCTGGTGGCACGACGATGGGAGGAGCTATTCCCGCAACTGCACTGGTTCACAACGCCCGAAGATTGCCGCCAACTTAGCGCAGCTGAAAAACATAAACTTCGCCGTGCCCTGTATCGTTGGTGGCTATACGCTTTTTACTTCCACGGCGAGCTCCCCCGGCCCCGGAGTGGTCAACCGGAACCTTTTGTCAATGACGTCCGGACCAGCCATATGAGACTATACCCAACATGCGAGTTAATGGAAATAAGGGATCTGTTCATGTCCATGAAAAATCTTGTTCGACACTACATTTATCCAAACTTGGAGCAGAATCTCGAACCGGTGAGTACCATGGCGAGAACGAACAACGACTGCCATACTGATGCTGCGCGCAGATCGATGCCAGCAGCCCGCTTGAAACGATGATCGAGACCAGCATCCGTGAGCGCATTGTGGACACATATGCCAAACTAGATCCTGGAGACCTCATGTTTTATTTCGAGAACCTATTCAACTATCCCCGGAAACGACTGGTGACGGATGTAAACCTCAAGCACCCCGCCTTCTCTCAGGATCAAGAATCCCTCGTGGCAGCGGTCCAGGCGGCGGCGGACGAGAGGCCTTGGCTGTATGACACCCCCGACTTGAGCACTACTGGGGGAATTGTAGACACTGGAGACGATAATGTCGATGAGCGTCTCAGTCGCGATGGCAATAACGATGGCTCGATCCCACCTCCAGGGGCTTTCCGGCGGCCAAGAGGGAATTGGGCTCCTCCGGGGGACGACGGTCGCGCTCTCACGGAGCGAAATCACCTCCATGGTTGACAAGGCTCTTGAGCCCTGGAGCTGGAGGGTGGGTTGAGTCTTGCTGGTCAATTAATCTATAGTATAGATCAAGCCTTAGTGACCATGGAATCCGATGGTTTCGTCATGGTTCGTCACTGTGCCTTCCTATTTTATTATATTTTTAAATTATTTTATTTTTGCGTGTACGAAGTCATTCTGTAAGCTACGATGGACAAGCGCAGTTCCCATATGCATGCATCGCGGGCATGCTTGTACGTTGCGATAGCCAATTGTAGGGCCTCATCAGCGGACATGCCATGTCCAGGAGATGACGATAAGTCGTTAAATGTGGTCTGGAAATGCTTAAACTTGGCTCATGGGAATAACTAATTAGTGGATTGTGAACTTGCTGTCTTACTACGTAGATAGTGCAAGGCTGCGGCGTACAGGGGTCTTGCTGTGGCGGGTGCACCCTGCAAGGCGGCGGCGGCTTGAGGCCAGCTCCCACCTTGTCAGTGGCCCAAGCCTCTCCGTCTTGTTCACTCACTCACACCCGGTCACTCACCTAATAATCGTCCTACACGACGGCTTCGTTCCATCAGCGCGGCGCATTGTCTTGGCGCATTCCAAGCTCATTCACCCGCAGCTCGCTTGTTGGCCTTATCCTTCACATCTGGTATTCGGCCCCGGACTTGAGAGCGCTTAGTTGTACCCGACTTGCGCCAGGAGGGGACGTACAGCTAGCCCAGGCCAGCCTGGCTCATCCTATCTCAAGATTGATCCCACCCCGAATAGCAGCAACTGTACTTCTGTCGCCAAGGTGAGTAGCTGACCTCTTTCTTTCATATAACTAGGTACGCAGACGGTCGCTCGATCGGCCTATTCTTCCAGGCCAAGTGGACTGGTAAGGAAGACGCAACCTGGAGGCGTCGTACGTGCCTTCTCACATTATTACTCTGATGTTCGTCAGAGCCAGTCAACAAGGAAGGGGCATGAAGGCCGGATCTATCAGATCCACACAAATATACAATTGTTGTTTATTTACTAGACCTGAAGGAGGTTCTCGAAGCTTTCTGGTAATCCAAGCTGTCGGGAAAGTTAGCTGTCTCATCTACCCTGCTACATATTTTGTGCTCGTCATTTCTGTCCTCTCTCAACTATACTGACAGCATATTAGGTTCCCAACCTCTTGGTGGATTTATCTATTCGAGTCGGACTCTCGTGCCTTGCACGAAAGGAGCTGGCAAACTACCTCTCTGAGGAAGTTCCCATCTGACCTGTCCTAGCTGGCTTTGCTGAGGCTTGGATCCATATTCTGCTTGAGTGCACACACACCCAGCCGTTGCGAGCTACGTTGTGCTTCCAAGCCACAGAATCGTCTCGTATCTGCCTCGATATTTCCATCTCCGCCAGACTATCTCCCAGATAGGCTGACCCAGGCCTTGGGAGGGGGTTGAGTCGAAGCCCGCCCGCGCACTATGGAAGGCGGCGACCAAGATGTTATCATGGGAGGAGATGGTAGGCCTTCAAACCACACGACTACGCCCAATGGAGTAATTGCGCCTGGCGAAAGCGACCCTAAGAATGAGAACTCAACGTCTCCCGACGACGAAGATGAGGACGATTTTGACGAATACGACGATGATTCAGATCAGCAGGTTGTGAATCAGCTGCGTAGACGAGGTCTTCTGCCGACAGCATGCTGCTACGATGACCGCATGAAGCTCCATGTCAACGCCGACTTTGGCACAACACCACACCACCCAGAGGATCCTCGTCGGATAGAGGAGATCTACAAAGCCTTTAAGAGGGCCGGCCTGGTCTATACTGGGCCAGAGAGCAAGGTGGCCGACGTGATGCGAGATACTCCGACCAAGTACATGTGGAGAATCGGAACTCGTGAAGCGACAAAGGAAGAGATTCTCACCACTCACACTCCACTGCACTACAACTGGGTTGAGGGTCTTTCGAAAATGGACTACGCTGAGTTGCGGGAAACGAGCCGGCAATATGATCAAGGCCGTGCCTCGCTTTACGTTGGCAGTCTCACTTTCACAGCAGCCCTCTTATCATGCGGCGGCGCCATTGACACCTGTAAGCATGTCGTGGAAGGCAATGTCAAGAATGCTTTTGCCGTCATCAGACCGCCCGGCCATCACGCAGAGTATGATCAGCCCCTCGGATTTTGCTTCTTCAACAACGTGCCTGTCGCCGTTAAGATCTGCCAGCAAGAGTACCCGAAAGACTGTCGAAAGGTCCTCATATTAGACTGGGATGTCCATCACGGCAACGGCATCCAAAACATATTTTACGATGATCCGAATGTTCTTTACATCTCCCTCCACGTCTACCAGAACGGAATCTTCTATCCTGGCAAGCCTGACAATCAAGAAATACCAGATGGAGGCATAGAGCATTGCGGTACAGGACCTGGCCTGGGAAAGAATGTCAACATTGGATGGCACGACCAAGGTATGGGAGATGGCGAGTACATGGCTGCTTTCCAAAAAATTATCATGCCCATCGCGAACGAGTTCAGCCCCGACTTGGTGGTCATATCTGCTGGGTTCGACGCCGCCGCTGGAGATGAGCTTGGCGGCTGCTTTGTGACAGCGACATGCTATGCGCACATGACTCATATGCTCATGTCTTTGGCGGATGGCAAGGTTGCTGTGTGCTTGGAGGGCGGATACAACTTGCAGGCTATCTCGACATCGGCTGTGGCCGTTGCCCGGACCTTGATGGGTGAGCCGCCACCAAAGATGGATATTCCTATGCTCAACAAGGATGCGGCCAGAGTTCTTGCCAAGGTCCAGAGCTACCAAGCGCCGTACTGGGAATGCATGAGACCTGGTATTGTCCCAGTACCGGATATCCAAGATCTCAATACGACCAGACTCAATGACCATATCAGACTCGGCCAACGGCAGGATCTCGCCCAACGTCACCAGATGATTCCACTCTTCATCCAGAGGGACCTCCTTTTCAAATCATACGAAAATCAGGTCCTCGTAACCCCCGACATTCCAACGGCGCGTCGCATTCTCGTCATCATCCACGATCCGCCAGAGTTGCTTGCACAACCAGATGTGATTGACCGCCACATTGAACCTCACAATGCATGGGTTGTCGATAGTACGGCACAATATATTGACTGGGCTGTTGACCAAGGCATCGCAGTAATGGACGTCAACGTACCCAGCAAAGTATCAAGGGATGAAGACATGGACCCGTACAGCCCTAGAACGGCAGACAAGGATCTGCTCAACGAGCTTCAAGAGCTGGCGAACTATCTTTGGGACAATTACCTCCAGCTCTATGAGGAGGCCGACGATATACTACTCGTCGGCGTGGGTCGGTCGTACAGTGGAGTCAGAGCGCTTTTGACGGGCCGAGGTATGTTTTGTTGACGACGACGAACGGGCCTCCTGCTTACTTTTCTTCTTTCTCTGAACAGACTGCAAAGCGCGTATTGCCGGAGTTGCATGCTTCGTCGAAGGCATGCTGCGACCAGTCAAATCCGACGTCGACAACGAACTCGCAACATGGTACAAAGGGCATTCTCAGATCTACGTATCACATGACCATCCGTGCTGGAACAGTGAAGACACACTGCGTAGGGTCACCAAACGGCGATTTGGAACAGTCATTCGCAGCGATGTCAACGGTGTTCAGAAGATGATGCAGACACATGCTGGGGAGATCCAAAAATGGATGCTGGATATGCTGGCAGCTCGCCAGAACGGTGATACCACAGAAGATGACAAGATGACTTGAGCAAGAGGAATAAGATGAATCGGCACTGGATGATCGATCCACGAAAGACAACCCACACGGACTTGAGACGTGCGAGAGAGGATATGTGATGTGCAGTACATCTACATAGGAATATCAGAGCATCGTGTAGGGGGGAGGCTAGGACCAGAGGATAGGCTGAAGGGACAGTACGTTTGCCAGGAGTTCATGAGCGCAGGGCAGTCGCCACCACCTAGACCCCTAAGAGAACTGCTTTTACATCTGACCGCGCAGTGCGATTATATTGACTTCTCTGGTGTTCATATTCTTCCCCTGCGAGACAGGTGATGATCCTCTATGTCTGGCTAGCCGTCAAGGGTGTGATTCTGTCTGGAGATGCCAACAATGGTTCTTCGGATCCACACAATAACCCGCCTTGCTAGCTCAATCGGTAGAGCGTGAGACTCTTAATCTCAAGGTTGCGGGTTCGACCCCCGCGTGAGGCTCAAATCCTCACCACGATAGGCACAGCCATCCCAACGGGTTACTTTTTTCTCTCATTGGTTCCAGGACTTTGTTTTTGTAGTTTTTTATTGGATTTTGTTTCTTCCTACTTGTGAGATCCTACTCACGTTGACTCTTTTACTTATAGTATAAATCCCGCCGGTTTCTGACCCACTTGTACACGGATAGAAAACTTTTTGGTTGCCTCCGTCAGTTCTTTGACGATTGTTCGTCGCGGAGATGCCCCTAGCCTTTCGTTTGTTGTTCCAGCTCTGATTGGCCTCTGTGTGAAAGATGTGCTGTGAGTGCCTAAGCAGCGTCGTTAAAGTACAGCCTCTCATTGGCCATGACTTTACTGGCCCCTTCCTTATCTTATCCGGGAAGGAAGATGTGCAGCGCCGCGTTGTTCTACCGTTTGCAAGCGACCTTGCTCCATCCATCCAAGTACCGTTTTAGCGACGGCGCAATACCTCAACAGGTACCTTACTTACCCTCTTCAACACTTACGACTCGCGCGCGTTGTCATCATCACGGAAGTCTGCAGTCCGTTTCTCGCCCCGGAATCACCAAATCCGTTTGGTTTGACGATAACCATCATGGATCGCGACCGTAGAAGCAGGTAAGTGACACATGACTTTGATCTCTTCCTCTCCCGTCTGCCCCGCTCAAGACTAGCCTTCCCTATCGATGGATACCCTCCGTCATTGCCTGCACCACGAAGTATTGTGGGAAGCAGTTATTCGGCTATGCGCTGGGTTCTTTTGACAGCTATTCGACTGCGATCGCTGTGGTATACCTGCTATGGTTGATACTTGTTGGCACAACTGCCCCTACAGTGAACGCGAAGCGCAGCTCGATAGCAACGAGCTACATTGCTCCAGCTTGGCCTACTGAACACTAAATTGTCATGGACTCTCTCGGCTCGTATCAAGGCCGGAAAGAGGAAGCAACTAACGAGGCTCAATAGATACGAGGACGGCGAGGTCACTAGGTATGGCGCCGGCGAATCTTGGAGACCCTTTCCGCGCGGCGGCGGCGGAGACCGCTCCCCACGACGAGTCCGAAGTCCTCTGAGAGATCGCGAACGAGACCGTGACCGCGACCGCGACCGTGACCGTGATCGCGACCGCGACCGTGATAGAGATAGAGAAAGACTACGATCCCGCGACCGGGACAGAGAGCGAGACCGAGACCCAAGAGACAGAGATCGGCCGCGCTCTCGTGACCGCGACAGGGAGCGCGCCCGGACGCCGCCCTTGACATCGGACAGTTATGTCCCCGGACGATCTCCCGCGCGTCGCAGGTCCCGCAGCACTGAGCGGTACCGACGTGATCGGTCGCGGGATAGAGACCCGCGCCCTCAGAGCGATACTTGGCGCAGACGGGATAGAACCCGAAGCCCACCCGTGAGACGCCCCTCGCCGAGACGTAGCCCTTCGAGACGACGCAGTCCCATCGGTAGATCTCCCGCTATCCGGGACGAGAGGAGCGACCGTGCTAGATCGCCGCCGCGCCGTGACAACAGAGATCGGGATCGTGAGAGGGAGAGAGACAGGGACCTTGATCGGCGGGACGACAGGTACCGTTCGTTGCCCCCCTTTGCACACACTCCAGTCTCATTAGCTGCTAGAAGACGGTCGCGTTCGCCTTACGGCCGCGACAGGGGTCCTCGGGACAGGACTCCTCCACCCAGGAGGTCGCCTGCGCCGGCACCCCGAAGCGGCTATCGTCCGCGGTCTCGTAGCACGAGCCGCCGCGGTGGCGAGCGATATCTAGGGTCTTCCTACAGACGGGCGTCGCCGCCCCGAGATTCTGGCATCTCGTCAGCGATCACGTCTCGATCAGCTTCAGGCAAGTCGTCACCGCATCCTCCTCCTTCAATCCGAGCACGATCGCGGCCGCAATCGAGGGAGCGTGGGGAGCGCGTCGAACGGGAGCGGGAGCAGCCGCAGCAGCCACGAGAGCGAGAGCGAGAGCGGGAACCCACACCCCTCCAGACCGGCGGTGCTTCTGCTGCATCATCGTCCTCGACGACGACGACGACGACGACTACGATTCGCGAAGCACCCAAGCCTGCTGCCGCCGCCGCCGCTGCCGTTGCCGCTGCCGCCCCCCAAGAACCGGCCCCACCGGTAGCAAAGACACCACCTCGAGGCCCCGCCGCTTTACGTGCTCCGACCGGCCCTGCCGCAACCCGAAACTTCTCTGCGCCCGCCGGCTCACCAGCTGTCCAGCCACCTAGACACCCGCAGACCCCAAGCGTGCCACCCCCACGCGCAGACGCCACGAGCCCCACGATCCCTCCCGCTGGTCCTCGAGGCTATGTAGCTCCGGCTAGGGGTGGCGGATACAGCACCCGTGGCGGACGAGGCTCGTGGTCGGGCCCGTCGCCTCGCCAGGCCCCTGTTCCTACAACATCTCCTTCAGCCATTGGTAACGGACCATCAGCCATCCCAACCGGACCACGCGCCAACCCGTCAAACAACACCCCGTCAAACACCTCCACTGCACCCAAGCCTTTCAACCCTCCCACTGGCCCTTCATCGCAGCACGGCGCTGGTGGTGCCCGACCTACGCTTGCTCAGAGTATGCTTGCCACTCTGCCCCCTATCATCCCAGGAGGCAAGATCGACCCATCCCTGCTTCCAACAACCATGGGCATCACAAGAGAGATTGAACCGCATTACAAGAAGCTCAAGGCGGAGGAGGAGAAGGCGCGCGCGGATCTGGACGCCAAGCAGGATAAGCTGCGGCAAAGTCTCCAGATGTGGGACAAACTCGAGATGGAGTCCAAGGCGTGGAAGACGCGGGTGGACCTCAGCGAGCAGAGCCTCAAGAGCTTGGCTGGCGAGGGTCTCGGGGGAGCTGCCTTTTAGGAGGGTTCTGGGTGACGAACGAGCAAATGCATTGGGGGAACTATCATTTTCACTTTCTTTTTTTGCCTTGGAAGCCAATGATCCGATGGAGACGGACCGTCGCCATGACCGGCGGCAATGATGATGTACCACTACCACCGCCACCACTGCTACTGTCTGCGTTGTTTTACATGTACGAATACACTTTGTTGGAACTCTCTGTAGGTTTAGAGCTCGAGGATACCCTCCCGTCGAAAGGTTGTAATAGACTCAGACTTGGGACATGCTCCGGTACGCCGTCAGTAAGCAAGGTTATGCGCGTTGCGGCCTTTTGAAATGAGCGCTTAGCGGGTGCATTGTACAGAATTACAAGTCTTCGTTTGCATTGTCACAGGGGAGCACGCGCCGGCGATGGAGCCGAGCGACGATGAGACGTCGGTTCAAGCACGGCTTGTCTGGTGAAGACGTTGCCAAGGCACGGGTGGTGTAAGCATGGGACGGCATCTTTTCTTCCACGCTCACTTGACATGCACGTGTACATCACTGAGCCCGGGGGCATTCCAATAAGACATTGGGGAGATTATCACTCCCAGTGGCAGTGGTTTTCTATTCCACAACTCGGGCTGCTTCCTGATCCTCGACATCAGGACGGGAAGACGCCATACTAATAACGGTCGTCGAATCTCAAAAGACGGCTTCGGATGTGCCCCGGACTTACCATCCGGAGCCTCTGTCAACCCATGTTCATAACCAGTCTTCCGCCGTTCCGTCTGTGACCGACTGACCGACCGACGGACCAGGCGAGTCCCTCTCAGCCTTTTCCCTATACGCCGGTTTAAACCGTTGTTCATGCTGTCGTAGTCCATGATAATGAGCCAAAGCGCGCGCACGCGCGCGTGTAAAAGTCAGTAAAGTCGTATGATGTTACATGTGTGCACAAAGATTTGCGCAGCCAGAAAGTGTTTTCTCAGCTGTCTCAAACGCCAAGACAATAGATTGCCAAGCAGTAGTCTCTTTCAACTTGGGAGGGGAAAAGACAGCTAGTCCTACTCGAAGTCCATGTCGCCATCCCAATCGCCATCTGACTCGAAGTCTTTCTCGTCGTTGAGGAAGTCATCCATGCTGTATTGATGCTCCCTTGGCTTCTGGTTATCAATGTTGATGTCGATTACAGTGCACATGCCCTGAATGAAGGTCCCGTGGGATACTGGAGCATCTATAGCTGCACCTTCTCTGTTTTGCTCGCCATCGTCTTCGTTCGAGTCTCTGGCGCCGTCCATGTCGACGTCGCCGTCCGAATCGAACTCATCACTGTCTGGCTCAAGGTATGACTGGGGCCTCCGGCGTTGACCACGAAGGCCCCTCGATGTACTGCTAGCACGGGAAGAAGTGCCTGATGCATGCGATACAATACGATTGCTTCGCCGAGAGGGTTCTGCGACCGGTTTCTTGAGCCTCCGCTTCGTGACTGTCAGGGAAGAGGGCGTCTCAGCAGGAGGCGGCTTGCGCAAGGTAGAGAGCGGCTTCGGGTCGGGACTCTGCCGGAGAAAGATCTTTTCAAACTTTTCCTGCCAGGATCGGCGGAACTCGCTACGCGACCGCCAAGAGATGTCCAGCATCGCCTTGATTGACACATGTCTGAGCATCGGTAGATCGCGGGCGCTGTCAATGAAAGATTGAAGAAAGGCTTCGGCAGCGTCCGAGCTCCAGTGACGGAGGTTCTCCATGTGAACAAGCTGCAAAGATGACGGCCAGCTAGGCACTTGCTCCGGGAACAATAATGTGTCGTAGGAGGGCAGAGTGTCGTCGATTGCCTCCAGCAGACTAAAGTACTGGAGGTTCATCCGCAATTCCCTAAGATGTGGGCAGGCAGAACCGAGCACTGTGAGGAAGCCTAGATTCAGCGAGCGGTTGTGGTGCAGAACAAGCGATTCCAAGTGATGTCCCTTCGTAACCAAGAATAAGCTCAAGTCGTCGGCGATGACTTCGGCGCAATTGATAAGCTCCAAGCGCTTCAACTTTGCCGGGAGAAGAGTGAACAAAGACGGCCCGACTATGGTTGAAGATTCAAAGACCAAGTCCTCAAGGTTCTCCAACGTCGAGATGGAGTCTGCAAGCAGAGCCACGTACCTTTCATCTTCAGCCTGCAGGTCAGGGTTGAAACCTGGGTCCTTGTCTCGTCGAATTGATGGCATCTGGTAGTTGACATACTTCACCTTGCGTAGAGAGGCGAAGCTCGGCATTTGGTGAACCTCCTTGACTCTCAAAAGGCTGGCCTCCCAGTCCTTGGCCATAAGCCTGGAGCTCCACTGCCAACTTCGAAGCCGTGTTATAGCGGTTTTGTCTCCCGCCTCCGCATTTGCATTTGGTGACACCCCAGAAGCTAGGAAGAGTTCCGGTGGGTACGTCCACTTGATGGATTCTTTTAGCAGTCGATATGGAGCTTGGTCATATCCATGGACAAGCAGTACTTCTGTAAGCCGGGGCAGGTTCTGCATCATCCTCAGCGGAGAGGTGAGGCCCTGCAATGCGACAAGCCGCACATCGATATGGAGTGCCTCGATCTTTGCACGATAATTGATGGCCGTCAAGGATGGTGACTTCTCGAGCAACTCTACTAGGCCATACGCTTTGATCTCATCCCGAATAGGTGGACACTTGTAGAGCACCGTCAAAGCTGGGTCTGTGAATTGTCGGCACGTTCGAGCGGTCCGGAGAAGCCAGTTGGTATCAAGGGTATCTTGCTCGTCGTCAGAGGTCGCAGCATATTGGAAGATCTGCACCCATATCGAGTGCTCAATCTGCGGATCCAGCCAATTGGGAATGACGGAATTTGTCAAGGCGGGGTCGGGATCCGTGTTATCAAGCGGCGGTCGCCTATGACCCGGCTTCATCCGAGAGGTCTTTGGTGCTGCCTTTGCGCTGGTCAAGTCGTGATCAGACCCGTCTTCGTCCTGCTCATCGGAGGAGTCGCGATCAAGCGGCGAACACTTGGCTTTTAGCCGATGCGCCTCTCCTACCACGGATTCCTGTGTGTCCTGGGTTAAGGCAGCTGGTTTGTGCTTGATGCTGGTAACTTTCCCGCCACTACCGTTGTCGGTGCTTGTGCGAGTCGGTCCAGGTGCGCCAGCAGTTGCTGTCCTGGGGCTTCGACGCGTCGTCTTTCTTGAGGTTCGGGTGAAGGCATCGGTGTCTTCGGCGTCTTGTTCGACCGACAACTCATCGTCAGAAGTATCCATACCAACGTACGATAGTCTCTGTGTTCGAGCGGAGGATCGGGTCTTGCCGGAGGAGTCCGAAGTGGGTTTGGCAGTATTGGATCGGGCTCGAGGTTTCGTCACGCGCATCTGGTCGGTAGCAGAAGAGGGTATTTCGGGATTGCGAGTCGGGTTGCGGCGAGGCGCCGAAGCCGCGCCAGCTCGGGCAGCAGCTTGTCGTTTTGGGGACATGGTGCAATGGTGAGCAAGAATACGGAGGCCTGAATCACACGGGTCCTTGTGTGAGCAACATCTTAGGCCGTGAAAGTTATGATGCAAAGCCTACCTGCTTGTCAGATTCGCGAAACAACTGTGGCTTAGTGGAGGCAAATAGTCAAGGGTAAGGCGACGACGGCGATTGCAAGACGTAGCGCATGTCGCTTCAGACTGTCGGCGATGACGTTTGCGACAGGGACGACCGGAACCCCGAAAAGCTACCTAGGCGGCGGGTGAAAACCACATGTGGGATGAAGTGAAGAAGACGAGAAATGCGCAAGTATGGTGATGTGAGAGGAGAAGCGCAAGGGATGCTGTTGAGAGAGCATCAGAGTTTATTCAGAGAGTCGACGATCGAAGAAGGTGAGGTGCAGTTGGTTCGGGTGGGGCAGGTGCGGTGACAGTAAACTGAACCAAGGTTCTCAGCCTTGCACTAGCGTCCTGCGCTCGAGGCTGCCTACCTACCGGTACCTAGAAATGTCGAACGAACGCCCCGCCCCGCAAACAGATGGTCAGTGCACCGTTCCCGATGCATGTTGGCCAAGCTCGCTTTCTCTCAACTGAGGGCTGAGCCTGCTTGCTCACCATCTGGCATCCATTGACATTGGGCTTCCGGGGATCAGGGAGTGCACGCAGCGAGAGCTCGTTGCGCGGAGCATGAGCGGACGTTTCTAGCTCAAGGGGAAATGAGATGCGTTGGCCATTTTGATTCGCAAAGAAAGATAGAGAGCGGAGGTCCAGCCTTGGGCTGCACACTTGCAACCGTTGTACAATACTTCTGTGCTGATGACTGGAAAAGGCATGTCAAAGTGCAAGTTGGCGACAAGAAAAGTCGACAGTTGGGGGGACTCGGTCGTTGCCCAGGCAGTTTTGCTGCTTTCCGTTTCGCCTAGGAGAAAAGAGATCCACTTGGGTCCACCAAGAAACCAATCATAACGTACCTACCTACCTTACTTACCTATCTACTAGGTACGGATACGAGTACTGTATCCGTACTCCGTATCCGTATGTACAACATTCAGGTTTCCCAGGAGCAACTCAGGCCAGCAACGCCGGGAAGCAAACCCGCTAAACCCCGGTAAGTCGTGCTGTACTGCACTGACAACCAAACCCGAAGCCCCAGGTCCCTTTCCCGCCCCTAAAAGTCAACTGTCTTGAGGCCCGTCTTCCACGTTTTTTGGCGTCAACGACGACGCGCTTCGACTTCCACGTCTTTCAACTGCTGCTTTTCATATTCTTGCCGCGGAACGCCACTCCCCACAGATACTCTCCCTACCTACTGCCGCTTTTTACCTGACGGCCCTGAACTCACTTCTCCCACCGCTGACCCGCCGAGTCAGGTAGTCAAGTCCTACCTGGGCTACTTATTCACTTCAGCCAAAAGCAAAGTCGCGGTCGCGTCTGTCTACCTCGGTCCCGCCCGTCGTCTCGGCCGTCCAGTCGCATCGCTCACCACAACAACTTCTGAGTGAGCAGACCATCACCTTTGCGTCCTACTCATGAGACATCCATTCCCTTAGTCGAATGTATCGCTTATGAGACGCAATCAGCACCAAGGGGAACATCCGCGGTTGTTTCTCATCACAAAGGCTTTGCCAAAGCTCTCACTTGGATGGCGTCTTGAATGAGCACCAGCGTCAAGACTGCTACTGCTTGTCCAAGTGGGCTTTGCTGCGAAATAAGGCGCCACGCCGCCCAAAGTAGGTTGAATTCGTTCAAGCTTCTTTGACCCTATTCCGAAACACACAAAACGGGCCTCGCCTCTTCCATACACCTCTCATGGTCCCCCTTTGCCAGCTATGACGCTTCCTTCGCGGCGCCAGCGCAGCACCCCTTTTCTCCAGAGGAATATCTTACAAGGCATGGGTAATACCCAGTCGTCGGCTCAGAAAGCCGCTGCCTCTAGAGTTGTTCCCAATGGCCACGGCGACGGCCGCCCGGCCAAGCGCCGATGCTTCGACGCCGAGCACCAGCTCCAAGATCAGATATTTCAAGCTCGAGACGTCGGCGACCTGCAGCGCAATCTACGCGTCCAAGTCAACAGGATCTTTCACAGGGCCTCCAAGAGGGTCTCTGCCGTCCCTTCTGATGATGTCGTGAACCTCAAAGCACGATGCAAGGTTTCGCTTTCCCATGTAACCAAGGCCGGCGACGTCTTGTTGTACTGTAACAGCCAACTCTGCGATATCAGATCCTTCAAGGATCCCGGCGGTCCATACCGCGTAGCACGCATCGGCCTGCCGCGCCCCTTCTACATCCCTGAGGACAGCATGCGAATCAACCGCGACGATGACGGCTCCTTCGACCTCGCCGATTCTTATCGCCTCTGTGTTGAGATGGAAGCCGCTGGCCCGACCTACTGGCCGCCCATCACCATCAACTCTTCCGGCGACGAGTATGGTTCTTCCAGGCAGTCAGATACCATACATTGGGTACTCACTGCAGCATCGTCCGACTTGTTCTCGAGGCGGCGGGCGTTGCTGAACCTCAAAGTCAAGAAGACTCCGCAATCCCTCGCACCGACAGATCACGTTATTGACGTCGACGCTTCGTGGGCCACTGCCTTTGAGGCAGGTCAAATTCGCGCCGTCGAGGCAGGTGTCGAGCCCTCCATCACTGTGTCTGGGACCCTTGTGCCGCAAGACCCTCTGGTCAACAATGGCGTTATCGAGCCGCTGTACGAGAGTCCCCCCGGAACTCCAGTTAGGGCTCTCAGAAACGGCCTTGTCAACGGAGAAGCTCATGCCGACGAGGACGCCGAGGAAGAACTGACCCCGAACCGGTCGCTTCGAGTACGCGGCACCACCAAGAACTATAACCTAAAAGTACTCAGTGATAAGGCCCAAGGAAGGAATAAGAAACGCAAGAAACCTGGCACCGCAAACCCTGTCGAGGAAGGCAGCGTTACTTACTACCTACCGAGTGAGAAGGTATGCCTGGATTCCTTCCGTTGCATCACGTGTGGCATGCCGCATAGCTCTCTTCCCCAGCTCCAAGCGCATTTGATAAGCCTGCACGACGAGTATGAGTACCGGCCGCAGTCCCGCGTGAAAGCGGCAGAGTTTGAGGTTGCCCATCGCTACGAGACATATTCATTCGGCCCTGAGCCGTTTGTTTTACGCCGGCCCACGAAGGCATTCGATTTGGACCAGTTTGCGGAAGGAAACTTGTCATACGTGACTTCACGTTTCGGGACTGAAGATAAGAGCACGCCGGGAGCTCAGCCACAGGGGCGGGCCAGTAAACAGCCGCCCACTAAGCCCGCGCAGGTTTGTTCTGTGTCTGGATATTCTTTGAGGACCCTGCTCACATGCCGTAGACACGTTCAAAACTACTTATTCCGGATATTGGGCAACCGTTGTATGACCCAATCACGCGGGCTGAGTTACAACCGGGCACTGAGTACAGAAAGCCTGAACCAAGTGACGAATGGCTCATCCAATGGCACCGAGACGCCCTGGCAGACTTCTCAGATGTCCCGCCCGACGAGAGGGAGTACATGCAGGAATGGGACAAGTTTATGCTTACGAAGCGCATTACGTCGAATATCTACTTCCCTCCTGCCTGGCTGAGTTTCGTCAAAGTTAAGTCAGACTGGCTACTGTCCTCGACTTCTCGCATGCTGGAGTTTGGAAAGCATCTCACGTACCTCTTGGCTAGGGGCAGCCTCGATCATGATACTGTCGAAGAGGCTCTTAAGCATATTTCCGCTTGCAGGGCAGAGCTGGGCATGGAAAACGGCCGATATGCGGCACCGGCACCCAACGGGTCGCCACAAGGACCGCACATTCGGAAGAGCGCTGCTGGGTGCCAGGTCTGCGGACTGGCCGTCCTTGGACCGAGGTTGCTCTTGTGTTCCAACACGGTAAGATTCCCACTACTCAGAGGGTCTTGTGCAAAATGACATGGCTAACGTGGACAAACAAAATGAAAAGAGCTGCGCCAAGCGTCTCTATCACTCGGACTGCATCAGCGAGAACGCGAAGATGGACGTCGAAGAGCCAGATTGGGTGTGCAACCAGTGCTTCAACATACCAGCCGTAGAACGGACCTAGAAGATCCAGCAACCGGCAGAACAACCAAACCCAAAGCCAGCGCCAGCGCTAGCGCCAAAGACCCGATGGAGACTCGTGCCAAAAAAGCGATTGCTTACAAAAGACATTTGAAGTTCGAAAAGGAGGTGATGGGATGTGGGATGGTGTCTGCTTTCAATGGCTGGCAAGCGGATGCATCTGCATTAGGCATTTGGCGTAGCATGATATGATTTAGTGACGCAGGTAGATATGGACAAATAAAGGCGTCAGGGATGATTAATAACTGGCTTTGCTTGCAAACGGCACCCAGCTACTTTACAAGTGCATGCGCCGAGGTATTTGAGGGCGGGCGGAATAAACTGCAGAAAGTGTTGAGACATGTAGGCCAGGGTCGACAACAGCAGAGTTGGTTGCCCTCCACTCATCGAGATACCATTTGCGAGACTCGATACAATCTTCAACTTGAAAATATGCGTTTGAAATTCCTGTATGCCAGCCAGCCTAGCACCGCTTGCCCTATTGCACATGAAAAATAACACGTTCGACTCGAGCGCAACTCGCCAGTCTCCATGGGAGACACAAAAAGTATACAACGACAACCGATAGCCCAAGACCGCCCGGGGGAGAAGGAGAAGGAACAAAACCCAGTCTTCTTCCGAAGCCTTTAGAACCTGTACTTGCTCTGCTTCTTCTTCTCCTCGTTGCGCTTCTCGTCGACCTTTTGCCTCTTCCTCGACTCCTGCGCAATCATCTCGGATAGATCCTCCTCGTACGCCCACTTGGCGCCGATACCCTCCTCGCGCTTGCCCTCCTCAAACCGGCGCCGCAGCTCTTCCTTGCTGATGCCGTCGCTGTTCTGCAGGGCGTCGGGGTCGAGCGCGACGTCGACGTCACCGGGCTTCTTGCGCTTGCGGGTGTCATCCTCTTGGCCAAGCACCGGCACGTTACCGGCAGCCTTTTGCTGGTTGAGGTCGTAGACCCTGTCGCTGCCGAAGAAGCCCTCGGTGCGCTGTTGGCGCTCAGGGATGACCTGGTACGCGGAGCGGGGGTGCGAGCTCTCCTCAGTGTCGAATCCGCGTCTCTGCTTCCGCAGGTCCATCTCGCCCGCCACTGAGGTCTCAACGCCGTGGCCCGGGTAGTCCGTCGGCACGGAGGATACCATGCCGCCCGAGGTCTCGATGCCGCTCGGCGACGCGCGGCCGGCGGCGACCTCCTCGTCTTCCTCCTCCTCGTCTTCCGACTCTTCTTCTGAATCTTCCTCTTCGGACTCCTCGTCGCGGGGTTGAAGCTCACCCCAGAGCGTCTTCTCGACGGGCTCACCAGTACCCAGGGGCTGGACAGCCGGCGGCGCCACCTGCGCGCCGGCCTGATTTGTGAGACCGAAGACGTCACCACCGTATAGGGGACGATTGAACTCATCCACAGGAGGCTTACCCCAGCCACCGGGATGGAAACCCCAAGACCCGCCTGGGGGCGGCGGCGCATTGAGTCCCGGGATCTTGAGAGAGGGATATGAGGGAGGGGGGCCGAAGCGCTGCTGATTGATGAGCCAGGGTGGAGGGGCACCAGGCGGCATGCCTAGGGCCTCTTTTGTGGCTTCGGTCAGTTCACCTGGCCTAAAGTGTTGGAAATCAACCTCGCTTTCCTTGCCCTCGTAGTAGACCTCGCCGAACCGTGTCAGCTCGGGCTTGGTCTGGAAACGGAAGAAGGCATCGTAGAGCTTCTGGTAGTCAATGTCCAGCTTGCCCATCTTGGGCGCAACGCGCTCTCGCTGTTTTTGCTTGAGCGACTGCTGCTCCTGCTTCTCTAAAACAGCGTCACGCATTTCCGTGATGCCCGTCTCGGCGATGAACTTTGGTAACCGGAAGGGTGGCTTCTCGATACCTCGCTTCGAGGACAGGTACTCTCTCTTCAGCTGCCAGTGACCGGGAACAGGAACCACGTTTCTTTGCGCCTTGATCTGCACGAGAAGTCGCGGATCCGAAGACGATGTGTCCTGCCACTCCACCACATCGGGAATCTTGACCAGTGCCTTGAGCTCTGCGATCGAGAGTTTGTTGAGCTGCTTCCGCTTCTTCTTGGAAAGCTTAGTCTGTCCCGAAGCCTCCTCATCCTCGCTGGGAATGTCGTCGTCGTCCCACAACACCTCGCCCTGGTTGCCGGCGTTGGCTTCTTTTGCGACTTCGTCCTCGTCTAATGAGACACCGAATTTTGAGAAAATGTCTTTGAAAGCGGCAAACCTCTCGTCATCGAGGTCGAAGTCGTCGGCAGGACCATCAACTTCGATTTTAACGTTGGTGGCATCATCCTTCTTAACTTCGAGCTCGTCACCGGTCTTCTCCTGTGTCTCGGCCTCATCTGGCTTCTTCTCGTCTTTGGGTTCAGGTGTTTTCGACGCGGTCTGGTTGCTTTCCATATCAGTACGGATCACGCGCACATCAACTTAGGGAAACGCACCTCTGCCTGTGCCTTCTTCTGTTCCTTCTTCTTCGCCCTCCGCATCTGGTTCTTGGTCATTTTTGGGGCCGCCATCCTGAATCGAATTGCGCCTTCGAGCTGAAGGCTTTTGGTGTGGCTTGCGTTACGACGTAGCAGAACAGTCCTAGTATTATGAATCGTCTCGGGTCTTGGCGAGGGCGCATGCTTTGAAAACCATAGAACAAGAGCTGGCCTGTGGACGCACTGCGTTGAAATGAAGATGAAAACACCGACGATGCTACGGGGCCGGGTGCGCGTGGGAGAATTCGATGAGCTAGCAGCCTGCTGGAGGCGACTGGCGATGCGTGACAAGCGCGCCAAACTTTTGGAGGCTGAACAACGATTAAGTGGGTCTCCAACTCCAATGAGCCACTTGTGAGGGAGGCTCGATGGCGGTACGTACCGCGAAGAAGTACGGATATACAGGTACCAAGAAGCTCGGACCCAGTCCGGCGCTGGTTTGCGGGTTCACGGTGCAGGCACTCGGAGGACAGGACTAAGGATAATCCAGCCAGCTGCACTTGACAGTGCCACCCGGCCGCGCCGGTCCTTCCAGCGGGCTTGGTGGGCGGGCTTCTTCTGTACTCCGTACATACGGCACTGTATCCGTACACTACCTAGTGGGCGCCGTGGGGGTGCGTTTGCCCCTGGCTTTGCAGGGATCCATCCAGCCACTGAACACTAGCCATTCCCAGCTGATGCAGCACCGTGGGATTTTCCGATTGTTCGAGATGAGGACAGCTCCCCTGGTACAAGATCACCTACCGAGCTAACTTTGGTAAATGTTGCCCTGGCCTCGAGGCTTTTCCATGCAGCCGTCAACGCATTACCATCATCAGAGCGCACCCCGTCTGATATCGACTCTCCACGACGCCAGAACAATGCTTTACCTGACCCATCTCTAAGTTTCTTGCGCATAGTTGTCGCAAAAGTCACTCGTTTATAATCGGATGCAAAGTCCACAAGGCCAAGCAATAGTACCAAGCTACGACGACGACACCAGACTTAATTAAGTCCCCGCCAAACCCCCCCCGGCATTCGCGTCATGAATCACTCCACAACCTCTGGCTCTACAATACAAACATCTTCGGTTAATCGGTCGCAACACCCACCAAGACCGCACAGCGACAGCATCACCCTCTCTGCCGACGGCGGCATGGAGAAGTTCCCGGATCACATCGATTCTCATCTCACCAACGCTTCAAGGACCTCGAGTCCTGGAAAGACAAACGGCTATGCGCTTCCCGGCGCATCTAGCGGCGGCGACCGCTGGCAACCTCGGAGGGAGAGCCTTCAGGGGCGTGGGATAAGATGGGGCCCAGCAAGCCAGCCACCGGCAACACGGTACGGTCACGGCAAACAAAAGAGCCTGGGCGATGCCATTCACAACATACGGACAAGAGGTGGAAGCGTCGGTCAGAACGCTCATGAGATCGCCGATGCGCTGCGGGCTCCCGTTTCCCCCAAGCTGATCGTAAGTGCTCTGGTCGTAATCCTGCCGCTTCATTTGCGCTGACAATGGCACCGCAGGGACTTTGTGTCCTCTGGTACACCTCATCCGCTCTGACCAATACGTCCTCGAAATCCATCCTCACGGCCTTCGATAAACCCGCGACACTCACCCTCATCCAGTTTGCTTTCGTGGCGACCTACTGTGTCCTATTTGCCTGGCTTGCCAATGTCTTCCCAAGCCTAAAGACTGCGATACCGGCACTCAAGCATGGGATCCGCTACCCTTCCCGCGACGTCATTCAGACCACCATGCCTCTTGCCGCGTTCCAGATCTTCGGTCACTTGTTGAGCTCGACGGCGACATCAAAGATCCCTGTCTCGCTCGTCCACACAATAAAGGGCCTCTCTCCCTTGTTTACGGTTCTGGCCTACCGGTTGATCTTCAACATCCGGTACTCAGTTAACACGTATCTGTCGTTGGTCCCCTTGACTTTTGGGGTTATGCTGGCTTGCTCTGGCAAGCACAACAAATACAGCGGCGAACTGTTGGGCATTTTTTATGCTCTCCTCGCTACCATCATTTTCGTGACGCAGAACATCTTTTCCAAACGACTCTTCAACGAAGCTGCCAAGGCCGAAGCTGAGGGCCAATCAGCCAGGTCGCAAAAGCTTGACAAGCTGAACCTGCTCTGCTACTCCTCAGGCATGGCCTTTATCTTGACGGTGCCAATCTGGCTCTGGAGCGAGGGCATCGGCATCATTGGCGATGTCCTTCATGATGGAGCGGTCGACTTGAACAACAAAGTGGGGTCTTTTGATCACGGCCGTTTGACCATTGAGTTCATCTTCAACGGCACCTTCCACTTTGGACAAAACATCCTTGCCTTTGTCCTCTTGTCGCTCGTTTCACCAGTAACTTACTCCGTTGCAAGCCTGATTAAGCGCGTGTTCGTCATTGTCATTGCCATCATTTGGTTCCGGAACCCAACGACACCGCTCCAGGGAGTCGGCATCTTGATGACCTTCCTTGGCCTCTACCTCTACGACCGAACCCATGACCGGGACAAGGCGGATCGCAAGGCCAAGATGATGGAGATCAAGGAGGAGCCTCTTCTGCCCCTGAACACCAGAGACGCCTTCAACGCAAGCCAGAACGCGCCTGTCTACGAGAGCCCCATGGTCTCCGCGGGCCCATTTCAGTCGTTTAGCAATGGGCCCTCTCCTCGGAGGAGCGAAGACTCCAAGAAATCAGATGGGCCCAGCAATGGCCGAGCCCGAGGCGCGAGTAACGCTGCCTGGCTCGCACCGGGCACCAAGCAGGAGGACACCTGGCGGGTCGGAGACCATTAGACGGGGAGGCTTTTGTGCAAACGGTAATTTTAGGGTAACGGGTCGCAGGAGTTTCAGTATGCAATCATGATCAGCGCCACCCTGGTATGGCGACTACGGATGGATGAGAACAATGTATATTTGGTTGGTCGCTTGGGGTAAGATGTTATTGGGCATCTGTAAGACAGCAGGAAGGTCATCCCCAGTAGGGCACACTACCTAGATACAGGTAGGCATTTGCAAGTGATCCGAAAGGCCGGCACTCAGCTCAAAAAAATCATGCGGCGTTTGATTGAATCGGACGGGTATACATACGTCGAGCTCCAGGCAAAAAGTCATAAAATGGGTATTCATCCGTCGAGCAGTCATCTTGTAATATTATCATGAGAAATGTCGTCCCATACGTAGCAGTATGCAACATGTCTTGAGACGGACCGACCCCTCCTCAATCAACGAGCCATTCCTCTACCTCGATACCGAGACTTCTCCCCACACCTCTGATGATATCCCATCCCACATTAATCCTCCACTTGCCGCCCCTGTCCGTCGGGTCGCCTGCCGTGCCGACCCTCATCAACAGCCGCAAGCTGGCAAGGGTCGAAATCGCCATACCGACGTCTCCATCAACCACGCTCCCGGTGGCAAACCCGCCGTCGGCAGCCCACTCGCTCCGCACGGCGGCGAAGATGGCGAGCATGCGCTCGAGAACGAAGGCGTGCGCGCCGAGCAGCTTGCGCGAAATCTTCTTGTGCTTGCTAGGTCGGCCGCGTTTCGGCGCCACGAAGCCTCCGCCGCGGCGCTTGCGTCGGCCGTGGTGATACGTCGAAAAGAGCACCAGATCGTGCTTGGCGGCGTTGTGCGATGCCAGGTACGCCGCCAGCAGCAACAGGCGCGTCGTCGTCGGCAGCAGCGTCGTCAGGTCTGTGGTGGCAGTACTCATCGCCTGCTGCTGCGCCGCTGCGTGCTTGGACGGTGTTCCGACGAGGCCGGGTCCGGATCCGTTCACGTCGGGTGCCAAGGACGCCGCGCCGGGCTTGACAGAGACGATACTTGGGTTCAGCAGGCTTTCGTCCTGAAAGTGCATGCGCGAAGCGATGAGAAGCTTGGAGAACTCGCGCGGGCCGTGCGTGCGGGCGAGAATTGGCGCCGTGAAGCGAGGCCAAAGGGCTTCGCAGCTGTGGCGGCACGAGGGCAGAGTGCGAGAGGCCGAGGTCGTGAGAGCGTCGCATACAGCGCCGCAGAAGCGGGTCCAAAGGAAGTTTGTGTCGTCCTGGGTAGTCGTCGGGGTTGGGGGCGGCGGGTTGACGGAGAGAATCTTTACAAACTCTTGTTTGGTATAGTTCGGGAACTGGATATGCGGTGCGAAGGAGGTTCGAAGGAAGGCGGGAGACGGTGCAGTTACAATGAAAACACAGGTCAAGCAAGGTATCTGCGGGGGCGAGAGGGTTAGCTTTCAGGGTCTGGACGAGTTTGGATCGGGAAGTCCGCTGACCACTTCAGGTAGCCTTGCTAGTGCTTGAAGGAGTGTCGGAGGAGCATCTCGCTGCCGGTCGATCGCGTCGAAGACGAGTACGAAACGCCAGCCCTGGGGCCGTTGGGTGTACTTGAGCATCTTGCACAGCTCAACCACCAACTGCGCCAGAGTCTCGCATTTCCTGGGCGGTGCGTCCCATTTTATGGAGTCAACCACGGCAGCGACGGTCCTCTCGAATAGGTGGCGGCCAGTGATACACTGTATGGAGTTGACGATGGCAAAATTTAGGGAAGTTTCGGTTTCTGGTTGCTCATGGGAGGGTTTGGAAAGAGTTTGCAGAAGAGACTCGACGACTGCAGACTTGCCGGTAGCTTCGGTGCCGTATACAACAAGGTTCTTGCAAGGCGCGGCTGCGGACTGGATATTAAGTTAAAGATTGATTTAGAAAACAGACAGAGGCGTTCGTCAAGGGCTGCGGCTTACATGGAGGAGGGTAGCCAGGGAACGGATTTGATGTTCTCGGCAGGGGAAGCGGTCATATAGAGGTGACAGAAGAAGCTCTTCTGGAAGCTGAAAGAGAGATGACATCTCAATTGGGGCCATCTCACAATTTCTCAAGCTTTTTAGAGTAATGAGAGCACCGTCAAAGCCTCCGGGAGAGGGTAGGTCAGCATTAGCCTGGGATAGGGCTGGTCCATCGCGTACGCCGTCCCGGGGGAGGAGCCAGCGAAGACGCGCGATCATGTGACCGCTCCAGAATAGACAGGGATGATGCCAGATGATTACCGTAGACACTCGGTAAGTTGGGCTTTAGCTACTGCACGAGCTAACGGCAAGAGGCAAGGTCGGTACCCATAGCGCTAAGCCCAATATGGTAGGCGGTCAATAAACCCACCTGTCCCCCCATCCACTTGCTTGCCACTCACCCATCCAGGCTCCTGCTTTCTGCCAGCACGCCAACCCCTTTCCAGCGGCCGCGATACCCCTTGCCGTTAGCCTGTGCAGTAACTAAAGCCCAACTTACCGCGTGTATCCGTATACGGTAGGCAGACACCCTGGAAGGGGTTCGGAGAAGGGCCCGTGTTGGGGCCAAAGCGTCTCTGCAGCTTGCGCCGGGTCGCCACCATCAAACTACTTTGACACAATGCGCAGCTTACCAGAAACCTCCCCACGTGCCTCTTATTCTCATACACTCGTTCTCACGTCCGGCCGTGCTCGTCAGCTTCCTCGTGCCGGAGTTCAAACAATCACGTCGAACCCCCCCCCCTCCCCAAGGCCAAAAAGGGCAACCCATAGAGGGCGGACTGAGCGACGGGCAGGAGGCGCTGCGGGTGGAAGGCGCAGTTGTCGTCGTTATGTCTCTTAAATGATAATTTTAGCATGCTACTGGGTAGATGGCTTGCGTACGTCAGCCGCTTATCTGTACTTTATGCACATGCCTTGTTTGCCCTCCCACCTGCTTTCTGTTTGATTGCGTGGACTCTTGAATGAACCATTGCATAGTAATAGTGTACTCCAATATCGTGCTTCTGTTAGCCGCCTCGCCTGAGCAAGGTAAGCATGTACCGAACCAAGTCAACAACCCTCTGCGTTAACTGAGTAAGTAGGACCAGCTGATATCAATGACCCTCCCCCCAGCGGAACGGAACCACCAATTAGCCAGCTCGTGTGGGGCAAATGACATTCTCGATTGTGGCTATAAGCCGAATGAAACCAACACTCAACTTGGCAAAAAGCAGCTTGAGTCGGCGTGAGGCCTCATACGTGTACACAGCTCGACTCGGCTCAAGTGACTTGGTCAGTTTATTTCAGAGCAACGGCTTCCAGGTTCCAGGGGTAAAGTGACTGGACCAAAGCTCGGCCGACTCAATCCGTGCAAAGCGTCTCGAAAGGCTTCATCTAATAACCAACCGTGCCATTCCGCCAGCAGTGTCACCCACACACAGAACTTTGTTTCAACCCCGACGACAGTTCTTCCCCCGTCCGGCCGTTGGAGATCGTCCCTTGGGAACGAGGCCCGAGCATCTTCTCGGTGTCTTACCTTGGACTTTACGCCAGCGATAGGTGAAGCTGCTGCCACCACCAAGTCTTCTCTTTCCCTCCTCCATCTCACTCACCACAACTCACTCTCTTCTAAATCCTACTAGAAGCACAAGTTGCGCCAGCCATCGGCTTATTAGAGACTGGAGAGCACGCCCAAGGCCTTCGATGACACGATGAACCCCCTCTCATTGCCCGGTGAATCAGACTCCACCGCTGCCACCACTTCTACCGACACCACAACCACAGATGCTACGACCACAAATACTACGACCACAAATAGTACAGCCACAAATCACACCGATGACAAGCCATACCACTCAAAACGCCCCCACAAGAAGTCCCGTACGGGATGCAAGAACTGCAAGACCCGCAAGGTAAAGTGCGACGAGACTCGCCCGGTTTGCCGTAACTGCATGCTCCGCAAGGCCGATTGTGTCTTCCCTGCACTGTCCCACTCCCACTCCGAAACTCGTCCGGGGTCGCCGTCCAGCTCCTCTGCCGGCGCCATCTCGCCCGCACGCTCGCGGCAGGGCAGCTACGCCGGCAGCGACGATGACTACAACGCCCTCATCATGCGGGAGCCGCTCTTCATCCCCGCTGGCGACAGGGATGCCACCGACATGAAGCTGCTGTGGTTCTACACCACAAACACCTTCTCGTCTTTCGCGACCCAGGCAGGGCGCGTCAAGCGGATCGACGACATCCTCCAAATCAAGATCCCCGGCCACGCCTTCGAGAGGCCCTTTCTCATGGACTGCCTGCTGGGTACGTCGGCCCTCCAGCTCCAGCACCTGAAGCAGGACATTTCGCCCTCGCGCGTCTTCCGCTACCGCGCCCGCGCCTTCGAGGGCTACCGCAAGGCCATCGAGGAGGGTAAGCCCGAGACGTTCCCTGCTCTCCTCGCCACCTCGTTGCTCCTCACGGCGCTGTCCTCGCAAATGTTCCGCGAAGAGGGCACCAAAGATCTCTACATCATCGATTGGATGATCGTCTGGCGCGGCATCGGCCTCGTGATCGACATGGCCACGCCCCAGACGCTTTGGGATTCCGGGCTCGCAGAGCTCTTCATACGCCCGCCCATCGACCTAGACGAGGCTGCCAAGCATATCCCCAACGACCTTCTCTTTATGATATCCTCTATCCAACCCGGCGATCCGGACTACGAGGACGTGCCAACGTACTACGACACGCTAAAGTACCTCGGCTCTCTCTATTCGGAGCTCGCCAACGGCTTCAGTCCCATCATGAACCTTCGCGTCGTTACATGGTTCACATTTATCCCCAAGGGCTTCGTCGAGCTGGGCCGCAAGAAGAGGCCTCGCGCTTTGGTCATCCTCGCTCACTACCTCATGTTCATGAAAGTCGCCAAGGGTCTGTGGTGGATCGACGGCATCGGCGACCGCGAGATTGCCGGTATCGTCCGGTTTCTCGGCGACAACTGGTCCGAAGAGCTCGCTGCGCCGCGCCTGTCCCTGCTTCTGGACGACCAAACCGATATCGCGAGACTGATCCTCGCTGACCCTGATTGGCAGTCACCCACGGACTACCTCGTCGCCCGGATGCAGGACCCCCGTACGGAAATGCTCACCTGGGTCGACGACAGTGGAAAGCGGTATAGAGGCATGCCGCAGCGTGTCGGCGACTTACACCCAGCCGACCCTGCGCCACGGACACTGCATTGGGAAGGGGAAGGCTACCACCAGGATTCGATTACGATGAGTGCCCCGGGGAGGGCGTATACTGAGAGAGTTCTAGAGGCTATCGACCGGGGAGTTCAGGACATGGATGTTTCCCGGTGAAGAGCAGGTTCGTCGCCTGCCTACTATCCACTACAGCAACGGGAACCTGGGTTGGCGTTTGGTTAAATACCCAGTCTGGGTCTTTGCGGCCTATGTAATGCTTCTACTACGGAGTTATGGCAAGTCCAAGACTACCAGATAGAATATAAGAAAATCCACCGAGTCATTGTATGATCATGCCAGCCCACGACTGTGGACAGACGAGCGAAGCAAGAAAATGTGGCTGCTGTAGGCTTGGACGACATAGCAGCCAGGTGAAAATGTGAAATGGGAGCTTGAATTGTTGCTGAAGTTTTCAAGGAGACGACAAAAATAGACATTGCATTCCTATTGGGCTACAGTCTATATCCGATCTTTACGAACAATTCGAAATGGATCCTACTGTATTATCTCTTGCATCTCTCGTAACCCCACTACAATCAATGCCAGTCACTACCAACCCCCAACACTAAAACATGATAGCCAGCAAGGACAAAAAGTGGCACAATGAGACAAAGTACTCAGAGACATGAATTGACAAGAACCAGGAGAAACACAAATGAATACTGTAAAAAAGACGTATTGGGTCGAGGGCCATTGGAAAACGAAGTCTGACCCGGGGGCACAAGATCGGCAGGAGGAAAGAGGCATCTCTAAGTCAGAAATTAAAGAGACATCAACCATCTGAGAAACATGAGCGCCACCGTATTCCGGAATGGATGGGAAAGGGAGCACAGCCTTGTCCACACTGTCATCGCGTAAGTCAGGGAAGGGGGAAGACACTGGGCTGGGCGACTTACATCCAACCCCACTGGTTCAACGTTCTGACACCCTCTTTGTTAGCAAATGGTAAAAAAAGAAGCCTCACGGCTCCAGGGACTCTGCAGCGCCAAGAGCTCCATAGTCGTAGTTCGATCCATAATAGCCAGTAGGGTCGAGGAGATCCATGAAGCTCATGTCGGTGGCGTGCTCGGGGCGTCAAGACCGGCAAGGAAGCGGTCGAGGTCGCTATTCCAGGTGGTGTTGTCAGACATAATGACAGGGGGTTGGTGTTGGTGTGCTTTGAAGCGGCGAGTGGAAATCAGGCTGGAAGCTGGTGAAGGAGTCGCAAAAGAAGCGTATGTGACGGTGTCTGGAGGAGAGGAGAGGTGTCGGGGACAACACCATGCTTATGCCTCTGGCTGGAGGAATAGGCTCGCCGCTTTAACGTGGCCCCTCGGAGACGCATGAGGTGAACAGGGTGGAATTGGTTCTGTGCTTGAGGCGGTGAAAATGGCAACTGGTGATAGGTTGAGCCATCAGCCATCTTCCGCCCTATTTGTGTGGGCAAGAAGGAAACTACCACCCTGTTTGTAGGGGGATCGAGAGTGAGGCTGCAAGAAGCCAGCTTAGTGGAAGTTGCCTTCGAAAGGCGGCCGAAGGTCAGGCGAACCACCTGCGGCTGATGAAGGGAGCCACCATGGAGCGACACACTGGGGGGAGGAATATGGATAGAACAAGAAGAAGAACATAATGTAAGAAGATATTTGAAAAAAGGGACGACAAGGTTAAAATCATAATGTGTATTTATGTTCAAATCAATAAAACTCCAACCACATAAGAAAAATTGGAATCTTCGGTCCTCTGCTAGACAAAGACACTCACTCGCCTCTCCGTTAACAATGAACGAAACACATGCAAAACCCCCCTCCCATGCAGCCCAGGCACGTTATTTACAATCCACCTCATCGCCCTCGTTGCTCGAACAACAACGCCCCCGGGTTGCCCAGCAGAACCTTGAAGGTCGTCTCGATCTCGTCCAACAGGTCCTTGGCGTGTCCCTTCCACGACTCAAACGTGACAATCTCAATCGTCAACCTGTCGCCCTGCGGGAACGCCTGGATCTTCCACTCACGCAGCGGCTCCTGGTGCGGGTAGATCGTCTCCATCCTGCTGCTCGCCGTCTCGAACCCAAGGCTCTCGACATGCTCGACGTCCTGGTGCACCACCGTGTCGAACCAGTCCGTCTCCTCCGGCCAGTGCGGCGCGCAGAGCTTCTTGATCTCCGGCAGCCCGACGCCCTCGTGCGTCGAGCTGGCGATGTGCTGGTTCTGCACGAGGTTGAGCAGGTCCAGCACCGTCCAGCCGTCCTCGAACTTGACCCGCACCGGCACGTACTGCCAGCAGGGCCCGACCACCATGTCGGCGTTGGGGTAGTCGATGTTGCGCCCGCTGACGACCTCGCCGAACGTCACGTCCCGCGTCTTCTGCATCCGCGCGAGCGTCAGCGCCCACGCCGCCGTCGGGAGCGTGGCGATGGTCACGTCCTTGGAGCGGGACGAGATGTCGAACGTCCGCTCGATGGCGTAGTGCTGCCTCTCCGTGACGGGCGTCTTGGGCTTCAGCACGTTGATCGAGGACCCCTCGAGGAGCTCCCTCCAGTACTCGACGCTCTGCGGGACGTTGTTCTTGACGACGTGGCCGACGAAGGAGGAGAAGGGGAGCGACTTGGGCACGGGCTTGCCTTCGTGCAGGGCAGATAGCTGGTGCAGCATGATGGGCAGGCAGATCTCATCGTACTGCGCGTGCGAGACGCGGAAGACGAGCGCCGACTGGCCACTGCTGCTGTGCACGAAGAACCACTTGACAAAGACGGAGCCGAGAGGCATGCGCGTCTGGACGTCGAGGTTGCAGAGGTCCTTGACAAAGGCCTCGACATCGCCGTCGATCTCGTGCTCCACAACGGGCGTCTTGACGTCCTCGAGGACGACGCTGAGGCACGTGCCGTTGTGTTGCACGAAGACGGACCGAAGGACCTCGTTGAGGTTGACCAGCTCCTGACAGCTCTGGAACAGGCGAGGACGGTCAACGTCGCTCTCGAAGTACATGGCCTCGTAGCGCGCCGAGAAACGGGGGATCTCGATGGTTCCCTTGACGGCGACCTCTTGCAGCGGTCTGGCGGGGAAGGCGTCGACGATCTTCCACGCCGGGTCAGCCAACAGGGGCCGCAGGATCTCTTCCGGGGCATTGCCAATATTTTCGAGAAGCTCGAAAGGAGCCAGCGCTGTCGCAGTGTCTTGGGAGCCTTGTGTAGGCTCTGAGTCCTGCAAGACAGTGGCCATGTCGTACAGCGTTCTCTTGGAGAAGACTTGGTTGACGGTGAGCGTGAGACCGGCCAGACGGGCCTCGGAGACGAGCTTCATAGCGCCGATCGAGTCGCCACCAAGGCGGAAGAAGCTGTCGTTGAGACCGATGTCACTCTCGGGAAGCTTGAGGACGTGGCTCCAGAGAGTCCGTAGGCGGCGCTGCTTGGCGGACGTGGCCAAGATGCGCTTCGTAGGGGGCTTGCTGAAGGCGGTAGACTTCTGGACCAGATCGCTCTTCTTTCCGGTGATTTGAACGGATCCATCTTGACTGAACTTTGCCAAACGATCCGTCTTGTAGAACTTGACAGCCTCCTTGCTCTCCGCCCACGCGGGCTGCTGCTCAAAAGTAGATAAAGACAAGTCCGCCTTGCTAGCCACCACAAGCTCACCGACAACTCCCAGCGGGGCTAGGCGTCCAGAGTCGGCGGGATTGACGATCCACACGCTCTCGGCCTCCGGATACTCCTCTTGAACGTTCTTCACGCTCTCGGTGCTCAAGCGAGACACCTCGGCCTGGTCCTCCTGCGTCAGGTACGCAACATCGCCAAGCGGCGTGTCGGTAAGCTGGCAGAGCTTCTGGGCCACCTGCGAGAACTGAGCCAGAGCCTTCTCCATCAGCGGCTTCTGGACAGTCTTTGAGTCGAACGAGGCCATAACGAGGAATCCCTTGGGATCCGTGGAGCACACGAGCATGAGGGCGTAGGTGTTGAACTTGAGGGCTTCCTCCGCGGCCTCTGCGTCGCCGGCGGGGACCAGGCGGTTCGCGGGGTACTTGTTGAACTCCTCCTGGTCGAAGTCATCGGCGCTTGGGTGGAGGACAAGACCTGTCCTCAGCTCGCATGCCTCGAGGGCATCAGGGCTGAGACGACGAATGTGCTGGAGACCGGTGTGCTCGTGGGGGATCTGCTGGATGGTTTGATCCTGGATGTCTTGGAGGTAGTCGCTGATAGTAGTCTCTCCGTTGATCTGAAGACGGAAGGGCACGGTTGTGATCATGGGACCCTCGATCTCCTCGGCGCCTCTGATGGGGGCGTTACGTCCGGTGAGTGTTTCACCAAAGACAACGTCGTTTGACGAAGAGTATTGAGACGCGACGTACGCCCACGCACCTCGAATTACTGTCGCTACGGTAGTGTTGGACGCCGGCCGGCCGCTCAAGGGCACGTAAACCTCCAGGAGAGAGTCGGCCTGCGTCTGGTAGCCCTCGTACGGCAGGGCGGGGAACTGAGGTCCGTTGGCACCCTGAAGCTGATCGCGCCAGTACGTCTCGGCGGCGCCGCGGTCCATGCTACCGAGGTACTTGATGAAGTTTTTGAACTCTGCGGGGCGCTGGACTCTTACGCCGTCGAAGGCCCTGTTGACCTTGTCGACGATGAGGGGCATGCACCAGCCGTCGTAGAGGGCGTGGTGCATCGTCAATACGAACTGCACCTTGCCCGTCTCCTTCTGGGTGATGAGCGCGTACCGAACCAGAGGCCTGCCAAGGTCCATACCCTCCTCGCGGTCCTTCACGAGGTAGCCCTGGAGGTCATCACCAACGTGCCAGGCAATGTCCTCCTTGACCACGACCTGAGCGAGGCCGCGGCCAGGGACCTGAACAATCCTGGTGCGAAGGATGGCGCAGTCTGCGGCAGTGACGTCGAAGGCGTTACGAAGCTTGTCTGCCGTCTCGGAGTCGGCGAGCTCGACGACTCTTTGTGCGACGTACGCCTCCTTGACCTTGGCAGAAAGGGCCATCAGGCCCTCCTGAAGGGGCGTGCAGGGGTAGATATCCTCGATCGCAGACTCGTCGATGCCGCAAAGCTTCGCAGATTCTGCGCCGGCCTCCTCGGGATTCCATCCCTCTTCCAGAAGGGAAAAGGGGGCGACAGGGGCCTCGGCATCTTTGGACACCTTGGTCGCATTTTCGGCCATCCCCTTGAGCGTGGGGGAGCTGAAGATGCTTGCTACGGTGAGGGCGATGCCCTCCTCTCTGGCGGCGGCGACGAGCTTCATCGCGCGAAGAGAGTCGCCACCGAGGGCGAAGAAGCTGTCGTGAAGACCGATGCTGGCCTCGCCGCCGAGAATCTTGGCCCAGACCTGCTGCAACGCCTTCTCCATCTCCGTCTCCGGCTCGTTCTTCTCGGCAGGAGCCACGCGTAGGCGGGCGACCTGCTCACGGGACATGGAACCTCCGAGCTCGCGCAGACGCTTGCGGTCAATCTTGCCGGAGACCAAGGAAGGCATTTTGCGCAGGGGGATGTAGGCCGAGGGGACCATGTAGCGGGGGATTTCGGCGCCCAGCGTAATGTCGATCTCGGCGATGGCCTGATTGAACTCGGAAGAGAAGACGGTGACGTCGCCTTCCGACTCGGGGCTGTCGACAGGCTTCTGCTCGACGACAAAGGCGACGAGAGTGGGCTCGCTACCGCCAGGCTTGATGACTTCAGCCACGATCTTGACGCCGGTGGGCATCTTGTCCCTGAGGTGGTGCTCAACCTCGGCCAGCTCGATTCTCTGGCCTCGGAGCTTGACCTGCTGGTCCTTGCGGCCGACGAAGGCGATGGACCCCGTGCCGTCCGGATCGTAGCGGACCAGGTCGCCAGTCTTGTAGAGACGACCGTGTCTGCCGCGGGCAGGGCCGCCGCCTGCAAGGAGCCAGGCGGGGTCCTCAATAAAGACCTCGTCGGTCTTGGTCTTGTCGTTCAGGTATCCCAGGCCGACGACGGGTCCCTCAATGAGAAGCTCGCCAACGGCGCCCACGGGCATCAGACGCTCATGGTCATCCGGATCGACGATCCAGGTGAGACCGCCGCAGCCCTTGCCGATGTTGGTCGAGCTGCTGCTGACGTTGCTATTGATGGTGCAGCCGACGGTGCACTCTGACGGTCCGTAGGCAATGATCACGCTCGTCGTCTTGCTCCATGTCGAGGCGTCGCCCGCGGAGACGGCCTCGCCACCGAGGCCGAGGACTTCGAGAGAAGGGATGACGTCCGGGTCTAGGACACGGGCGACTGAGGGGGTCATGTGCGCCATGTTGCACTTGGAGTTGCGGATGGCACCACTCAAATCATTCATACGGTCCTCGTCCGAAGGAATACAGAGGCAACCACCTGCGGCGAGGGTGCAGAGCATGCAGTCGATGGCAACGTCGAAGGCATACGATGCGAAATCGAAGCAGCGGGAGTGCGCGCGGTAGCCGACGGCCCAGCCACGTGGGATGGCACCACTGGTGAAGTTTTCGTGGGATATCATCACACCCTTGGGCTTTCCTGTGCTCCCGGATGTGAACTGAATGTACAGGGGAGATGATGGCGGGATGTAGGGCAGTTCGGGTGCGAGTTCGAGGGTATCTTGGGTGAGTGTGTCGTCAGAGGCGATGATGAGCGCTCCGTCAGGGGCAATGCGCCGGCCGAGCTCGCTCTGCTTCTGAGAGGTTACGATGACAGTAGCACCAGTCTGTTCGACGATGGTGCGCAGACGGGCCTCGGGCTGGCTGGGATCGGTGAGCGCGAAGGCGGCGCCGGCCTTCATGACGGCCAAAAGAGCCACGGTTGTCCACCGCGACTTCTCGAAGCACATGGGCACCGTCGAGCCGACCTTGACCCCCCGGTGCACAAGATGGCGCGCGAGGCGGGTCGAGAGACGCTCCACATCGCCGTAGGTGAAGTTCCCGTCCCAGGACTCGACAGCCGGCCGGTCGGGGCCATTGCTGGCCACCTCGGCGATGATGTCTTGCATGGTTCTCTGCACGTTCTCCGGGAGCTCGGCGTTCCATGTCCACAGCTGCTCGAGGTCTTTGGCGGTGGGACCGATCGTGTCTCCGATTTGGCGGTATGGGGTTTCGAGGATTGTGGTGAGAATCTCCACGAAGGACTCGAGCTGGGAGATGGCATGGCGATAAGAAAGAGCGGCACGGTCCCATTGGGCATTCACCACCATCTGGCTTTCATTTATCGTCGTCTCGACCTGATATGTCCACTGAAGCCAAGGTCAGCCATCGTGAAAATGAAGCCAGGGGCGTGAAAGCGAATCAGAGTCACGAACGGGCCCACGTACGTCGTACGACCTCTTGGAGGGCGTCTTTCCAAGGTGGTCTTGAGAGGCGGGCGCTCCATTGTTGAAGTATATCACCGGTACTGTTTGCGCGTCACTGTCCAGCTCCCTCTCACTAAGGCCCTTGATGACCTCCAAGGCCTCGGATATCGACTCGCTATTCTTGAACGGCGCCTCGCTCAAGCTCAAGCTGTTGTGAGGCGCGGACGACGATTGCTGACCCTCTCGCGTTCTATATCCCCAATTTACGTGGCTGAGGCCATCGTCGTTGTTGCGGTACAGGACGAGCAGCCATGCAAGGAGCAGTTCATGTCTAAAGTCGCTAACACCACCGGCCTCGGTCCGGGGCGTCACGACAATGGTTCTTGTTGAGGAAGGGTTGACGGCACCGTTGGCCAAGCCGTTTGAGCCGTCAGCATGGCCGTTCTCTTGGTAGGCGGTTCCGCCGCCGTCGACGTCTCGCAAATGCATCGTTCACCTTGGTTACTTTTGGATCGAGGAGTTGTGGCGAGGGAGGGGCAACGATCGTTATGAAGGCCTTCAAGATTGGACTTGTAGCATTTCACAGGCTGGCAAGATTATTACTTCCTCTGTGACAGTCTTTGAGATGTGAGGGATGTTGGATTTCTGGGCCGACAAATTGATCAAGTGACAGGGTGGAGTGCTACCCTTTCGCATAGCAAGACGGAGTCTGGCTTGTGAACCACCAGAGGCTCTTAAGTGCATCTCTGCAGCTCGTCGGGCCGTATCCTTGCATGACAGCCAGGACAACCTTCCTGAATCTGCTAGATCGACGAACCCCATGGCTGGTGCCGCGGCCGAGCTGGTATCCTCGCAGACCGAGCTGGTTCCTGCGGAGGACAAACGGAGTAGGCTTGTGATGGGCACTCTTTTTTTTTGGCCATGCCGGTTGACTATGACGGAGGGCAGATGCGAGCCACAACGGGGCAAGGCCCCTAATCCATGAAGTTGTTCTGGTGGGTATAGCAAGACCCTACCATTACTCGAGTATATTCGGCGTCGGCGCGGACGGACCAATGGGTCTCGCTACCACAATCCAACGATGGACGGACGCCAATCAAGCGAAGGGGACGTCAGACGCAAATGAGTTGCGCACGACACGATGTGAGCACCAATAGGGCAAGAAATATACGACGGGTCCTTTGAACTAAGGCGCCATCATAGCATAGGTTATTGTGGGTGAGGGAGGGGAGAGGTAACAGAAGGGGGGGCGTGTGATGATGTCGTGCGCCAGATGCTATACTACATACCACACTAATGTACGGATAGTTGTACGATGTATCCGTACGATGTATGTATGTATGCATGTGCACTAGTGTATTCGTAGTGCACGCTAGAAAAAGAAGAAGGGAGGGTACAGAGCGGTACCTGGCCGGGGTTGCAGGGAACGGATCTGATTAAAGGCGCCATCGGAGGGTGCCCGCTTGTGGGTCGAAGAGGAGGCCGGGGCAGACACCGGATATCGGCGGTCCTCTAAGAGAGATTTTTGCCTCAGTCTCATCTAAGGGGTTGTATACGAGTAAATAGAAAAGCCACCGAGCGAGAATCGCGGATCTGATAAACTTCAACACGCAGCAGGGCACTGTTGTGTCTGCCGGGGTGTGACCGGCATTATCGTGGCTTCGTCACTTCGTGACTGATGGCTTCGGGTCGAATGTGGGGGGGTTCTAGAGAGTGGAGTGATTGGGTGGCCCTGCCTCACCTCCGAACATTGTACTTATGTGGGCTCCTTCTTCATTCCTGTTGCGGCATTTCCTCAAACCCCCAGGGCCAGTCTGAAATGCCGCGCCAGCTCGGGCTTGGCACTCGAGTTCACAATCTCACCGAGTCGTTATTGTATGGTTCGTGTCAATGCCTGGCCTGAGGATGGGTAAAATCGTGAGCATGGCCCTGTGGGATGTCTTCCTCAAGGAGCGTACTCTGGAAGAATACCTGAGCCTGGGCGCCGTGTGGCTCCAGGACGAGGAGAGAGCCAGGGCCGACGAGTTGACCAACCCTCTCAGTGAAGCCAAAGAGAGGATATGGGGAGGCCGAAAATACGTTTCTGAGTGGACCTCCCTTTAACAGCATAGGTAGTCCTGGTTTTCCCGACCCGGTCTGCACCCCCATGGTTCTTGTGTGCCCCAGTTGTTGATGACACATGTTTTTCTTCTTCCCCGGAACAGACCGGCCATGTCCTTGCAGTGAAACCAGAATGCCAAAGACAAGTTACCGGCACGCTATTGACAAAACAGGGACTCGATATGGCCGAGTTGGCTGAGTTTCCCGTCTATCTGGAGTCGTCCGAGGAGGGTTTCGGTCTTTACAAACGGTTGGGTTTCGAGATGCTCAATGAGAAGATTGTACATCGCGCAGGGCTGCTTTGCGCCGAAAAGGACGTTGAACTCCCTCTGATAGTGAAGATACCGCGGGACTGGAATGGCGTGCTCAAGGATATCCGCCTTTCAAGTGAGCGAGCGCATGGCTGAGTGGGCTGCGATATTAGTTTAGCATGAAAAAAAAAAACCACTAAGGGAATGCGGCCAGGCTCATCCGTAGACTTTCGATCATTGGGGTTCTGGAAGTATCAATATGAGGCAGACCTGCAAGCCAGCCTGAAGACAGCAAAGTTCTTTCTGTGCATAGGTTCATCTGCGGCACCTGCCTGATTATTCTCAGCTTTGTAGTGCCGTGTACACTATGCGGACGATATGTACTAGACGGCACTGCAGCCATTTCCTTGCTTGCATAAAGATCAAGGCCTCTTGGCCGCAGGACGCGAGGGAGTGAGGGAGGAGAGAATGAACGGGTGGGTCGGGGGGGGGGGGGGGGGGAGTGTGTACATCAACACAACAAATGGCATCATGGCGTGAATGAGGATCAGAGTGAAGTACCAGTACGAGTAATCTGTTCCATCGCAAGATGGGCGAAGGCGGGCAATGTAACCTGACGTCTTTGGAATGACGCCGATCCGTGGATGGACAAGGGGTTTAGGGAACGACCAGCGGAGAGAAGCGATTTCGGAGGGGTCATACAGGACGTGCAATATTACCCTGTTCTTGTGGTACCAGGACGATGAGTGGATCACAGACGAGGCGGATGGTTGGAGAAGGTCAGCCAAGAGAAAATTCTGCACGCTGGAGAAGTGAGGATGCTTACCGTAATCTTATCTGATCCCAAGATTTGATTGATTAGATCAAGGTCTCGTGTCTGTACGGCAGAGTGACAGGGATTAGGCGGGTTCTTTTGGTCTTGGTGTGGGGCCGTGCATATTTTTCTTTTTTTCTGAGTGGCCCATCCTCCTGTATGTACGTACCTAGGTACATACAGTGTATCCGTACGTAGGTCTACCTAGTAATACAGGGAACACCTCGGAACTTCATCCACATCCAGGGCAATCACATAGGTATGTCGAACAAGTTCCGCCGCCCGTGCCATATACACTACCTACCTGCCTACCTACCTAGTTAGGTTGGTACACTGTACTCCTCGCCAACACAATATTCTGTTGCGTCTGAGGGGCCCGTCTACTCGACACTACTACCTCGTAACGACGGTGCGCGCAACTCGTCAGTCGAGTGACTACTCACTACAAGCGTCAGCTAGGTAGAGTCCTGCAGTCTTAGCTTGTCCAGCCCAGCGGAGCGGGGACAAGGTAACCTCGCTCGCTTCTCGCTGGATCCAGACGATGGCCGAACGCCGTTCCTCGGTGATGCGATGCAGGGCCCTTCGCGTGAGGAGGGGGTTCCTCCCACATGGAACCGAGCCAGTTATTTCTGCTATGCAACCCGAAGAAATGACAACGCTGTATCGGGTTCACGCAGACACGCTGCTCCTACTTGCCATAGACAATCACAACGGCGACGACAACGATACAGAATTCGCTTGAGAATTGCAATCAAGCAAGCACTCGTTATCAGTAGTCATCTGTCAACACAATGGCCGTGGAACCGTCATCATCAGTACCGGCCTCCGAGCCCTTCGTCCCGGCGCAAAGGCTATCCATCCTCCACGGCCCCCGCGATCCCCCTCTGCTCGACCTCAGCTTGGGTGAGCTCCTGGAGCTCCAGACATACCAGCACGGCACCAGGGAATGCTTGGTGATTCCTTGGACCGGTGCACGATGGACTTACAATGAGCTCAACCAGCAGAGCTTACTGCTCGCACAAGCACTACTTAGGATGGGCATCAAGGCTGGCGACAGAGTGGGCGTCATGGCGGGCAACTGCGAGCAGTATGCCGCCATCTTTTTTGCCGTGTCGAGAATAGGCGCCATCCTAGTCATCCTGAATAATACCTACACGCCTAGCGAAGCCATGTATGCTGTCCAGTTCTCAGGTAGGTCTTCGTTGCGACTGTGGACGGGGCCCAGGCTAATGGAATTGGTAGAATGCAAGATCCTCTTCACCACCAAACAGATCGGAAGGCTCGACAACACAAAGTTTCTCGCTCAGTTGGAGAAGGAAGTCAACGGACCCAAGGTTGTCATGATCCGGGGCGATACGAGCGGATACCAGACATACGACGAACTCGTCAAGTCAAGCTCACGGCAGAGCCCGCGGGAACTTCACCTTGCCATGGGCAAGGTTGTTCCGCACCAAGTCTGCAACCTCCAATTCACCAGCGGTACTACTGGCCGCCCCAAAGCTGCCATGCTCACTCACCAGTAAGCTTACTCAGTGTCATTCGTGAAGCCGACGTTGCTGACTTCAATTCCAGCAACATCGTCAACAACGCTCGGTTCATAGGTGACCGCATGCGTCTGAGTCCCGAGGATGTTCTCTGCTGCCCGCCTCCCCTTTTCCACTGCTTCGGTCTCGTCCTGGGTCTCATGGCTGTCATCACACACGGTGCCAAGATCGTGTACCCAGCAGAGGTTTTTGACACAAAGGCGACGCTGAAGGCCATCCTTGAGGAGGACTGCACAGCACTTCATGGCGTACCTGCCATGTTCGACTCCCTGTTCCAGGCGGCGCCCGATGACTTCAAGTCTTCCAAGATCCGCACCGGCATCGTTGCCGGAGCTCCCGTGCCCCGGTACCTTATGGAGTTGATGGTCAACCGTCTTGGCATGAAGGAGTTTACCAGTAGTTACGGTCTTACCGAGGCTTCTCCCACGTGCTTCAACGCCTTCACGGACGATGCCCTGGGCAAAAGGTTGACGACTGTCGGTACGCTCATGCCCCACGCCTCGGCCAAGATTGTCGACAGAGACGGCAACATCGTTCCCATGGGCGAGCGCGGCGAGCTGTGCATGGCCGGCTACCAACTGCAGGCTGGCTACTGGAACAACTCGGAGAAGACCAACGAGGTCATGGTCCGCGACGCGGCCGGCGTCTTGTGGCTTCACACTGGTGACGAGGCAGTCTTTGACAACGACGGATACTGTTCCATCACGGGACGTTTCAAGGACATCATCATCCGAGGTAGGCCGCGACACCCATCGCCCACCAGCTTCTTTTCCTCGCTGACACGTCTATTACAGGAGGTGAAAACATCTACCCCCTGGAGATCGAGGAGCGCCTCATGGCCCACCCGTCCATCTCGCAGGCCATTGTCGTGGGCCTCAAGGACGAGCACTACGGCGAGGTGGTCGGCGCCTTCGTACAACGCGCCGAGAACTCGGAGAAGCCGACGTTCCTGGAGCTCAAGGACTGGGTGCGGCAGCGCCTCGGCGGGCACAAGAGCCCCGCTCACATCTTCTGGCTCGGCGAGGACGGCGTCCCCGGCAACGTTCCCTTGACGGGCAGCGGCAAGGTGCGCAAGTTTGAGATGGCCAAGGTGGGCGACGAGCTTCTCAAGAAGAGCAGGACCGTCACCGCCAAGTTGTAATATTTTGCAGCCGTGCTGGCATGAGGTATGTAACGAGTGTTGAGAGAGCGATATCATGTACAAAGTTCACTTGCGTTTTGTTTTCCGTCAAATGAATGGAATTCCCCCCGTTTGGGCCGGTTAGAATAGGGTATGTCTGTCTGTCTGTCGTTGAATAGATTTCTTTAACAGCAATGATAATATTGTCCAAACTCTCATCGTTACATTCTCTGGGGGGGCGCTCAATTGGTTACCAACGGCTTTGGCGTTGTCAGAATGGGCAATGACCAAGGATCGCAAGTGAGGCCAAATCTTCAACGACCCTCCATGAATGACTCCTTTCGCTCATTTGGGTTAGGCCGGCTTACCTCGCACAGCACCATGGGTCCTTTGGAGAGACACTGGCCGCCGCTCACTGGCCAATCCATTCTTTTTGATTTATCTCGTCGCTTGCGGTTGTCGCGACCTGTTCCCCCTCCCCCAAAACCATGGTTACGTTTCCAATGTCCGTCGCCAAAAAGAGGTCCAACGGCAGGATTCTTAATTTCAAGTCGCATCAGTGAGTCATGTCTTTTTTTTTTTTTTTTTTTTTTTTTTTTGGCGCAGCCGTCGCAGACTTTCGTATTGGAGTCGGAAGACTCGCACGGGTTACGAACAGAGGCATAGAGGCATGGAGGGAAATCATCCATATATAATCTACGGGTTTCTGCTCACGGCGAATCCCCATCAGCATCGGCAACTTCATAGACACATCCACACCGTCAGCAATTCTACACTGTCAGCGTCACCCGAAGAGATACTGCACGCCGCTATCACTGAATCTTAACCTAGTATATCTTTCTCCCACCTTTTCACTCTGTAACAATGTCTCAACCATCGTCACCCCCCTCTCCGGTCCTTCTTTCCCTCGCAAAGGCTTACCTTCATGACCCGGCCCATCTCCACAAAATCATCATCCCGCAACTAACCCACCGCCTGCGCCTCGCGACCCTCTGGTCCATCGCACCCTCGACAAAAGTCCTCGACATCGGCTGCGGCCAGGGCGACTCAGCGCTCGCCCTCGCCCACGTTGTGGGTTCGCTCCCTCCGGATGCAAGCGACACCGCCAGCGCCGGGGCGGCGCCATCAGATGGCCCACCCGGCACCAGCCCCGGCCACGTAACGGGCCTGGACCCCGCCCCTGGTGGCTACGGCTCCCCGTACACCCTCGCCGAATCCCAGGCCCACATCCTCTCCTCCCCCTACGGCGCGCGCGTCACCTTCCATCAGTCCGACGCGCCGGGCTACCTCGCCGCCCACCCCTCCGCGTCCTTCGACTACGCGACCCTGTGCCACTCGCTGTGGTACTTCCCTTCCGCCGCCGCCGTCTCCGCCCTCTTTGAGGCGCTGCACTCGTCGGGGCGGGTTGGGAGGCTCTGCTTCGCCGAGTACTCCCTCAAAGCCAGTACCCCCTCTCAGAAGCCGCACGAGATGGCCGTCGCGGTCCAGAGGCGGTTCCACCAGCTCCGCGGGGATAGGGGGTTCACCCTGAGCCAGGCCAATGTCCGCGGCGCGCTGGACCCGGACGATATGGTGACCCTGGCGCAGGGGGCCGGGTGGAAGCTGAAGAAAAGGGGCGTGGTTGATACGCCGGGGATGCTGGATGGGCAGTGGGAGGTCGGTGCCGTGGTTGATCCTAGCTGGGCGGAGGAGGTTGTCGGAGAGGGCTTGGCAAAGGAGGTAGAAGAGGAGCTGCTGGGAAATGTTGCTGACATCAAGGCTGCCGTCGCCAACTTGAAGGAGAACGGGGAGAGTGTTGCGACGATGGATGCTGTCTGGGTGGTTATGGAGCCTTGAGGTATTGGTCAATGCTAAGCCGTCAGCAGTTCCCAATGTCATGTAGAGGCAGATTCTCACCAAGTATATTCGGTACACAAATACATCGTAATTATTGGTCTGTCACCCTTGCGCATTTTTCCCTCCCACTTGGAAACATTGACTTCGGTCTGCTTGGAAACCTTGACGCGAAGGTCCTTTCAAGTGGCCACACAGACGACCTTGAGAACCACGATAGCGGCCATACTGAATAACGTTGCTAGGGGTTTGGCTTGAAGATGCTTAGAATCGGCACACGAGGCGGCAATGTATAATTGTGATAATGATCCACGTGAGTACCTAGGTGGTCGAAAGCCGCATCGTCACGGGCCAGGATTGACACTCATGCGGCAGCTACGACAGCGCGGGGTTGTTGCCCTTTCATGCCCATGTCACAACTTTGTCTCGACATATCTTGCCTCGTTGTCTTCTCTCGAGCAACTTGTCTGATCTTGTACCGTCCCGCAGACAGCGGTTCCTGTTCGAACATGCATATGCACAATCGCTATCACATACTTTCCGACAACAGACGACAACGCCGCAGACATTCTCAGGGGCTTAACTACTTCTTAGGGTACAGAACAGTCTTGGACCTTGTAGCCTGTAGGACGGATGCTTCTCGGTGCATATGGCACAATAGCACGTTCCCAGCAGCTCGGAATTGGCCCATAATCATCTTTACCAAGGCCATTGGTAGCTGACCAGGGCATTAGACGACATAGCGTAAAGTGTTGTCCCGAACTCAATACAATACTGATGATAGACAAGACGAACAGGCCCGCGACCATGCTAGCGACCATTGTCCGGCCTAAATGTGTAACAGGTTGTCGAGAGCTTGCAACGGCCTAGATGGCAGGCAATGGTGTGCACTGTTCAGCGGCCGAATGACGATGATGTGGGTGTCTAGCATGGATGGACCGCGACGAGCTGCAGCCAACTGTGGTGGACACAATCATCAGCCCGCCACATGCCGATGATGGTACTCGAAACCAGACCACTAGCACCAAGGCTGACCTTGGCCCCATCACGGCATTGCCTTGACTGGAGCAAAAGACGATGGGACGCTATGAATCGTGGCATCGAACTTATCAATCGCGGGTGGGGTCGTAATACTTGAAGGTACCTGGGCTGGTAAACGTGGACCTGGCCTGGCCGATGGGGACAACGAGGACAATGGGGGGGGGGGGGGGGCGAAGTGTCCATCGGGCGATCCTTTTCATGCCCTGCTAGGTCCTGGGAAGCTTGAGCTTCAGGGCAAGAAAAGACCACACGCAGTTGACTGCTGAGCGCGAACCAAGAAGGGCCCGTCCTAGGCAATGGAGGGGGGAAAGAGTCAGCCCCTTCGGAGGAGGTGCGTTGTCTCCCACGCATCTGCCAAAACAGGCTCCTTCGTCCGGATTAAACCCCACACAAGTTGTTGCTAGGAATACCCCTCAATGAGCACGGCAGGTTTGGGATGTTGAAGCAGACCCCTCGATGTACCGGTACGAACTCCCTACCTACTGCCCGCTCGTTTAGCCCCACCCGTGAGAAAATTTTTATTCCATCTTATCAGATCCGGCTGATGTCCGCTCCGAGTGGGCCGAGACAGCTCCGACGCCGGAGCTATGACCGAACTGGGCTTCAATAGAGTTATCAGATCCGCCTAGGACAAGCCAGTGCAGCCACCTTCCCAGGAGAAAACAACGAAGCCAAGCGCCATATGGACGCACGCAGCTGACTTGATGGGAGCCACCTCAAAAAATGAATCACAGCCCTGACCGCTAGCTACTATGTAGTCTCTGTTATCAGATCCGTCCTAAATCTGGAGCGCGCTGGGAAAATCCAAGTTCTCGGAACAATCCTGCCCTCAGACCTCAAGCCATGGTTTGTCTGCGAATGCTCGGCGTGGACTAGTAGTGTAACCGAGGGGCGGGAGACCCTGCCACATCCACGCCCATCATCGTTCGATCTGGTTCCTTTTTGTACATTTGCGTACCTTTTTTTTTTTCTCTTCTTCTCATATACACTTACCCCTCTCCCCCCCTTAAAGCTGTCGCAGGGCCAAGGTACAAGCGGACCCCGCCGTCAACCTCCTCTGCCCACCACCCTAGGGACTTATGGTTGACGGTGTGATGGAAACGATGGCATGACCCGGTCGTGGAGCTGCAAGATTCTTCGGCTCCTCACTTTACACCGTCGCACCCTGCCGACCATCGACGAATTTCCTTGGACAGTGGCATGGCAGAACGAGTGAGTAGCCGGCATCCGCCGCACCGAGGCCAGGGTGGTTGGAATACCGACAAGGGGGTCAATGGCGTTTGTTCAGGGTGGTTTGCCAAAAGAGTAGGCGGTGTTGACAGATCTCCGTGAAGCTCCGAGGACGAAGCTCACTTTCTTCCCCAAACTTGTATCGTCTATCGTATCCGGCACTTGAAGGCTGCGAACAACATCACATCAAACTTGTCTAAGCTCTGAGGAACCTTTTCCCATCTCTTGATACCCTCCTCACAGCTTGTTCATTCCCGATCAGACCTTTGATCCCGCAATTAGTCGGCCAAATAGACGACGGAACCGCAGCCATGTCTGCAACAGTCTCCCTCTCCTCCGTCTCCTCTAGTGAGAGCATCATCAAGCTCCCTCACCCGTACCACACCGAGTACGCAGTTCAACGCGCCTTCAACCACGACACCTTTGCCGGCAAGACCTCCGAGGGCGGTCTTCACTTCTACCGTCTCGCCCCCCTTGCCCCCACCAAGGGCACCAGGCAGGCCGCCCTCCCCGAGCGTCTTCACAGCGAGAACCTCTACTTCACAGAGCCCGCGGACCTCAAGTCCAGCGAGCTCCCTGCCGACTCCAACAACAGCGCGTGGGCTCGTGCCCGCCGCTCCCCGAGCACAGTCTTCTCCTGGGACGGTAAGACGACGCCCACACTCGCCCAGGCGTGGCTTCTCGTCTACGTCCTCTTCGTCCTGCGCCCTGCCGAGGAGCTCGTCCGCATCGAGCTCCGGGGTGCAGGCGCCGATACCCTTGGCCAGCGGCTACGCGACGTCATGCTCGCCATCGAGCACCCTATACAGAATGAGACGCAGAAGCCCGCCTCCACGGCGAAGCTGACCACTGTTGTCCTCCTCCGCTCCGCCTTCTGGCAGGGCGCCGGCTCCCCCTTCGGCCCCCGTCCCGTCTGGCTCCCTTCTGGGTCCCCCGCCAGCCTCGAGCGCCCTCTGTCCTCCTACCCCATCACGCCGCTTCAGCACACCATGACGGCCGTCGCGGCCTCGGACCCGGCGAACCCCAACCTTTACCAGCAGGCCTGGCACCCGATACGCCCAGCCAAGCCCGCGCCTGGCGTCACAGTCTACAGCCGCTGGATCCCGCACCTGCGCGAGACCTTCTCCATGGTCGCGCTCGACTACAAGAACCCGGAGCACCTGCGCCTCTTCCACGAGTGGCAGAACGACCCGCGCGTGTCGCAGGGCTGGAACGAGACGGGCACGCTCGACCAGCACCGCGAGTACCTGCGCAAGATCGACGAGGATCCGCACCAGTTCGCCATCCTCGCCGCGTGGGAGGACACCTTCTTTGCCTACTTTGAGGTCTACTGGGCCAAGGTGCGTTCGCTCCCTCTCCCCCCTCCCCTCCTCCCCACAGAAGTCGTAAGGACCAGTCGCTAACACTCGGGGGTTTCTCACAGGAGGACAAGCTGGGCGGCTACTACGACGCGCAGGACTGGGACCGCGGCCGCCACTCGCTGGTCGGCGACGTGCGCTTCCGCGGCCCGCACCGCGTGACGGCCTGGTGGTCCTCGCTGATGCACTTCCTCTTCCTCGACGACCCGCGAACGAGCTGGGTCGTCGGCGAGCCCAAGAAGACCAACGACACGGTGCTCATGTACGACTTCATGCACGGCTTCGGCCTCGACAAGTTCGTCGACCTGCCGCACAAGCGCAGCGCCTTTGTGCGGTGCTCGCGCGAGCGCTTCTTCCAGCTGTGCCCGCTCGGGGACAACGAGAAAGTCGTCGGCGGCATGCGCATCCAGCTGGTGCCCAAGTTGTGAGCACAGGGTGTACAACGAGTGACGCGGATGGGGTGGTGTAAGTGAACAGATTTTAACCCCCACGGTCGGAATGTGGGTGGAATGGATGTACATACATGGATGAATACGTGCGAAAAGTACGGACGGGCTTGCGGTGTCAATTCGGTGTAAAATCTCGTTAAGCTTCAAGCGGACCACCTTGTCGATCTTCATTGTGTGTGTGTGTGATATACTCGTAGAGTGCCAGGGAGAACCCCCGACGGCGTAACTCTGGTTTGTACAGCATGTGCGCGGGCATGTAATACTTCGTGGAAACATCATCGTGTGGTAAGTATTCAAAGCCTAGCTAATTCTGTACATGAATTGCCAGACAAGCAAGCTATTTGTCCCGCCGTCATTCCTCCCAAGAACACCGTTACCCCAAAAAGAACCCAATCCTGATGCGAGAGAAAATAGACAAGAATTCGTAGTAAGATGGCGCCGTTTTTGTTTTCTTCATCCTTCGTAGATGCATGGAGAAATCAAGAGTCGGGAGCCTGTCCCAGCTTCAGGTGGTTCCAGCAGTCTGCGCGGCATAACCCGGTTAGCAATCAATCAATCTGGACCATGTCGAGGGGACGATGAAAAGGAGCTACTCACTGTCGAAGCCGAGGTCGTCCTTGAAGTAGGCCTGCATGACATCCTCACCCCACGTGGTGCCCACCCCGGGCCCGCTGGCAACGGCTTTCTTGCCAATTGCCAGGCCGATCATGGGCTCGATGTGGTCGAGCTCCGAAAACGTGGGCTTGTGGGTTTGGCCTGTCAGCTTGGCCAGCATGAGCTGGTGCGCGTTGATGGCGGCGTAGTGGCCCATGTGCATCGCCGTGCCACAACGCTTGATGCCCGACCAGAGCGCAATATCGCCGACGGCGAGGTGGTCCTGCGCATTGGGCACATCGCCCGACAGCACCAAATTCGGGTGCACCTTGACGTACCCTTCCGCGTCCTTGGCCGCGGCGGAGAGGTAGTCCGTCGACGGAACGCTGCGCGAGATGGCCATAATGACCTGGGACGCGAGGAGCCGGGTGCCGTTGGTGAACTCGATCCCATAGCGCGGGCGGCCGTTGTCGGCGGCGGCGTCGAGCCTGCGCGTCTCCTTGACGCGGTGGCTCATGAGGACCTCAACGCCGGCCTCGCGGGTGAGCTCGAGCGCCTTGTCCTTGCAATCGTCCGGCAGGTCCTCGGAGGAGAGGAGCTTGTCGCGGGAGTGGACGAGGGTGACCTTGGTCTGTGGCTCCGACAGCTTGAGCTCGGCGGCCATCTCGATGCCAACGGCGCCACCGCCAACGACAACGACGCCGTCAGGGGCATCCTGGACGGAGCGGATTTGCTCCTCGGCCTCGAGGAGGAACTGTTTCCGCGTCAGGGACTTGGGCACGACGGGGAAGACACGGCGCAGGCCCGAGGCGGCGATGAGGAAGTCGTATGAGAAGTCCCGGGGTTGCTGGGTGGCGTGGTCAAGAACGGTGGCCGTCTTGGTGGCCGTGTCGACCTTGGAGACAGAGCCTTGGACGAAGCGCACGTTGGGCCGCTTCAGCGCGGGGATGTCTTCAAACTTGACCCAGGACTTTGCTGCGTATTTGGCGTCGGCGAAGGCGAGCGGCGTGCCGATTATGTGGACTTTGGGTACGTATGGTCAGCGGGTCTGTTCTGGTTGAACCAAAGCTGGGCTGTGGTCGCCTTACAGTATCCATCGCGCTCGTCGGCGAAGGTGATGTCGAGAGGGATGTTCTTGAAGTCCGGGTGGTGCTCGTAGGGGGTGTAAGCGAGACGAGGAGGTTTGCCGCTGCTCAGGTCGAGCAGGTTCAACGCCGCAGAGACGCCGCCGTATGAAATTCCGACGATGAAGACCCTGACGGGTGGGATAGCGCCGGGAAGAGAGCCCATCTTGTCTTTGTCTGCCTTTTCTGGGCTGTTCTTGGTTGGAACGGGAAGGGTTTGCGTCCAAGGGAGGGGGCTAAGCAGAAGAAGAAGAAGAATAAGAAGAAGAAGAAGAACCGGTTGAAGCTGCTGGGCGCTGCTAGTGACCGGTTAGGGAGACGAAGGCAAGAAGAAGCGGACGAAGCGTGTGAGGATGCAGATGCGGCGGGGAACATTTGCGTAGTCGCCAGTAGACATAAAGATGGAGCCCATCGGAAGCCGAGCGGAGGGCTTGCATCAGAACGGTATCGCTCTGCGCGAGCAACAGAGAGACTGGCCAAGCAGGGATCCAGGCTCACCCCTCAGGTACTTGGCAACAGACAGAAAGGAGGGCAACGACGACGGCATCGACAGGGGCAGATTAAGCCGAGGGCTAGCTCGGAGAATGAGACACACTGCAGCCGAGACGGCAGGGCGGTCTGCTGGAATATCTGTACACTAATGTGGAGGGGCTGTCCCGGTGACAATTATTAGATGGTGGAGGACTTAGAGTTATCAGATCCGTCCAGTGCCAAGCAAGCCACTCCCCTAGCCCGGGGTTCTTCAGGTACTGTCTTGCTAGGATCAAGCCATTGCCTGATACGGACAAGTAGAAAAAAAAGTTCGCGTTCGTCGGGTCTGAAGGATTCGATCTTATCTATCTCGGGCTCCTTTGCGTCCCGTCTCCGAGCTGAGCTGGACTAGGTGATGGATCGGCCGTTGAAGCTAATGTCGACCATCAGTGGCCGGGAACTGGCTCCTCATTGTGACACCTCATGTACACTACTCAGGGTTGGTCGGTTCCTTTGACAAATTCGACCCGAAGTGGGTGTATGAGTGGGCGACCCGGCGTGTGGGCGCTGGAGGGGCAGCATCCAGGAATGCGCCATTTTCCCCAGGAACTGACATCGCGCCGTCTGACTAGAATTTGTGACCCGGGTGTACAAGTACGTGGTGTATAAGAAGAGGGGGAAAAGGTGACGAAGTATCCGTATGAATAATACCTGTACACTAAGTTCGTGCAGATCCGCAGAAAAAGGAACAGGGATTCCGTACCTTTCGTACCCGCTCTAGTAGAGGGAAACGAGCCTTACTGAATGCGGAAGGAACACGCCCCCCTGGCTCCGCCAAGACAAATTATCTGATCCGAACCCTACGCCCAGCCCCACACCAACATCTCCCTCGTCTTTACATTTTCTTCGCCCTCCCGAGGCTTTCTCGTCGTTGCTATCGACGCTATCGCGAGAGCTCCGTCATCTTGACTACCAGAAATGAGCCTCCCACTATCCCTTCGGGCTATGATAATTACTACACGTATAACGGGATATCGACAAGTATCCCGTTCCTCGACTAGCTAACTGCACCCGAAACACGGCAACTCCTTCCGGATCAGAGTGTCAGTCATTATGCCCGGCCAAGACCCAAGAGCGATTTCGGCCGATCGGGCCCCTAATGATGTCTCGGAGTCACCAGAGCAGCAACAGACGACGGGTATCGTGAAACCCAACTTAAGCTCCCCCTTCCCCATCATGGGAGTTCTCTTTGACTAGCCTATTGACAACACGAATGGCGCGACATGCTTCGAGGGTGTTGGTGACGCGGGCGCTTACCAGGACGCTGAAATTGATAAACTGCTCAAGATTGGGTACGTCGGCTTCATCACCTCATTCCTCATCACAGCCTGCCATCGGGTTTATCAGGTACGTGCCGTTGGCAGGCATGCTTGTATGGCTCATCCCCCGTGTGCTTGATTGCGTCCATCGCCTGTGGCGGTTGTGTCCAGAATAGACAGGGACTATATCCGATGACACGGCGAAGGTTTCTTCAATCTCATTGGAGGCTCTATCTCATGTTGCTGTGATTCAGGCCTTTAGCGCAAGGCCTCGCTTGGAGTTGGAATTCTCGTAGCACGTAACGATAGCCCGGAAAGAGGGTACCAAGGAAGACGTCGGTACTGTTTCCAAGCCCGGATTGTTGTACTTCATTGCCTACTCCGCAAACACCTTTGCGTACTGGCAAGGTAGCACAGCCATCGTGGCCTCTGTAGCCGGAACGGATAATGGCACTTCTGTAGGCGATATGTATACGGTTATATTCCTGATCATTGATAGTATGTTTACAAAGCCTGTGGAAAAAGCCTGTGGAAGCTGCGCACTTGTGCTAATCGCTTCTAGCTTGTATTATGTTTGGCAAAATTATACCCCTATTCCCCCTATTCGGCTCGGCGTCTACTGCATCCCCCAAGCTTCGAGCCGATATCGATTCGCAATCCAATATTGACTCGGTGGCCGAAGACTAAAGAAACGCCCTCTAGTATCACTTCGGGTGGTCAAGCTGCGCGGCGTGACCTTGGCCTATCCATCTCGGCCCAACATAGACACGCTCAAGAACGTCTCTCATGTGCCCTTGTGGGAAGTACACCGCTATGGTTGGCCTCTCCGGAAATGGTAAATCAACGATTGCCGACCTGCAACAAGAGTTCATGATTCCAAACAAGGCACAATCATATTTATAGCCACGACATCCGTACCCTGAACGTGAGGAACGTTCGCAGTTACGTCACCTTCGTCCGGCAGGAGCCATCCCTTCTCGCTCGTCGCAAGCATGGATTCAGAACGGCTGTTTGCGACGGCGACAAGCTCGTCAGGGGCGGGCAGAAGCAGCGCGTTCCTCTGGGGCGAGCTCTCATCTGTGACCCCAATATTCTTATTCTTGATGAGGTCATTGCCTCGTTGGACTCTGTCGGATAACACCGGATCCAGATGGCTGTCGAGATTTTGTCCCAAGGGTAGAACCTTAATCTCTATTGCGTATCGACTCTCCACGATCATAAGAGCAGATAGAATCATTACCATGAACGCCGTGTACATCATCAAGGAAGGGACTCATGCTGATCTGATCGTACGTAACGGAATTAACGCCAATCTAGTGACCTTGCGAAACATCCACGCCGTTAAAGAGGGTGAGGCACCCTCTCTCACCAGCACTGCCGTCGAGTCCTCGGCCGCCTCGATCAGCATCGAGAAGCATGGTGGTGACTCGGTGGATCTTGCTCAGTCCATCAAGGCAGAAACAGACGATAATGAATCCGAGAAACCTTCGACATCCAAGAAGAGTAAGGAAAACAAACAGCAATCTGCGGCGGAAGAACCCCGGGATGGCGGCCTCCCAGATCCTCAACCTTTTAGACCTCGATAAGTCCGAGAGCGGCAAGGAGAACAGAGGTCCGTCCGGGGACAAGGGACAAGGACGTTGAGGCCCTCGCCGAGTCCAAGGCCCACCCATCCCCAGGCCGAGGCGGCGTGTCCGTTTCTTTGAAGGGCGTATCGTTCTCCTATCCCACTCCCCCCGGAGGTGTTGATTCTCGACAACATGTTCCTTGCCATCTAGCCAGGCTAGTTCTGCGGCCTCGCCGGGCCCTCGGGCGCCTGGAAATCCACCATTATGGCCCTCGTCCAACGCATGTACAAGCGGGGCGCCGGCACGATCGAGATCGACGGCGTCGACATCGCCGCGCTCGAAGCCACCAGCTTCCGCGACGACAGTGTGCTTCAACGTCGACTTCAGCGCGATGGAACAGATGCTCGGTCACTGACGGTGCCGCGTTCCCGTGTCGCCTGCCCCGCGGCTTCAGGGCCCCTGGTCCCCGTGATAAAAGTAATGTAATGCGAAATCTTGGGGAACCAGGGTCGGGTATGGAAATGAAGCCTACCCGGAGAAATCAATACTGGTGCAGTTCGTCTTGGAGCCAACACATGATCCGATCTATTCTGCAGTCCGATGTCCGCCCGTGTCATCTCACTCTCAGACGTGCCATCTGTTCGCCCGAGCATTCAAGCTCGGCCCACTGATGCAGTCCCAACAGCCTCATGCATGATGCCGGGGCGAACTGAACCTCTCGCGGTCGGGGTCTCGGAGGGCTCGACTTTTCCGCCGTAGTGGTCGAACTTTGGGATTGGCTCTCTGACCATGATCCAGGGCCCGTCTCTGCACGTTTTGGATCGCTTCATTCCGCGACCTAGACTGTCTGCCGTCACATACAATACCGTGGCTTCGATCTCTTGAGGAATGAATGGGTTTCAAAGTGACACGTGGGACAACACTCATGATGCGAGAAGTCGGTCGAGGTAGGCGTAGATGATGTGCTAATGGATGGTATGCTATACGACATGCCAAGGTCACCCACAGGGGAAGGGAGGAAAGAGAGGGTGATAAAGAGATGTGGAGAAGGCGATTGAACATGCGATCTAAGGAAACCACTTTCAAATCCACGAAGCTAATTTCCATGCAACGTTCTTACAAGCCTTCATGTCTCGGTGAGTTCCCAAGCCGCGCGGGAGTTTCTTCCGTGATCGGTTAAGGGCCGCGCCTGACCCTGTCCTGTGATCCCGCGCGATAACATGACTGCGTTTCTTCGTCATAAACCCCTGCTTCGGAGGGAAACCAATATCCGTGTGAAAACCCATTCCAAAAGTGCTAAACCGTGCATAGCAGACCGAAACGCCGTGAACATTCTGAAGCCGTTAGGTTACTAGACCATCAGAAAGTTGGGAAGCTTAAGCCGTCTCGAAGCCGCCAAACGTGTTCTCGCCGGAGTAGGTGATGTAGAGGAAACTGATAGGGAGAATGTTAGCACAACCGAATCGGAAGGGCATTGAGAAGCTTAGTAACATACCCGTCCTCGTCCTTGTGCTCCTCGTAGATGCTGCTCATCAGAGCAGCAGTGGGCGGCAACACCTCATCGACGAAGATGAAGATGGCCTTCTCCGGGGAGAGCTTGATGCGTTTGCGGATGACGTAGACGAACTGACCGACCGTCAGGTCCGCGGGAACGAGATACTTCTTCTTGTCGATAGTAGCGATGTCAGACTTCTCGACCTTCTCGCAGATAACCTGTGGTGTGAGAAACTTGGTTAGCTTCAGGCCCTTGATGATAGATATGGAGACCGGCGGTGACGGTCGGAGAACGTGGGGCGCCGCCGATAAGGCGCGAAGCTGACGAATGCAGCGTAGCGACAGCCACCAGACGGTGAAGCTCCCAACGAACCACGGCGAAAAAACGAGGCACAGATAGGAAAGCAAGTAAGCCTACAGGAATACGGTCAGAGTACTTCTGGCGGATGCGCTCAGCCTCGGCCTTGCGCTTCTCAAAGGGGTGCTCGTCCTTGAACTTGGATCGCATGATGACGGGTTGTGGGTGGACGATGGGAAAGTGTGTTGTGGTTCTGTGGATGGGCTGCTCCTGCAGAGTTAGGTGGCGGTCAAGATATAGATGGCGAAATGTCCGTCGACAGTGGTAATTGCTTGGGCCGGAGTATGTAGAAGGGAGAGTTTAGGTGACGAGGGGCTCGTTTGCGAAGGCAGAAGAAGGACGGATAGGTTGCCGCCTGCTTTGGCTTGGGGTGCCTTGGGGTCAGACATGGGAATGGGCGGTCACTGACTGAAGGTGTGTCTGGGTGGCTCAGGCGCGCCAGGCAGGCGGGTGGTTGGTTGGCTGGCTTGCGTGCCCAGAAAGGCTAGGAAGCTAGGTAGGTAGGTACCCTCACGGTGTGCTGCGGCTGGGAGGGTACTTTGCCGGAACTGGAGCGACAACATGACTAAGCCGGGCAGAGTGCGGAACCCCACGCCCCCTCCTTCTCTTCCCCTCCTTATCCTCAACCTCACTTCCCGACCTTATCCTTATCGGATTATCGGAGCGGGGCAAGACACCGATATCATCCCAGCTAGCCCAACCAGGCCGGTGCAGGCGCAGGTGACCAACGACGCAGCCACTTGACACAGTCTGGCAGTCTGTCACGCCTTCTGGCTCCGGCCTTTGAGTCACAGGAGGCCCTGGCACACTGGCTCTTTGTGCTGCATTTCTCGACTGAAATTGCTGAAGAGACTCACGGGATCACGGAGCATGCGACCTCCTGATACGTGCACGCAACTGCTTTTGTCTGTGCTTCGTAAAATTGTTAAACTGCTTGATGTGCATTGTCAGCTCTGGACGAGATGCTACAATACCTTATCCGGCATCCTCGCCTTGACGTCATTCATCCCCTGTAAGAGGTGAGTAAGGCTCTGATCGGCGACAGCGGAAGTGTTGGATAACTCGTCAACTTGGATAACGTGAGGGGAAATATTAGTCAGAAACCGAATAAATGCAGCGCTAGGCTAAAAAAGGCCCCTTTTTCATTAGCAGAGTTTGCCTATAAGAAACCTTACCATTTCACCACATACCTAGATAGAATTCACTTTCTGCTGCCTAAAAAGAGGGGAAATGTTATATAACTACCCTACTACTACCTATTTTGTTATAAAGGCCTTATAAGTTGCCTATAATAAATCTAACTGTTATCTATTATAGTAAAACCTTAGTTAGTAGGCACTTTATAATAGATTACACCTAACTGTTAGTGCTTACTATAGCCTCTATTATACCTATTATAACTATATCTAACTATAGCTAACTAGTAGCTAAAAAAGAGGTTATTAATAAAGGTAGCGTAATAAAGGCGTAAAGACTTTACTAGTAGTTACTTAATAGGTTATATTATTACTTTTATAATACCTTTTAAATAAGTAAAAGATAGTTTTACGTACTTATAAGGTAGCTATAAGATAACATACCGCTATAGTTATTATAATAGTTAATAGTTAAGCAGAAGGTGCTTATCTATCTATTTATCTTTATAATTTAGGCGTTATAGTAAATAACTAGTTACTTCTTTAAGGTTAGCTAGTTAACTATCTTACTAGTGTTTAATAAGGTTATACTATACCTTATTACCCTCTATAAGACGTATATAAAAAGGCTATTAGAAGGTAAAGTCTTACTTAAAGTAGAGACTAACAAAAAGTAAAAAGAATTTACTAGCTATATAAGCGCTATTAATAGGACCTTAATACCTATATACCTCCTAGATAATAAATAATTTACGTAGTAAAGTTATAAGGGTACTGTTTTATAAAATGTCTTTATAGTAGTCTATTTTAATAAGAGCTTCTTATACATGCTTACTAGGGCTAAAGGATTAATCTATAATATAAGCCTAATCTCTTACGCCTTTAACAGAGGATTTAGTGTCCTAAGGGGTTAATATTTCTTAGTAGATACTAGGTTTAGTAAATAAAGCGGTATTATACTTCCTTATAATTAAATACGTTATTATCTATAAGACTAAAGAGATTCTAGGTAACTACTAGAAACAGTAGAGGAGCTATATAACTTACGCTATAGTTATCTTTACGTTATAGTTAAGTAGGTCTTTAGCTAGTTAAAAAAGAAGTAGTAGATTCTTAGTAGGCAGGCGCTAAAGTATAAGATTATAACCTAAGTAAAAATTATATATATAGTTATAGCCTTATATAACTTCCTTATTTATTATTATAAAAAAAGATGTTAATAAAAGGAAATACCTAATAAAGTTAATATTATTATAATAAGAAGTAAGGCTAACTAGTTATATAAAAAGTAAAGTAAGGTTATATTAGAAGTAAGAATATCTCTAAGTATTCTTATACTTCTTTATCTTATATTTCCTCTATTATAGAGGTTATATATATATAAGATATATATATTTATAATCTACTTACTTAGTAGATTAATATATATATTGATTACGTAAGCATGTCTGATTACGTAATCAACCGAAGATTGGAGAAGGTACTAGAATGTCCAAGATCTCTCCAGATCCTACCTTCTACCTCTGTTATTCCTATAAGGTTATTGTTTTAAGTTAGGGTTATTTACTTAAGGTTATTATGTTACGCAACTAAGGGTTGATTTATAAGCAGCTTACGTAAGTATGGAATATTCTAGTAAGCTGTATAGGTCTATATAAGGGCTAGAATTATTCCTGTTTCTAGTTTCCTTTCCTTCTCTCTCTAAGTAAGCAAATAGTTAATAATCTAACTACTATACTCTCTTTTAACTATATATCCTTATCTCCTCTATTTATCTACCCTAGGTATAAGTATTTATATCTCCCTTTTATCCTATATTCTTGCTTCTATAGGATATATCTTTATATAAGAGATATACTCTCTTATATTCTCCTAAGCTAGAATTCTCTATCTAAGAGACTAGCTTATCTGTTGTGCTAACAGGTTATAAGCCTAGGTAATATACCTAGGGTATCTTTATTACTATAAGAGTTATATATACTCTTAAGTAGCCTATTTATTTATCTATCTATAAAGTAGATCCCTTATACTATTTTTTCTTTATAAGAATATTAAGGCAGAAAGAGTAAGCCCTTAGTATCTCTTATAACTAAAAGAAGTATTAAATATCTACTATAGATAAAGGCAGTATAAGTCCTACTATAGGCAGCATAAGGTCCTTTATCTAAGAGGTAGCATAAGTCTTAATAGCAGCTATAAAATCCTCTAGCCGCCTATATATCTTATATATATAAAGATATATATTTATAAAGAGGTAGAAAGAGTAAGACCTCTATAGGTTATAAGAATACCTATTTAAATCTAGTAAAATACTAGAAAAAATAGCAGATATTATTAAGGCTACTACAGGCTGTTTATTACCTCCAGAACAACGTCTCCAGGGTACAAAGAATTAGAATTCCTAGATTACTTCTATTTATCTCTTTTTTAAGCTATTAAAGCTTAATACTTATTTTAAAGAAGAGATAAGATATAAGGATATCTCTAAAGAACAAAAA